CGAGTGCTCTTAGAGCTGCTGCTGTGGGCAGCACATTGCTCGGGGACCCCTGTGACAGGCTGCTGTTAAAACACCTGTGCCTGAGCGACTCCGCGTTCCTTACTGCATTCGTTTCACCGTCCCTGTCTCCCTCCTTCCCTCCTTGCCTTCTGACCCATGCTGGGGTCAGCGGCACCTCGCCGCCCTGTTGCACGGGCCTCGTCATGCCGTACCAGCGCGACCCGCGCTGGTCCTTGACCCGCTTGCTCCCCCCGCACACCTCCCCGCACATCGCCCTGCATGCACCACCCACCGCTCCGCATGCAGGTCCGCGGCGCCACGTACCTGAAGGACAAGAAGAAGGTCCCCGCCGGCCAGCCCGCATTCAGCCTGGGGGCGGTGGAGATGGTGGTGCTGCCGCCGCCCGGCACGCCGGTGGGCGGCTCCCGACGGGAGGGGCGCAGCGGCAGGGCCAGCAGCAGCGGCAGCGGCGGCGGCGGCGAGGGCACGGACGGTGTCGCTGACCCGGGGGTCGGTACGCCGGGTGTGGTGGAGCATGTGGCTCGCTTCATCCCCGCAGTGCGACTGGGCGGGGCGCCCTTCTCCATCGTGATACATCTGGTGGGCTGGGAGGGCGGGGCGGGAGGCGGCTGGTTGGGTGGGGCGGGGCGGGGCGGGGGTGCTTAGCTGCCTGCCCGGCTGCCTGATGCCACCCTTGTGCCTGATGCCACCCTTGTGCCTGATGCCACGCCTTGCCCATGTGTTGCATGCTGCTAGGACACCACCTCAGGCGTCGCACCACGTTTGATACGGTACTCCCCACGTCGTCCCTTCCCTTGCCCCTTGTCCCATGTACGGCACCGCACGTAATACGCGTGTCCCACGCGTGTCCCCGGGTGCCTCCCCAGCACCTCTCATGCGACCCTTGATCCGTGATCCGTCCCCATACCCACTCGCACACTCCTGCTTTCCCTCCCCGCTCTCCCTCCCCCGCCCGCTCTCCCCCCGGCGCAGGTCATCCCCGGCAGCCCGCTGCTGGGCATCGTGGCTGTGTTTTGCTGCGAGCAGCACCCCTCCATCCTGGGCTCTCCCCCGCGCAGCCCCATGGACGAGAAGCACGACTGGCAGCCCTTCGACTTCGTGCTGCACAAGTGGGTGGCGGAAGGGGAGGGAGGGAGGAGAGCGGGAGAGGAGGGCGGGAGAGGAGTGAAGGCGGCATGGAGGGGGAGGCCCTTGGATAGGTCTGGAACGCCTGCCAATGTTAATAGTGGGCCCACCTTCTTGCGCCTCCCTTCCTGCCCCCCCTCCCGCAGGTTCGTGTACGGCAGCGACGAGACCCGCAATCGCATGCTCAAGATGGTTCCGCACATCGCGTCCGGCTCCTGGATGATCAAGCAGAGCGTGGGCAGCACGCCCGTCATCCTGGGCAAGGCGCTCAAGACCAGCTACCACTGCACGCCCACCTACATCGAGGTGGACATCGACATATCCGCGAACAGCGTGGCAAACTACGTCACCGGCATGGTGCGGGGAGCCACGGCGTCGCTGGATATCGATATCGGGGTCGTGCTGGAGGGTAAGCCTCCCACCGCCCCTGCCGCCTCCTCTTGCCCCCACTAGTCGTTTGGTTTCCTCGCGGCTCAGTGTATCTAACCCCGAGTGCCCTGCTGCTGGGGACATGCAAGGCAAGCTCCGTCTTTCGTTCCATGTGCTGCAGCTGCAGCCGGTGGCAGCTGCAGCTGCCTGACGCCCTTCTGTCAGGGTTTCCGCTTGATGCCCGGCCCTTTCCTCCCTACCCGTGCCCGTCCCTCTTCCTAATAGCCCTACCGCTTCCTGCGTTCATGCCACAGCCCTCACCCCCAATCCCAGCATCCACCCTGCCTCCCTCTCCTCCCCCCCCCCTTCCCCCTCCAGGTACTGCCCCCTGGGAGCTGCCCGAGTGCCTGCTGGGCGCATTCCGGGTGCACCGACTGGACACCGCCCGCGGGGCCACGCAGCTGGACTGGCGCCGGGTGCTGCCGCTCACACTGCCGCCCACCCAGCAGCAACAACAACTGGCGGGGACGGTGGCGCAGCAGCAGCTGCAGCCGTAGACGGCTGGGTGCAGCGTCGGCACTGTCGCTGTCGCTGTCGTCAGCGCCGCCGCCGCCGCCGCCGCAGCAGCAGCAGTCGTACACGTGGGTGCACACGGGCGCCATGTAAGGCGGGTGTGGCAGCAAGGCTGGACAGCTGCGGGCGGGATGTGGTTCATGGAGCGTGCAAGGAAAGGGTTGTGAGGGGCGCGCTGTGAGGGGCTCGGAGGGGCTCCTGGGGAAGCCATGCGAAGTGGTTGTGTATGTATGGGCATGGACGATTGGAAGGGACGGGGAGAGGGGTGCAGGCCAGGGCAGGGAGAAGGTCAGAGCAGGGTGGAAGCCAGGTACGACATCTTAAATGTACGATGTTAGCGGGTGTGTGCAACAGTTGATGGCGGGTGTTGGCCCGCTTGATGCCCAACGGGGGTTTTTTAACGACACGTTGGGTTGGGTTGGTGTTTTGGAGTTGCGCTTAGCGGTAGGTCTTGCTGGCGTGTAAAGATGAGGGTTGTGGTTGAATACACAGTATTAATTTTCTGCACTGCTTTGCAATACCACGTTTACCATGTAACCAGGTAGCCGTGCTCTGGTGCATCCATCAACCAGTAAAATTCCTCCGGCTGTCAGGCTTTGGAGCGCAGCCAGGGCAGGGCGAGGACAGCAGGCGCGCGTTGCAAGCTGGGCTGCTACAAGGTGCATGTAAGGCCCTGGCCCGCAGGCAGGGAACTTGCATTTCCTGACCTGGCACATCAACCCTGACCTTGACGGAACTTCAATTGCAATACCTGTACCCTGCCTGTGCGCCTCTTATTTAGTCGTGTCCGCGTGAAGTGCCCACCAGGTGAGCCCTGCAACACCCACGAGTGCGTAGTACGCGCCTTGTTGGGGGTTGTGTATGCGGGGACCATAGCACAGGCGCGGGCGAGGGCAGGCGTGCATGTTGCGAGGTACTTTCGACGAAAGATGCACGCAGCCATGTACGGCAAGATCCGTAGGCGACCAGGAGAATGCAGCTAGCTGGAGGTTGTGCTAAGGCCATGCTGTACATTACAGTAGTATAATAGTGTACATCTCGACACAGTTATAACAGGCGCTATATCAGTAAGAAGGCAAGGTTCGTCAATCTAGTCGCCGAGAGACCAATTGTCCTGAGCGCAGTCGAATATGGCACCACGTTATAGTGAGCATGACGATCGAGCGGAGCCGGAGGAAAGGGGCCGGAGGAACGATTCCAACGGAGGGAAAAGAAGTTATGAAGACCCACCGCAAGGACGCGGCAGATTAGGTAAACGTCTGTGCTCGATATTGTCGTCGCTATATACGTCGTTTCGATTACCATTTTCCTAGCTAGCAGCTTAAGCTGGGAGCCCTATATAAGGCAAACCTCTCTTTCATTGTTATAACTGAAGTGCCGGTATCCTTGTCGCCCTCCCATTCATAGCGGACCGCTTGACGTATCCTGCGGATCGTGCGTCGGGTTTGCCTCAACGCGGTGGTCGCTCGGCCCGGGATGCACCCGACGATCCCCCACGCCCTAACAAGTATAGCGGTCATGATGACCGCGTTGAACGCGGGGAACATGGCGATGATGGCTATGGAAACGGCAGCGGCGCTTGGGATCGTGGCCGCGGAGGCCGGGAGCGCTCCTGGGAGCAGCATGGCGCTGACCGGGGTGACAGATTGGAACGCGACAATGGCCGCTCCAAAGGAGGCCGAGGTGGCGGGCGATCTGGCTTCGGGGACTGGCCGAGAAGCCGCCGTGACGGGCACGATGACCGGTTGGAGCAGCACTACGGTAGAGGCGCCCAGGATGACAATGGTGGTGGTGGTGGAGGCGGTGGTGGCGGAGGTGGAGGCCGCAGCAGGGCAGCACCACAGGAGGGCAGTCGCTGGGGTGGCGCTCGCGGAGAGGCCTTTGACCAGGAACGCAGCGGCGGCGGCAGGGGCGGGTCAAGGAGCTACCCCAGCCGCAGCCGCTACCACAGCGAACACGATGACCGGGATGGGGACGCAGCTGGCGGCGGTGGGGGTGGGGGTGGGGGTGGGGGCGGACGGGGTTACGGCGACGGCGGCGGTGGCGGACGGGGTGGTGGCCGCTACCGAGGTGATCACGACGATCGGGTTGGGTACGGTGGCCGGTACGGCGGAGGGCGGCGGTACGGCGAGCATGACGACCGGGACGCTGGCGATGAGGAGGAGTACGGCGGTGGCGGGCCGGGTCGCGGCTGGGGCGGCAGGCAGCAGGACGATACCGAGGGGTAGGTCCGCAGGGAGGCTCCTTGCAGGAAACAACTGACTGACCGTGTGATAAGGCATCATCATCTCTGCAGGGGGGGGGGGGTCCGGGGGGTTGCGTGGTGGTGCTGCGCAGTGCTGGGACACGTAGGCAAGCACGTAGGGACCTGTTAATGCTGCGCGACTAGACCGCGCATGGCCAGTTGAACAGCAAGGACAAGCTGAAGTTCCTCCTCCACGCCAGAGTCACGCATGTATCGCAATCTTCCAAGCGGTAGTTAGTTGCCTGCAGGTTTCCCATCTGCAACCTGCCTCCTGACTTGCTTTACCATTGTCCTGTTGTGATTGCAGGTATGGCTACCCTCGCGGCGGAGGTGCAGGGGGGCGGGGCGGGGGCCGCGGCGCCGGCCGCCGCCCCTACGGCGACGGTGCCGGCGGCAGCTTCCTGCAGCGGCGCGGTCGTGATCGCGACCGGGAGCGCTCGCGCAGCCCCATGGGTCGGTGGGGCCACGACAAGTTCCAGGAGCTCCTGCAGGAGGGTGACGGCGACGGAGCTGGCGGGCAGGGGGGGAATGCACAAGGCGAGGAGCAGGGGAAGCTGCGCGGGCGGCGGCGTTGGGGCCCGGAAGAGGGGGCGGTGCCTGGGTTGCGCGATGGGAGGGCTGAGCAGGAGGGGTACGGGGACGGTGGTGAGGCGGAGGGAGAGGAGGGCGGAGACCTTGGAATGGGCGGCTCGGGCAAGCTGGACGATGAGTTGATGGCCGAGGCTGCGGAGGCGGCGGCGGGGTTTGAGGAGCTGGCCTAGGGGACCCGGGCTGTCCGGATTGGGACAGTGCCATGCATGTGTTATAAGCCGCGGATGATGCTATGGTGTTGTCTTGATTGGCACGAAGGCCTTGGGGAACGCACATGGCACGGGTGGAAGCCCGTGCTCTTCAATGCGGTGCGGCGTGGTAAGCATGTTTGGCGCGAAGATGTTGTGCAGGACGTCCTGGCGCTGGTGCGGGTGACTTCCCGTAATGTAGGCGGCTACACCTGCGGTTTCCTGCGCTTGCAGTCTTTCATGTACGTGCTTGTGTGGAATGGCAGTGATGAGCGACGCGGTCCTATGGACCTACCTGTACTGCTGCTTTGTAGGAAGCCTGGACATAGGACTTGTAGACGTAGGAAACCTGGGACTGCATGCTGCAACAGCAACCCCCATGCCTGGACCGAAATGCACAGTGTGGTGTCAAACTGCTCCTTCTTGGACGATCAACCACGTCACATCCCTGCTTCGAGGAATCATAGGCAAGAATACAACCAGTTACACCTACAAACGAGATGCTACTAAAACGGGCAAACCATAGTTCGCAAAGAAAACTGAATGACATATCTTGTACTGCCATGAGAGTAGCTAGCACGCCTTTCCAATAGCGATTCTAAATACTGGTAACACCATTATCCGAACAAGTTTATATAGGAACAATCCATGGACTAGTACCGGTAGTCTGCTACCATGCCCAACAAAGGGCGACTTACTTGTTAGACTGCCTTGAGACATGTCAAAAACGCTTGGAGGTGTAGCGCTGGTAGTATTCCTTCTACAAGTACTTCTCCACCCTGCCTCGGCCGACGCGACGGCCTTAAGTCCGACATGCGCTAACGCTTTATCTGAGAGCCTTAACACAAGGTACTTGGTAACATTTTAGTACGTGCTTTGTTTGGGAACGAGGCATACTGGAGTGACAGGAATGGAATGTCTGGTTGGATAGTGGTTTAAGACAGCTCCACTTAATTGACGCTGGTCACCCCCATATTGTAGGCTGGCAGATTGTGGCGATACTACGTCCTGTATCCAAAATGTGACAGACGCAAGCACACTTGGCGTATGGCTTGCGCCTGTCCTGCGCACATCGTGCGTAGCCGACATGTTCTTTAATTCCAACAATGTAGGTTCGAACTGTCATAATGCATGTATGTAGTCGGTTGCGATATGACAAACGGTTTACTTGCACGGGCGCGCGAACGGGCCTGGCTGGTCCCACACGCACCTTTTGCACAGCAGCAGCTTCAATTGCACTTCATTCCAAATCCTGAGCTGGACCTTATTGCAGTCTTTCAATACCTCGACAACATTTGGCCTCAACTACCTTGCAGACCCTGAAATGGTTTCAGTATCCAGCCTGGCACAACGGCCTGATATTCAATTGGCTCTGGGAGACGGCTGCCAGGATTCCTGCGCTCAGGGGCCGCTTCAGCCAGGCGGTGCCGACCCGCCTGCCACCGCCCGCGGACATTCCTGACGCGGAAACCATGCACGCGATAACGGACGGTAGCAACTCCGCGAACTTCATCACGGAGGATGTCTCGGGGCAGTCTCTGGGGGTCTTCCTGAGCTCCCAGGTGGGCATTTTTAACGGCACATATGACACATAGGGGCACGTACGGCATAACTCACCTGGGATTGCATGCCCTGTGGCTTCGCATGCCCGTATCCTGCATGCATGTCCCCGGCGGCTGGGCACCTCCCGCACGCCCCCTTCCAGCTCCTGCCCTGCCGCTCCCCCTCCCCCTTACACGCCCAGCCCCCTCTCCCCCCCTTACATATCTACTTCATGCGCCTCAGCAGGAGTACCAGAGCGGCCATACCTCCGGCCTGGGCTTTAACCACCTGCCGGAGAACGCCTGCGCCGACACCACCCAGCCCACCGGCCCGCTCCACCCGCGCACCTACCTGATGCTCTTTTACCGCCCCGACGCGCTCGCAGCCCTGCATGCCGCCGGCCACACCACCTCCGCATCCCCGCCGGAGGACTGGGACGCCATGCTGGACCTCCTGCGGGCCCATGCAGCTGCCGCCAATGCCACCCGCAACGCAAGCGCTGTTGGCGCCAACAGCAGCCTGCCTCGCTACGGTCTGTGCCTCACCACCGACCCGGGTTGCGGTCGCCTAGGCGATGTGTTTGCAGCGGTGGCTGCCAGCGTGCTGCAGACCGCGGGGACGCAGCAGGGCTACGTGTTTGACCTGAGTGTGGCGCCGCCGGCGGTGGTGCAGCTGGTCAATGGTACGGGCTGGCGTTACGCCGCCACGCTGCTGCAACAGCTGCTGTGGTACAATGCACCGGAGGCGGCCGTCGGTATTGCTACCAGTAATAGCAGCAGCAGCGGCATGACGTGCAGGGGCGTGAGCCAGGCGTTTGTTACCGGCGAGTGCCTAATGACGTTGGAGTGGGACGCCGCGCTGCCCGTCATGTCGGCTGCAGCGGCGTTGAAGGCGAATGGAAGCCTGGCTGTGGCGCCGCTGCCCGGCAGTCGCTGGGTGGTGCGGCGGACGCCCTCGGGAACCGCGGACGGCAGTCCCGGGGAGGCGGAGGCCCTGACGCCCTGCACTGCGGAGCTCTGCGCCCTCAGCGGCAGACATGACCTGCTGTACTTGAACCAGACGGACTTCATGATAAACACAACCGCCCCCTCTGATGGCTCAGTTGTTTCCATGGCAACTGCGGCGGCCGCAGCGGCTGCAGCTGCCGAGAGCAGCAACTCGGTGCTCGGAGCGTTCGCATCGTTGGAGGCGGCGGAGCTGGCGAGGCGGGGGGTGGTGCCCCTGCCGCGGTACAACCGGGCGCCCTACTCGGCCTCGTATGCGATGACCGTTCGAACCAGTTACGCAGGTAGGGTGGGCAAGCGGGCGGACGGGCAGACAACTCAGTCCTTGGCTGGCTTCCTAGATGCCCCTCTTTCCCTACTACCTGCCTGTGCCTCCCACCCATTGCTGACGCCAGTGAAAACCAGCTTCCCTCTCTTCCCTGCCCTCAACCAACCCAGGCTATGGCATGGACGGCATCACCATCGCGGGGGTGGCTGCCATACAGCAGTCCGTTCTGGACCAGCTGGACTCCTTCCGCAGCGGCCGCCAGGAGGTGTGCGACGCGCTGCGGCGGCCGCTGGGCTACACGGTGCACCTGACGGGCGACAAACAGAACTGCAGCGGGTATGCGGCGGCGGGCTGGTGGCAGGCGCTGGAGGCGGCGGCGGCGGTGGCGGGGGCGGGAAGAGGAGGTGGAGGCAGCCTGGAGCTGGCGGAGGCGGCGAATGCGACTGCGGAGCTGGCGGCGGCTGTTGGGTCGGGTGATGTGGGTATGGCCGGGGGGTACCTGCGTGCGCTGTGGCATGTGGTGCACCATCCGAATGCGGCGCCGGATATGCAGTCGCCGGTGCCGGTCAACTGGTACAAGTACGCGCTCAGCTACTCGGCGCTGCTGCTGCTGCCCAACACCTCCTCCTCCAACACCGCCTCCTCCTCCAACACCTCGACGTCGACCGCACCAACCACCACCAACCAAACGCTGCACCAGACCGACGACACCAGCGCCGCCATCGCGCTGCTGACGCGGCTCTTTGCTGACGCGGCGACCGCATTCGGGTCGGAGACGCTGCGCGAGGCCTACGTGGCGTCCATCTCCGCCCCCGCCTGGCAGCCACCCAGCTCAGCTGGTGGTGAGGAGGACGATGGCGGCGGCAGGGGGCTGGGCTCCGGTGGCCTGGCGGCCATCGCCACCTCCCCCGCGGTGGCGGTTGTGGGCGGGGTGGTGGCGGTTGTGCTGCTGGTGCTGCAGCGGCGGCGGCGGCGGCGGCACCGGGACCTGCTGGGGCGGGTGGTGGCTCCGCGGGTGGGGCCGGATACCACACTGCTGGTCACGGGTGGGTGTGGGGGCGCGTGCTGGGAGGGTTGGAAAGGAGGTGTATGCATGCTGTATGCAAAGCGTGCTATAGTCAGCAAAGTGCATTGCCGGCCTCTTTTTGTTTGCGGGTTCCCCTTGCTTGGGTTTCCTGCCGCGAAATGAGCAGCACTGCAGCCGCTGCACTGCAACCGCTGCACTGCAACCGCTGCACTGCAACCGCTGCACTGCAACCGCTGCACTGCAACCGCTGCACTGCAACCGCTGCACTGCAACCGTTGCACTGCAACCGCTGCAGCTCATGCTTGTTGCAGCTCATGCTTGCTGTTACTGATGTGCCACCGGTTTGGCAAGCAAGCAAACAGTACCTTACGTGTTGTATTATGGACATGCTTACATGCAACCGAATCCTCTAGGCTGCGAAACTGCGAACAGCGATGTGAATGGCTTACAACCATACATCCATCCTTAAACAGCGCGTGCGAGCGATGCGCAACCCAGCCAAACCGACCCCAGTTCGCCCCACCCCACCCAACCCCAAACACCTCCGCAGACGTCCAGAACAGCACCCTGCTGTGGGAGCAGCTGCCGGTTCACGTGATGGACCTCACGCTCAAGCTGCACCACTGCGCCATCCGGAGGCAGATCGCGGAGTACGACGGATACGAGAGCGCTACGGGTGGGTGGGTGGGCGGGTGGGTGGGTGGGGCAGCGCTACATGTTTCTGGGGACACGCGCCCGACCAGCAGTGGCGTTGCTCCTGCTCTAGCCTACCCTTTCCCCCCAGTTGTTTCACTTCTCATTTCTGTTTCCCCTCCCCCCCCACACCTGCTCCCTCCCTCTCCCTCCCTCGCCCGCTGCTGCCGGGTGCGCAGAGGGCGACTGCTTCATCGTCGCCTTCGCGGACCCGGGCAGTGCGGTGGCGTTTGCGATCAACACGCAGGTCGGTGGTGGCGGGTGTGCATGGTTGGGAGCAGGACGGGAAGCCGGGCTGGAAGGCAGTCCCACTGCCGCCGATGCTGCTGCTGCTTCCGCCGCATGCATGGGCTGCTACCCGGGGCACTGTGGGAAGTGTCTTGCTCACTGTCGCACCACTACCCCCATGTGACCCCCATGTGCGCGCCTGATACGTACGGTGGTACCTCCCTGTCTGCACCCCCCCCCCTTCCAGGTAGAGCTCATGCGTCTGGACTGGCCGCCCGAGCTGCTGGAGCACCCGGACGCAGCGCCCCTCGTGGTGGCGCTGGCCGACCCACGGGTCGCCTGCCATGCCGCACTGGGCCTGCCCATACAGCCCGTCCCCATGACGCCGCCCCTCAGCCCCCATGGCCAGCCTAGCCCCCTGCGCATTGGCACCAGCCACCACCACCCGCACTACCCGCTGTCATCGGTGCTGCTGTCCGGAGGTTCCCAGGCCAGTGTAACGACCAACCACCTCTTTTCAACCGTCAACAGCGGCCGTTATCTCGGCGGCAGCAGCCATTGCTACCCCTCTGGCGGTGTCCCCACCATCCTGTCCACTTGCACGACCGCCACGATTAACAACATGTCAGTTGAGGAGGCGATGTCAACGGCGGCGACTGGGCCCCTCGTCACGCTTGCCCTCACCACCGCACCCGCCGCCGCCGCTCCCGCCCCCGCCGCGCTGCCGCCGCCCTTGGGCGGCAACCCGTGCAGCAGCGCCTGCGACAGCAGCCCAGCCGAGACGGCAGCGGCGGGGCCGCCGACGGTGCAGGCGCTACAACTGGACTTCCAGCAGCCGCCTCAACAGCTCCAGCTGCAGTCCCAAGGCGACTTGCCGGCGCCCGCTGCGGCGGCCTGCCTCCTTGCCCCCCCGCAGCACTCCCACGGCCAGCTGCAGCTCTGTCGCATCAGCAGCTGCACACTGGAGGGCGGGAGGCCGTCGGGGGGTGCGGCTTGGATCGCCCGCGGCGGCGGCGGAGGTACGGTCACAGGTGCGGGCGGAGGAGCAGGTGCGGGTGGCGGCTTCGTGCACATGCAGAGCTATCCGGAGCTCTCTGTGCCGCTCCGTGAGGCGCTGCTGCGGGATAGCTTCGAGGTGGGTCGGGCTAGGGGCGCCGCCACCACCACCGGAGGAGGAGGAGGAGGAGGCATGGCGGGGGGCGGCAGCGGAGCCGCCTCTGTCACCAGTGCTTTTGCTGCCGTTGCGTCGCATCCGCTGCCGCAGCTGCGGCCTGCGAGTCTCCCCCTGCTGACTGCGTCGGCAGCAGCAGCAGCAGCGGAAGGTGTGATGCGGTCTGGCAGCGGGGACCTGGCTTGGCGCCCGGGCAGCAGCCGGAGCTGGAGGGAGGACATGCGGGGTGCGCTGACGCTGTGGGTGGGGTCCGCGGGGCTGCCCTGGGGCTCAGCGCGGGAGGATGTGGAGCAGCGGGGGGCAGCGGGGGCGCGGGGCACCGGCGGCAAGCGCGGCGGCGGCAGCGGCGTGATGGACTTCTTGGTGAGTAGCGGTAGCGGTACTGCAGCGGCAGTGGGTAGTAGGATGCGTGCACTGTGTATGGGGACGGAGGGAGCGTGGGGCTGCAGCAAGGGGCTACAGTGCTACTGCCTGCTGGTGCCCTCGACTCTTCCTGGTTGCCGAGATGCAAGGGCTGCGTGGATGCAGCCTGCAGCTTGCCTCGTAGCTCTCACGCTCCGTGTGTGGGGTGCTCAGATCCCGCTCGCGCCCCTCCCTTGCCCATCTCCCTGCCCCGCCCCTGCCCCTCCCTCAGTTTGTGACGCTGCCCGACGGCCGCCAGGGTCAGCTGGCTTACCGCGGCCTGCGCGTGCGCATGGGGCTGCACTCGGGGCTGGACGACCCGCAGCACATCGCCTTCAACAAGGTCAGCAGCGCATTCAAGTACTATGGTGAGGTGCCCTCAGCGTACTGGCTAGAGCAGACAGCGTTGGTGACGGCGTGGAATGGGGGCCCGCATGCGAGGAATGGGGGCCCTCGTGCGTGGCCTGTTGTGCCGTGTCGTAGGAAGGTTGGCGGCAGCAGAGCATGCCCCATCCCCTTTGTGTTTTTTGGGGACAAGCCCTGGCAAGGTTTGCTTTGGTGCGGCAGGAGCACGAGGCAGCAGCGGGGCACGACGAGAGCTCCTTCCATGTTTCGTAGTTTTTGCCGCCCCCTCCCGCCCTGTCCCATGCGGCTTCCCACCCTCACCCTTCACCCCTCCCGCTCCCAGGTCCCTTTGCCGAGACCGCCAAACTCGTGAGTGACGCTGCCCCGGGCGGCCTCGTCACGCTGTCCGCATTCGCATTCAACCGCCTGCGCAACAACACGCAGCAGCGGGGCAGCAACGGCAGCAGCAGCAACACCGGCGGAGGCGGAGGCGGTTCCGGAGCCAGCGGCAGCCGGGCAGTCGCAGCTGACGCGGTGGTGCTGTACGGCGGACACCATGTGTTTGTGGATGCGGAGCCGCCCGCACGACCCGGCGGGGGGTCGGCGAGGAATGGCAGCGTCAGCCGTGGCACTGCTGCCCCCGGGGGTGCGCCGCCCTCGCGTGTCATCTGCATGGCCTCCGCGGCGGCCCCCTCCTCCACCACTGTACCTGCGGATGAGGTGGCGGTGGGAGCGACGACGTCTGCGGCGGCAGTGGCGGAGGCAGCGACACCAGCCAGGTCTGCAGGCGTTGTTAGTACTCGTGACACCAGAGCTGCCGCTGCTGCTGCTGCTGCTGCTGCTGTTCCCGGTGGTGCCGCCAGCAGCGGTATTGTGCTGGGCATCATGGGACGAACGACGGCGACACCAGCTGCAGCAGCAGCTACCTCGCAGCCCTCCCCGCGGTCCCGGTGGCACGGCTGGCGATCACGGGTGGCCGCCATGCTGCTGTCCAGGCGCCACCCGCAGGGCAGCAAGCCAGCAGCCGGCAGTACCCGCCCCACCGCTGCTGTTACTGTTACTGTTACTACTCCTGCTGCTGCTGCTGCTGCTGCCGTACCCCACGGAGGAGGCGCTGCCCCCGGAGGCGCTTCTTCCTCCACGCCCCACCTCGCCTCCCACATCTCCGCCTCCTCGCGGCCGCACTCGGTGTTCCTGGCCACGCATGCGGCGCTGGTGTGCCGACTGGCGCTGGCGCCGCCGCTGCGGACGGTCCGGCGGGAGCAGCTGGGCAGTCTGGCGGCGCCGGTGGGGTGCATCACGGTGGCCTTCATGGTGCGGTGTGGCGGTGTGGAGGGGGCGGGTGGGGGGCGGTGGCGGAGGCTCTCTTGCTGTACTGGCGGCCGGGCCAAATGAGGAATGAGACGAGCAGGCGGTCCCTGCACCTCCTCACCAGGCAACCGCCATGGCTGTGCTAGCATCGTCGTTCTTACCCCTCTCCATCCACCTCCCTTTCACCCCCTCTGCAGAAGGTGGTGGGCGCCTCCACGCTGCTGGCGGACCTGCCCGGCCCCGCCGCCCGCGCGCTGGAGCAGTTCCAGCGGCTGGCATGCGGTCTGCTGGGGGTTGCGGGGGGGTACCTGGTGGAGGGGGGGGACGGGCTGCTGCTGGCGGCGCTGGGCTCCCCGGGGGCGGCGGTGGAGTGGGCGCTGGAGTCGCTGGCGGGGCTGCGGGAGCTGGTGGGGGTGGGGGTGGGGGAAGGGAGGGGGGGAGAGGGGAGGGACGAAGACTGTAGCGGACCATAGGTAACCACGGTGGGGGTGGGGAGGGAGGGAGGGAGGGAGAGTTGGAGGGAGTAGGAGGAGTAGGAGGAAGCAGGGGCCTCCCGCAAGGGCAGGGCAGGGTCGGGTTGAGGCCGTGGCGCTGCTGGCCGTGCTAGCTGGCAAGGAGAGTGAGGGTTTGGTGTTGTGCCTTGTTTCATTCCCTTTCCCCCTTCCCCCCTCCCGGCCTGCAGGAGTGGGAGGAGGAGCTGCTGGAGCACGAGCTGTGCTCGGTGGGTGGGCCTTGGGGGGGGGAGGTACGGGGGGGTTTGCGGAGGTAGGGCGGGGCGCCCCTCCTGAAGGCGGCTGCTGCCGGCTGTACCCGCACAGCACCCACTGGACCCGTTGCGGCAACACACGAGTTGTCCCCCTCCCCCGCCCCCACAGGAGGAGGTGGTGGTGCACACCAGCGCCTCCGATCCCACTGGTGCGGCAGCAGCAGCAGCAGGAGGAGGAGGAGGGCAGCAGCTGGGCGGCAACAGCAGCGGTACCGCCACCTCCTCCACCACCCCCGCCGGTTCCGGTGCCGCCCACCGCCCACAGCAGCAGCAGCAGCAGGGGCGGCAGGGGCGGCAGCACCGCGGAGGCACTGAGCTGCAGCGGGGCCTGCGGATTAAGGTGGGTGTGCGCCGGGTGGGATGAGCGGCGGGAACGCAAGGGGGGCGGCGGGGTTGCATGCCGCCGGCCTGGGCCACCCTCCCTTACCTCCTCTTCCTTCCGCTCCCCTTCCCCCTCTCGGCTGTCGGTGCTTTTACCTCTTTCATCCCCACCGCTGCTACCTACCGCTGCCACACCTCCTCTCCTCCCTCCCTAACCCCACCCCTTACCCCTCACCCCCACTCCTCTCACCCCAGGTGGGTCTGGATGTGGGCCTCGCCTCCCACACCCTCACCGAGGCATCCGGCCGCCTCAGCTACCGCGGTCGCGTCATGAACCGCGCAGCACGCATCGCAGGCATCGCGGCGGCCGGTCAGGTGCTGTGCAGCGGAGCGGTGTGGGAGGGCTGCCGGGGGTTGGAGGGGTTTGCGGAGCGGGTGGGGGGGACGTGTCTGGGGCGCATGAGCCTCAAGGGCATCGCACAGCCGGTGGTGGTGGTGCAGTGCGTGATGAAGAGCTAGGTGTGGGGTGAGGTGGGGTGAGCGGTGAGGAGAGGGGTGGGGTGGGGTAACAGGGGACAGGGAATGAGGGAATGCGAAGTACCTGAATGCGAGCCGGGTGGCATGGCTTATGGAGGGAGTTGTGGGGGGGGGCATGACGGTGAGGAGGGTGAGGGGTTGGTGACATGGTGAGACGAGGGGGGGGGCTGACGAGGATTGGATTAGGTTTAAACGGGCTGGTGTCAGGAAGGGAGTGGGAAGTGGAAGGTTGGCGAAACGCGGAGGGCAGCTGGTTACTGAGCATTCGAAAATGGTGAAAAACCTTTGTTCGTTAATTTCGTGAGCGCTAAGAATGAGGAGTGGAGGTTAATGGCTCTTTGTCAAAGCACTCGGCACTGGCAAGAGCGCGCGGAGAGGCGGGTGACTGCGCAATGGGGGCCCTTGGGGGCTGTGGCTGTGTTCATGTTCATGAGCAATGCTATGCTGATCCGGACACCTACCGTGTATCGCTGTGAAGGATAGTACATCAGCTGCCGCAGCAGATCCGGCGTGTTTTTTCCTCGTTCCAATGGCACCCCGTACGGGATGGGTTCGAAGCTTACTACTAGATTTTTGGCTTCACACGGTTTTGCTGGTACGCACTGCTGGAGGGAGAGGTGCCTTGAGCGGGCAGTGGGCCGGCCGCTGTCTAGCGGATGTTGCTGCTTGCTGGCCAGGCCGTGAAGGGCTGCCCTGGTGTGGTCCGGAGTGTGATGGCACCAAGTATTCGTATGTACGAAGCAAACGCAGGTTGGCATGGGGGTCATCCCCACCTCGCATGTTCTTGTTCCTCTTCCTTTCACGTTGTTACACACGTGCCATGTGAGTATTGGTGAAGGGGTACATGGCCGGTTTCCTGCTTGGGGTGTGGAACCGGGGTGGCAGATTTGGCGCTGTGATGCTGATGCTGTGTGTACTATGATATTGAACTGGGTCGGAGAACTGACGCTAAGACTGGATATAGTTAGGAGGAGTGTTGTCGTAGTATGTTGTCATATGACTTGTGCGTGTGCGTCTGCACGCATGTGTATGGCCCTGGGTGTTCATAAGCCGCACATGTTGCAATTTCAAGTCTGTTGTTTGTGGTTGTAAAAGTTTAGGGTGTTAAGCAGTTGCAGTTGATAGGGGCGGACAATGCGTCAGTATCCATGCTTTAACGAAGGGTAAACGTCACGGGCTTTAATTTTGTTTTGCGGGAACGTTTTGGAGAGTATGTGGAGATTGCCAGGTGATTACCAAGTGAAACGGTGTGCACATGTGTATTACTTGGAGGGATGTTTGACGGGGTGCGGCTTATGAGTGTTACGTTGCGCGGTTTTGTTATGGGATTCGATGGGCTTCTGAGTGTTGCCGCTCGCTTTGCTTGTCAGCGGGTTGCATGCATGATGCGACATCATGGTGCATCCCTATACATGGTGCTGTTTTGGTGCATTCCCTATACATGGTGCATCCTGTCCCAAACTGAACGCACCGCAATCCCACGTGACCCACACGCTCCAATACCTAATGCACCTGGATGGATATACCGGTAGGTGTGTAGTCCGCGGATGCCACTTGAAACCATAGTTGCCATCTGGTTACCGGGCTGTCAGCTGTAAGCAGGCATGACGGCATCATCATATCCATTCCACATCTGCATATACGTAACGGTACCCGGCATGGGGCCACCGGGCAACTGCGAGCACCTCTTAATGTTGGAAGCACATTCTTCCCAGTCCTCGTGACCCTGCCCTCCCAGCCCTGCTGCTAGCACCCCAGGGCAACGCAGCCGGCAGCCAGGCCAAATGACACAAGCAAGGCAGCAGACAAGGACGGTGGTGGGGCACCACCAGACGCCTGCGTGCTCCCAGCACTCTCCCCTCTCTCGCCGGTCCGCGTCACCGGGCACACATCCCCCTACCCGCCACATACCGACACCGCCGCACCGCAGACGTCCCTGCCCCCCACCGGGACTGCCCAACACTCAGTCATCGCATCACGTCGCATGTTCGCATGGCATCCTCATTCCTCTCGCGCCTTCACTCCCAACATCCCTCACGGCGGAGGCTCCCTACAGCGCCGCCGCAGCAGCAGCTTACACAGCAGCACGAGGGGGAAGCTCGAGCACACAGCACAGCACACGTTCCTACCCGCGGCCAGTTTTCTGAACACACACACAAACAGCTCTCAGCACGCTCGTCACCCTGCCTCAGCGGAGGGGGCTCACGCGACCGCACCCCCACAACACCTCACGAGCCCGCACCGCGTTGCACCTCCACACCCCACTCTCAGCGCCCCCCGTCCTCAGTTCCCCACCCCTGGCTAGTCTTTCTTCTCTACCCCCCCCCCCCTCGCGCCCCCACCCACCCCACCCCCTCACGCCCCGCCATTACCCCGGTGGTGCTTCCTGCGCGCCCAGCGAGGGGCCGTCTCGTCGTCGTACCTGCGGGGGTAGTGCCAGGTGCCAGGTGACCGTAGCGGCAGCGGAGGAAGAAGTGCAGGACGTGCGGGAACCACCTACACCCCCTCCCACCCCACCTGTAGTTGTATGTGATCTCGGTCCCCGGCGCCAGGTCCCGCTCCGCGAATATGGCGATGCGGCTCTCCCCGTCCACTGTCAGCACGCGCGCGGAGGCGACTGGGTCGTCGTTGTGGTTGGCGCAGCGCAGCTTGTTGCCCCTGTGGTGCGGGTGGGGGGGGTAGGGAGGTGGGGGAAGGGAGGTGGGGGCGGGTGGGGTAGGGCGTTGCGTAGGAAGGGTATTCCAGGCAACCCACATCCACATCCCCCGGGTTTCTTCTCGCTTGCCCAAAGCCAGCCCTCCCTCCGCACCCAGCACCCCCACCCCCACCCGCCGTACCTGAACTTGGCGTCCAGCACCCACTCGGTGTTCAGGTTAAACAGGTAGCTGCATGCGGGGTGGGGGATGGGGAGTGGGGGGGGGGTGGAGGGGGGTGAGGCGAGGTGAGGGTTTATCCGAAGGCAGCAGAGCAGGGGATCCAGCAGGGGTAGAGGGGGAGGTTGACGGCAAGTCCCCAGCGAGACGGTGGCGGCGGCGGCAGGCGCACAGTCGCTTACCCCCCTCCCTCTCCTTCCCTCCCCACCACCTGCTGTTCATGTGGTCGTACACGATACCCCGCCTGTTGGCCTCCTCCTGCGTGATCAGGTCGCCCGTGTACTCCCCCAGGAAGCCGTTCTTGGGCACGTGGTGCGCCGCAAACACACCCCACCCCGCACCTGGGGGGGGGAGAGGAGGGAGGGAGAAGGGTGTGGAAGGGATGTGCGGATACCTTTCGGGACCTTCACGACCTGCGCTGCCATCATCATGAGGAGGACGTCCAGTCTCCAGTCAGCCGGCGCCCCAGGCCAGGTGGACATCCGCACGGACGATTGCAGCATCATGCCAGCATCATGACCCCGCACCACAACAGCAGCAGCGGTGTGCAGCCGCTCAGCCGCAACCGCACCCAACCCACACACCCCGCCCCCACCACCCATCCCTCCAGCCAATCCACAGCCCGCCCCACCCAAACCGTCATTCCCTGCAACCTCCCCACCCCCAATCCCCCCCCAGCTTGGAGCCTACATGTCATGTGGTAGGTCAGTTCATCTCTCCCTCCTCTTCCTCCCGGCCCGGCCCCCCACCTCCCCAACCCCAATACCCCGACATCTGGGACACAATTTCCTTTAAACTACGGTCAGTGTTTCCGCGACCCAGTTTATCTACTCACCCCCCCTACCCACCCGGAATGTCCGATGTCCCCAGCACCACATGTGCGTGTTGCCGCAGGCGCATCCGCATGTTATGGCACTCGCGGGGGGGCGGCGGGCGGCCCTCGTCGCGCGCCTCCAGGGTGGGGGCGCAGCCGGCGCACAGGTCGGGGTCGCACTCGCGCCCCGCGGCCCAGCAGGGGCAGGCGGCGGTGCGACAGGCGGCCTTGCAGGTGCAGCCGCGGAACCTGGGGGGGCCGGGGGGGGGAGGGGGGGGAGGGGGGAGACAATGGGAGGAGGAGGGAGAGGGGAGACAATAGGAGGAGGGGGGAGAGGGAAGGATGGTGTAACCCATACACTAGGCGGGGCAACCTATACGGCAGTGTAAGGAGGAGAAGACGCGAGGTAGCAGCAGCAGCAACAACGGCTGTGCATTACCCCCTCCCCCTCCCCCGACCCGACCCGCCCCCACCCGCCCTACCTCTCCTTGCAGTCGGCGCTGCATGCGCAGAACTTCTCACAGAAGTTGTGTGCGGCCACGCAGGGGCAGTCCTGGGTGCAGCGGCCGGAGCAGGTGCAGGGCTGGTACTCCTGCCAGGGGTCCTCGGGTCGGTGCTGCTTGCGGCGGGACACAACCAGGGAGCGGTTGGTCAGCACAGCCTGGGGGGGGAGGAGGGGGGGGATAAATGATAAGTGCAGCAACGGTGGGAGAGGGGAAGGAGGGGGGAAAGGAAGGGGGGAGGCAGGGGGGAGGACCATACCAAACCCTTTGGAGACCACAGGATAGGGGATAGGAAGCGGCAGGGGGGGCGGGAGGTGGGGAGTTGCAGCCGGGGCAGGGGGGAGAGGCGATGGCGTGGATAGGCGGTGGGCGGGTAGGTGGAGGAGCTAGCGTGACGTGGAGGGACGGAGGGAGGGGGAGGCAGGCTGATGGCTGATGGCTGATGGCTGATGCTTTCCGGAAAGCATGCTGAAGGTGAGGGCAGTGCGAGAGGGGGTGGGGTGGGGAAGGGACGTGCGGGTTGGTTAGGGTTATACAGGATGTAATAAACCGGGCGGCGGCGTGGCGGGTCCGCACGCCTCACATCAGCGCCCTCCCTCACTCTCCGTTGCTACACTTATCTCTAATATTTCCCTCTCCTTCCCACCCACTCCTCCCGCCCTGCCCTGCCCTGCCCCCAGCCCCCGCCCAGCCGCTCCCGACCCCCCCCCCACCCACCTTCTTCGCTCGGCCGCCCTTGCGCCTCGACACCCCCACCGCTGCCGCTGCAGCCGCTGCATCGGGCTCCAGCTGCTTCGATAGATGCTGCTGCTGCCCCGCTGCCGCCGCCCCCGCGACATTCCCAGTGGTGGGCCCCCCTCTCGGCGCCCCCCACTCCTCCTGCTCCCGCCCCCCCTGCTGCCCCGCCTGCTGCTGCCCCGCCTGCTGCTGCTGCCCCCCCTCCCCCCCCTGCTCCCGCCCCCAGCGGTCCATCTGGCGCTTCACCTGGTCGCAGCTGCGGTGCGGCCCCACCAGGACAGCCACCAGGCAGGGGTTGCCCCGACCGAACACCTGGGGGGGAGGGGATCAAGAGAGGGTTGGATGTCCCATATTAGGCTGGGTTAGGGATGGGGAGGGGAGGAGTGCGGGGGGCGGGGAGCAGGAGGGGGGCATGAGGCTGTGGATCCGAGTTCTCGCCACTTGCCGGTTGGGGGGTTGCGCGCGGCCGCCTGGCCTCCAACCCCCCATGTGTTGGTGAGATGGTGTGCGGGGTGGGGTGGGCGGGAGGGAGGGAGCGGGGTGGGGTGGGCGGGAGGGAGGGAGCGGGGTGGGGAGCCTGATTCACGTGCGCACCGCCCGCCTCCCTCCAGCCCCCCTCCACCCACATCCACTCACCTCAATGCCCTGCTGGATGAGCGACAGCTCCAGCCGCCTCCACCCGCCCTCACGCCCGCCGCCTCCGCTGCCGCCTCCTCCGCCGGGACCCGCCTCCGCCCCGCCGCCTCCGTCCACCTCCATCGCCTCCCCCTCCCCTGCCTCCTCCTGCTCCTGCCCCCCCTGCTCCTGCTGCAGCTTCCAGCATTGGGGGCCGCAGGGGGTGCGGGAGGTGTCGGGCGGGGGCGGCGGGGGCAGCTGGTGGGGGCGCACGTGACCGCCGCCTGGGGGGTGGGGAGGTGAGCAGGCGGGGACAGGAAGGTGAAGGGGCGGCTGCGACGGCTACCAAGGGTTTCCCCAACACGCCGCGAGGTGCCCCCTGCACTACCACCTGCCCAGAGGGGGGGGCCCTTACACAGAGTCGCACCACCGCATGGCGCCCCCCACCGCCCTTCGTCGCCCCACACCGCCCCACACACCGCTTCCTCGCCCACCCCGCTATCACCTCCCTCCCTCTCCCTCCCCCCCCGCACCATGTGTCCTGCAGCCGTACGTCCTGCAGCGGCGGCACCAGGCGGCATCCAGGGCCACCACCACCTCACCGGCCTGATGCGCGGGGCGAGGGGATCAGCGGGGTGGGGGCAAGGTAACAACATGTAAGGGCGGGTACAGTAATACTGCATGAGGCGGGGGAGGAGGTGATTAAATCCCTCGCAGAAACGCAAGACACCCCTACAGGCCTCAACCAGTAACCACCCCGCCCGCCCGAACCCCAGCGCACGTTCACGCTGCCCCCCTCCCTCACCCCCCTCCGCCTCACGTCCATGTCCCCCAGCTGCGGCTCCCGCGCCCCCCTCCCGCGCAGGTAGGCCAGCCGCTGCGCCACCGCCTCGGGCTGAGCAGCGGGCCGCAACACCTCCAGCAGCGCCTGAGGGGGGGGGCGGGGGAGAGGGGGCAAGGGCAGGATGGTAGGAGGGCAAGGGGGTTGACTGGAGGAGCTGCGCAGGCGGGCGCAGGGGCTCCAGGAGGGAGGGGGGAGCAGGAGCGCCGCCAGCCAGTGAGAGAGGGAGGGGGGTTGAGTGAGGGGCGGGTCCCGGGAGGGGCAACAAGGGAGCAGCCACCTGCCCCTTCAGGCGCAGCTGCGCCCCACCCCCACCTCCCCGCCCCCTCACCTCCAGCAGCTCTGGCGCCTCCCACCCCGCCTCCCCCGCCAGCTGGCTCATGACCCAGTCCTCCGCCGCACCGTCCGCGTTCTCCCAGGGCAGCAGCTGGCGGGGGGGGGGGGGGAGAAATTCCAAAGTGTGGTATGATAATGATACAAGTTGCTGACAATCCCTACCGTGAGTCGAGCCGAAATGGTGGTTAAAGCAAAGCGAGCGAAACTTACCGCACTTACCAATTATGGAGAAACCTTACCATAGGCTTGGGCATGTGTGGAGGCTGCTGAAGGTGAGGTGGAGACCCACCGCGCCGTTGGGCATAGGCAAACAACAGGAACAGCACAACACGAGCACGCATAAAAAACTACACAGACTGACACACGATAAAACACGTACCTGCGTGCGGGGGGGAGGGGGTGCAGGGGGGTGCAGGGGGGAGGGGGGAGCAGTGTAGGGAAAGGCGGGGCAGGAAGCAGGAAGGGCCACAGGGGTTGCTGCAGGGCCGCCAGCAGCAGGAGACATAGCAGCCGCAAGCCGCAGCACCAGAGCAGCTGGGGCGGTGCAGCTGCTGCCCTCTGCCCCGCCTCCCCCTCCTCCCCCTCCTCCCCCTCCTCCCCACCTACCTCCTCCGCCTCCCCGTCATCCGCCGGCACCGTCTCCCCGCCCTCGTCCACCAGGAACATGCGGCGGCCCTGGTCTCCCGCCAGCTGCGTGCGGCGCAGGTAGGACCAGGAGGTGTAGGCGGGCGGCTGGGGGGGGGGGGGGAGGGAGGGGGAGGGGAGGAAGAGGCGGACCGGGGCATTAGCTTGGTCAGGGGTGCTAGTGGATTAGCACACTAGTGGGTTGGCACAGTTCAGTAGTTCAGAGGGTTGGCGGAAGGAAGGGCCGCCGTGCAGACATGCTCCCTTCCCCAGTCCCCTTTTCCCGCGCTTCTCCCCCTATGGTGGCGCCCTGTCATCCAGCTCGTCAGTTGTCCTCGTTTCCCCCCGCTCCCCCCTACCGGATGCACTGCGGGCAGGATGCGCACTCGAGTGGTGGTCACCGTCTGGCCCCCGCCGCCACCACCACCACCACCGCCTGCCCCCGCTGCCCCTCCTGCCCCCGCCGCCCCCGCCAGCCTGCATGTGATGTTGACAGTGCGGGTGGACAGCGGCAGCAGCCGGCCGCCCAGGGTGGAGGGAGGGAGGGGGGGAGCTGGGCAGGGAAGGGCGGAGGGGGGGGAGGCAGGAGGGACAGAAGGGTGGGGGAAGGGGTGGGTGAGAGGTGCGGGGTGGGTGAGAGGTGCGGGGTGGGTGAGAGGTGCGGGGTGCTGCTGCAGGGCCCTACACATGATGACGAGCCCGACAGCACAGGCCACCCGGGGCAGCCCAGTGCGGAGACCAATACACACACGCATGCGTGACCACACCTTCCCCAACCCCCCGGCTCAGTTCACCTGACCCCCCGACGCCCCGACCCCACCCCCCTTCGCACCAGGCGCCGCATCCAGGGGCCCCATGCGGGGAATGGGAAGCGACCTGAGCTCCTCCGCCTGCTGCTGCTGCTGTTGCCCCCCATGCGCCTGCTGCTGCTGCTGGTGCTGCTGTTGGTGGAGGGAGGGAGCAGGAGCGCCTGAGGCCTGGGGAGCAGGAGCCCCCCCAGTGGCGGCGCCTCCTCCCGCCCCCGGCCCCGGTCCTGCGAGGCCCTGCAGGCGGGCAGTCGCGAAGGCTTCCACTGCGGCCTGAGGGAGGGAGGTGAGGCGGGTGGGAGGTGGGGTCAGGGGAATAGGGGGCTATAGGGGGATGTAGGGTGGGTGGATGAGGCGGGAAGCGAGCGGAAGGGCGACTGGTGGAGGAGGGCGTTGGTAGTGGGGCGATGGGGATAAGAGGGTAACTGTCATCGCTAGTCGTCAGGTGACAGCAACCGGCAGGTTTCATTTGGTATTCCCATACGCTAAGTAGCGTTGTTTACCAGGTTTGAAGCAAGCACGTTTTCATTTTCCTCCTTCTGCCGTGCAAGGAAGTCCTTCTTGAGCGTGCGATACCGCTTTACCAGGTCAGGAACTGACAGCGGTGTCCCTGCGTTTTATTACCAAAAGTTTGAATCTTTGCCATCGGTTAAAACAACAAGAGCGAAAGCAAGGATTTCATAACATCCTTCACTTTGTGGTGACAGCCCGGGAAATCGGTCGCCCTTGGCAATTCTTATAGAGCGTTTCTATCTCGTATTGCAGTATATATTATAGTGGACACCCTGCAAGCTGCGGTAAAGATTCGGTGGCAACTCACCTTGCCCGCCTCGGGACAGAACATCCCACTGAGCTGCTGGGTCGTTCGAGGAGAATTGATTCACCATATTATGTTGTTCATAAAGCGTTAGCACCTAGCGGATATATGAATTACAGCGTCCATCTCCGCTTGGCCTTGCTTTCGGATGTTTTAAGGAATTTGTCGTCAAAGGCAGTGTAAGGACCTATGTCGCCTATATACGTTAGCATACGCTAATATTACGGACCAAGGCTTCTTGACCTACAATTCGCCGTGCGCACTTTCTAGATGGACGTTTGAGCAGCCTGACTAAGCATGGCCCATGTACAGGACGAGCACGGCACATAAAGGATAAACCTGCCCAGGAGGCTGCTGCAGTATGGCACTACCATTATTACCCTTTTTGTGCAGTTGGCCTGAGGTTGATCAGATAAACAACACCAACCAATGTACCAAGCCTTACAAATGAGCATGTCTCCGTTACAGTCCGGCATCCTTAGGGCCCATCGGCTTCCTGGTCCCTCCAACATCACGTCCAGACCCAACTTCGCCATGCGCCCATCCAGGGAAAAAGTCAAACGCCCGGCCCGCCCTAGCTACTGCAGCACCTCGAACGAGTCCACCACCCCGCGCAGCAGCTGCCGTACCTCCGGCTGCGCCAGGAAGCGGTGGCGGGTGGTGGTGATGCGCAGCGTGTACTGCACACCCTGCATTGCATGGCAGGGTTGGGATACATGGGGTCCAATCATACATGGGGACATGGAATTGATGAGAAAGGGGCGAGGACAGGCAAACTTGGCGAGTGGATGATAGGCCCCTTTTTAAGGCACGTTGAGAGTTAGGGCCGGAGGCTACTGGCAAACTGCAGACAACAACCATGACCGCCGTACGTCTAACAGGCTCAGGCCGCCGCAGGAAAGTTGCGTTGGAATGGGGGCGCACTGGCTCCGCAGCACGGGCTGCATGCGTGTACGGCATACCCAGCCCCCGCATGCGTCCATGCGCATCCGCCACGGGAGCTTCCCTGCTTCGCGGTATGACCCAAGCAACAGGTAGTGGCAGCCCCCCCCTCCACAGCCACACCTGCGTGACGGCGATGACTCGGAACTCCCGAGCAGCCCTGTGTGTGTGTGTGTGTGTATCGGTATGTGTGCGGAGAGGCAATGCGGAGGAGTCAGGGAGGAAGGAGTTACCCGCCAGGAGCCCCGTCACGACGACAGGAGGGAGCAGATACCCCGCAGATCAAGCCGTCAGCGGTCCGCATGCACTCCCCCCCTTCCCCTCCAGCACCGGCAGCGGCACCCACCCGAACATGCCCGCCGTGTTGCCGCCGAACTCCAGCAGGGCCACAATGTACGACACGCCCCCGCCCCCGCTGCCACCCGTACGGCTGCCGCCACGTGTGATGCCGTACGAATCCACCACTGCGCCGTTGGGTGCGGCCCCAGCGAGGCGCCGAGCCACCTCCTGCAGGCGCTCACCGCAGACCATCGCATGGGGGTGGGGTTGGGTAAAGAGGAAACAACTAACTGACCGTGTAACGGGGTGGGGTTGGGATGGTGTCGACAGGGTTCGTAGAGGGGAATGCAACACTGTCACGACCAGGCAAAGCAGCTTTGCGGCGGCAGGGGTGGTGGCAGGGTTGGGCGAGGAAGGGACATGGGAACTTGCCAGGTAAGGGAACCCCTCCAGTCCCCGCACCCCCGCACTACCCGCACCCCCCACCCCACCCCCACCTGCGGCTCCCCCAGCTCCCCGGTGCGCCCCACCCCCTCCGGCGCCGCCCCGCCGTACACCGCCAGCGTCTCCGCACCGGGCTGACCGGGGTTGTAGAAGCTGGCCAGCACGGCTGGGGGGAGGGGGGGAGCAGGGGGGGAAGGGAGGCAGGTGAAAGGAGGAAAATGGCAAGCTGTACGGCAAGGCTTCACGAGGCCTCAGGGAGGGAAGGGGGAAGCGGGACATGCAGGGACGGGGCAGGGTGGAGATGCGGTGGGCTGGGGGCTACAAAGGCGCAACCCTATCATGCCTTGTCCGACAAACGGTAGTGAACATGAGGAGGAATACTTCTAGGGGGTGCAAAGAGAGCGAGGAGGGACCCGTGGGTCGCTGGCTGCTGGCCTACGTGAGTCGGGCAGCAAGGTGGTCACTTGCGTCCAGCCGCAGGGGCGGCTCAGACGGAAGCGACCCGCCGGGTCGGTGTACGGCACCAGGAGCCACGGAGACGGAGACGACTCTGCATTGGGGGTAGGTGGAGGCAGGGGCAGGCAGGGCGGGTGGGTGGTATCAAGGGGCGTGGAAGGTACTGTCAGTGGTGTTGTCAGGACTTGCCTCTGCCGTTGATAAGACCCCGTTTTTGGCGCGCGTCATGCGGTGTGCTGCGGACCGCTTAATAAGGACAGTGTGCGACATACCGGTACACAGTCCGTCCTGGGTGTTCCTGAGGTACCGGTAAACCCCTGTGCCGCTGCTAAAACAGGCTGCTGCTGATGGCATTCCTTATCATCCTCCTCGCTGAAACCTGCCGATCAGGATGTACTGACGATCTGTCGTGCCTCCCCCCTAGGACGTTCCAGGGGCGTCACGGTATCTCTGCCGGCATCATGCACCCACGCGCAGTTAGGTGCCGGAACCGCTGAGCTTACCGCTGCTACTGCTCCCTTGGTCGCATGCTGCAGGCTTGGTAAGTGGGGGGCCGTTGGCCCCGTCTGTGGCGCCTCTGCAATGTCAGGCAGGGCTGCTGTTAGCAGTTAGCGGTTGGCCACCTCGATCGCCTTTCGGAATGGCAACCGGTACTACAATTGCATGCATGTCTGCAGAATTAAAGTGTTTAAAAAGACAATGGCCGTGTCTCGATTACAACTTACGACGCGGGTTGTGTGTGCATAGTGAAGACGGTAGCCAGGGCCAAAACGGTCGCAACATTTCGCCGACGCAGCATGCAGCATCCCTGCGCTTCGGGCCCCGCTTCGACCTTGGCAGCCGGGAGGAGCCGGACATCGCTATGTAAGCGGTGTTTAAATGACTCCGCACGGACACGGGGCGCTCTATGGAAAGGTGCGACGCATGGTCCTGAAAATGGGCATGACGCGACGGGGCTCCCTAACCTCATGTAAGCTATTGTTTAGCCCTTGGCTTTCAGCAAGTTTTACGTTCTTGCCTTGTATATTGCAGCGCAAGAAACGGAAGGAAAAGTCGCTTCCCGAGTGCTGCAAGCAACCAGGTTCACTTGCCAGGCCCCGATAGTGGTGCATCGCGCAAACTTTATAATCCGGCTTAAGGTAAGAAAGGAGGAAATCAGGTGGTGCGACGATGGACGAGAAGAACGTTGGGGAGTAGGGCTATTAAGCTCGGGTAGGTCAAAGCAATGGGTGACGCTAAGTAAGTCGCTTCTAGGCCGCTATGCCGGTGTGCATTGTGCACATGCAAAAAGAGATGAGGGCAAAAGCAGTCGTGTGATAACTGTTAGCAACCGCAATTTTGCGATTATCCATAGCGCACTGGAACTGGGCGCAAAACATAAGACAAGAGACACACCGGGAAAGGGTAGTGGCTTAAGGATCTGGCTGTCATAGCGGGACCAGAACTCCTGAGTTCCGTTTAAGACGGCTCCGAAAATACATGCAAATAGCGGCAAACAGGTGGGATTTTACCAGATGCCCTTCACTTCGTAGGTTTTCTTTGAACAGTCTTGAAGGGATCTGCCTCTTCTGTAGCCTAAATGCAATTGGCTTATGTCCGCCAGTACGCCACAGGCCAGCGCAACTAAGCGCAGCGAACCTAGTATTTTTCGTAGCCCTTGCCTTATTTTTAGTCAGAGTACTTCCCCTCATCTTTTAGGACGAGTCAGCAAGCTTGCGTTCGGCCGCGAGCGTTTTGCTTAACCACTCGAGCGATGTCGACAGGGGCCAAGCAGCCGAAACGAGCAAAAACCATCGACACGTTTTTCAGGCCCAAACAGAATTCCAAAGTCTCGCAAGATGGCATCACGGTGCGCCCTGCTGGCCGCTGGCGTGGCTGTCGTTTTACAAGTCCTGACAATGCCCACGCAAGCTACACTCCTACAAACATCCTCCTGCCGCGCTGCGTTTAATACGTTGTAACGTTTCTATTTCTTTCAATTTTCCACAGCTAGGAGTTTTACCGCCGCGGTGCGGTGTCGTGATCAACGCCACGGACGGCCCAGGCGACACAGCTCCAGCCAGCGAACCGCAAAAGCCTGTCATCATGCCAGATTGCACCGCACCTTCGGCCGGTGAGGCGGACGCGGCCGTTGCGGGCGGCTCGTCTGGGTCTCCGCCAGGCTCGGGACGCAAGCGGCGACGGCGGCAACCTGCCTCCGATCAGGGTGGTGGCAGTACGACAGAAGTAGAAGTAGTAGCCGCTGAGGGAGCGGGCGTGCAACCCAGTCCTCCAGGCGAGTACAGTGTTACATGAAGACGACGTGTGTATGCTCGGATGCCAGCTGGTGTCAGGTAAAATGTAACAAGGAATCAGTTCCTACATGCCGGGAAGGCGACTCGTACCAGTACATTTCTGCTGCCGCATGCTGACGGCTTTTTCTTTCTCTGCCTCCGCCACCGCTATATCACCACAGAGCTTGCAGCATCGGAGCTGGCGGCAGGAGGAGCGCCAGCGGCGGTAGCGGCGGTAGCAACGGTCACAGCAGCAACAGCAGCAGACATGCTAGCAGCGGCAGCAGACTGTGCGGCTGACACCAAGCGGCCGACCGTGCAGCCACCCGGAGCCAAGGAGGGGCAGCAGCAGCAGCAGCAGCAGCTCGAGGGCGCGGAGCCTCCCTCCGCAGACGGCGATGGGGAGGGGCTCACTCCCGCCCAGCGAGCGCAGGTGTGGGCGGTTGAGAGCTGGTCAAGTCGCTGTGGCCTTGTGGCCGTTATGCCGCGGACGACCCATGGGTCACCTCAAGGTTCCATACTGAAACGCGCACACCCACATAGCCTCCGCATTCGGTCCTTCCAAACTCCCACTCTACCAAGTCCCCCACACACACCCCGCCCTACTGCCCCCCCTACATGCATGGCAAGCTGGCAACCGTGAGTCATGAGCCACCTGACACCTGGCACCTGACACCTGCCACCGCACCCGCTGCCTCATCCAACCCATCCCACGCACCCATCTCACCCATCCATCCCGCACCACCCCACCGTCCCGACCCAGATCGCCGCCAACCACAACCGCGCCCTGGCCCGCCGGGCAGTGGCCGAGTCCTCCGCCCCTGGCGCCCCCCCGCTCAGCCTCTCCTCGCTGCTGGTGGAACCCGGCTGGCGGGCGGCGCTGGAGGGGGAGCTGAGGGGCGCGAATGTACGGCAACTGGAGGCGTTCCTGCGGGGCGAGTGGGGCGCGGGACGCAAGCCGGTGTTCCCGCCGCAGGAGTGCATCTTCCAGGCCTTCAACGCCTGCCCGTTTGACCAGGTGGGGGGGCCAGGACGGGAAAGGGTGGAGGTGCTGGGAAAGGGCATACACACGCGGAATGGCCATGGGGTTATACCACATCCTAGCTCACACCCCTCCACTGCCCCGCCCCCTGCCCTCCGGCCCCCCCAGGTCCGTGTTGTGATCCTGGGCCAGGACCCCTACCACGGCCCCAGCCAGGCCATGGGTCTGTCCTTCAGCGTGCCCCGGGAGGTGCGGCCGCTGCCGCCCTCGCTGCTCAACATATACAAGGAGGCGGCGGAGGACCTGCAGTGGGGGGGGCGGCCCGCGCATGGGGACCTCAGCTCCTGGAGCGTGCAGGGTGGGGATAAGGGGGGAAAGGGTGGGTTTAGGGACGATATTTCGGTGGCGGTTCTTCGCAGCCCCTCTTGCCTCCATCTAATTCCTCCTCCGGTTACCCCCTTTCCACCTCTGCTCTCCCTTGTTGCCAAGGGGTGCTGGCCCGCCTCTAACGCATTCCTCCCCTCCCTCCCCCTCCCTCCCTCCCTCCCTCGCTTCCCCCCAGGCGTGCTGCTTCTCAACACCTGCCTGACGGTGCGCCAGGGCGAGGCCAACAGCCACTCCAAGCGCGGCTGGGAGGCCTTCACGGACGGCGCCATACGCGCGCTGTCGCAGCGGCGCAGCGGGCTGGTCTTCCTGCTGTGGGGCAACCCGGCGCAGGCGAAAGCGAGCCTGGTGGACACGTGAGAGGGGGAGGTGGCGGGCGGGGGGGAGGGGGGTTACGGCGCCTGCGGCACACCTGACGGTGCCTGGTGGGTTGGGACGCGGGGGGGGGGGTGCGTGGGGACACACACCGAGGCGTGTGGGTGGGGTGCACTACGGCTTCTGGATTGTATCGTACCGATACATCGCCGCCCCACCGCATCCAACTCGCACCCCACTCCCCCTCCATCCCCTTTTCCCTCTCTGTTAGCACCCCTGTTAGCCCCCTTGTGTCCCCATGCAACAACCCCCTCCTAACCCCCTCCTAACCCATCCCCCTCTCCCCTCCCTCCCGCTCCCCTCCCCCCCAGTCGCAAGCACCACGTGCTCAAGGCCGCGCACCCCTCCCCCCTCTCCGCCTCCCGCGGCTTCTTCGGCTGCCGGCACTTCAGCAAGGCCAACCAGCTGCTGCAGCAGCAGGGGCTGCAGCCCATTCAGTGGCTGCCGGAGTAGGGGGAGGGGCATGGGGGCGGGCGACGGGAGGCGGGAGGCACTAGCAGGCGGCAGGAGGCTGGATCCCTCCCTGGACTCGGTAGAGCATGCTTGCAGTGTTCCAGTTAGGGCGCTGTAGGGCTCCCTCAGGTAGACAAAGGCAAAAGAAACTGTGGGACAGTGTGGGAATGAGACTAGGTTACGTTTCTGGTTCTATCTGGAGAAGATGAAAGCGTATATTGAGGCGGTGACGGCAGGTGTGTGCACATGAAGGGAGGAGTGCCCGTGGCTAGAGGCGTTGCAGCGCCGGGGGGGGGGACACCTTGCGGCCCAAGCATCATCCGGTGTTGTTTGGGAAAGCGGACCGCCCGGGCATGTTTATGTGCAGGTCCTGTCTAGGCGGGAAAGCAAGGAGACACTAGCGACGAATGAGCGGGAGCCGGTGATGTACTGCAAGAGGGGGCCGCGGCTGCTGCTGTTTAGCAGGGGACCTGCCCAGGGAGGGAGACTGTGCCCATGTGGATGGTGCGCTGGGGTGGAGTGAGCGCTGGATGGCTTCCTGGAAGAGGAGCGGAAGGATTGGCAGCAGGGAAGGATGTTACCGGTATACTGCAAGCAATCCTGCTATAAACAAGTTCGTTGGCTCTTGCTTGCTCGTGCTTGCTTTTGCAACATGCAACGTTTACACGGGTGACGTACTTGGTCCCCACGAACCTGCCGACCAGCCAACATTTGCCATGCACAATGATAAAAGGCGCCATCCTACAGATTCTTCCCCCACTGTCTTGCACGTACGTATATAGAGGTACATATGAAGAGGGCACAACGCCCGCCCGCCCGGCACGCTCCGCATCCCCGCCGCCGTCCACCAAACAACCGCCTTGACAAAACGACGGTTAGCCAACCCGCCGGAAACGCGTTGCGCCCATGCAACAATGTGTGCGCTGCTCCCAAGTTGTCCGGCCCCCAACAGGCGCCCAATAAACGACATGTTACACAAACACACCCGGGGCCCTTGCTGCTTCATAACAGCCGCTTCTTTCATCAACCGCCCCTCTCAACAACATCTAGCCTACACTACACTACAAGGCAACGGATCCGTGGCTACCCTACGTGGTATACCACTCGACCAGTTGGCTTGCCACAGGTTGCTGTACAAGGGGCCCCTGCCGTACAATGCTACAATGCTCTATACACAGTAGTAACAATGCTACAATGCTACTACAATGCTTCATGCAGCTGCAGGGTAGAGGTGCGCAGCCACCCGGCCGCCGCCCTAGCTGCCCTAGCTGGCCTAGCTCGGCGCGCGCAGGGTGTGTGTGGCGACCGGTGTGACCCCCCCCCTTGCAGCTGCTGCATGCGCCCCCCCCCTCTGCTCCGCCGCTTCACGCCAGCGGCTCCCCGTCAATGAAGCGCTGCGGGAAGGCGACACGGCATTGGGTGGGAGGCGGGGGACTTAGGGCGGGGTGGGAGGGGGCCAAACAAAGCAGTGGTGGGCTAACATCAAGTGGCGGCGGCGGCGTCAGGGTACCCCGTAGAGGTAGCACGGTACGGCACCTCCCCGCCCCAACCCCCAAACCCCCAAGCCCCCTACCTGGAACATTGCGAAGGCCTCCCGCGGGTTGGTCTCCGGCACCATGTGTCCCGCGCCCTTCACGGTAGCGTAGCTCAGCCCGTGCACGTAGCGGACCACGTAGCCGGCAACCTGGGGGGGGTGGGGTGAGTGGGTGAGTGAGTTTGTGGGGGTATGTGTCAGGTTGTGGGAAGATGGAGTCGTGAGTGGCGGTTACGTGTCGGGTGAGGGTCGCCGCAGGGGGGTCGCGCTAACAACGACGTGAGGTCCGCACGTCTGCTCCCCCCTCCTCCCCGGGTCCCCCCCACCCACCTGTTCGTCCGCCACGAACCAGGGCCGCCACCCCGCCTCCACCTCGTATCCCAGCTCGGCGGTCCAGGCCTCGCTGCCGGTGTGCGGCACCGCCATGTCGTGGTCGCCGCTGTAGATGAGCGCCCGCAGGCCGTGGCGGCGGGTGTTGTTGACGTGGATGGGGATCATGGACCCGTGGGTCCGTGTGTAGGAAATCTTGTCTGAGCAGAGCGTCCAGGGCCCGATGGAGGAGGCGGGGGCGGCGTGGATGGCGGCGCGGACGGAGGGGTCGTTGAGCCAGAGGTCGGCCGCCCTGGTGGGGGGGAGCGGCAGGGGATTAGATAAACTGAGCCGCGGAAACACTGACCCTGACCGTAGGTTACCGGAAATTGCTTGATTGGGGGAGGGAAGGGGAAGCGGGACATGGTGGAATGAAAGAAGTAAAGAAGGCAAGGGGGGCGTTGGGGAGGACATGGGTGGCAGGAGGGGTTGAGGTGGGAGGTGACGGGGCAGGGGCGGGGGGTCGTACAGGCGGAAGCGGAGGCAGGGAGCGGAGGCCGGGGGCGCCATGCAGGCCCCAATGCTTCTGCTCTACTCGACCCGGGGATCATCAGCTTTCTCCCCCCACCCCTTTCGCAAGAGCTCCCTCCACAGTAATCTCCGCACGCCGCACCCCCGTACGGCCACAGTACGGTTCGACTCGCGACCGGCTTCCTTAACCCACGGCCGCAGCCACATCCAGCACCACCCTGGCCCTCCCCACCTCCACCCCCTACCTCACCCCCCGCCCCCCCCACCTGGAGTCGGTGCAGGGGGGGCTGTGCGACAGAGGAGGGCGAGGAGGCGGAGTGCTGACCCGGGGACCTGGGTCAGTGCCCTGACCCGCCCCGCCGCATGACCTGCGGGGCGTGCCACAGCCGCCTCATACACACACATGTCGTACCGCACGTTGTACGGCACCTCGTACCACTCTCGCAAACCCGAACGAGGCACACCACTGCTTCCCTGTTCCCCCAGATCCCCACCCCTCACCTGGAGTCCGTGCAGGGCGGAGTCACCCCCAGCCGCCCCTGCCCCTCCGCTGCCGGGCCCCCTGCCGCCGCCGCCAGCCGCCCCGCCACATGCGCCCAGTTGAGTACGGGCCCGGGCCGCACCACCCCGCCCGGCAGCGGCCACACGCCCTCCAGACCCGCAGCGGCAGCGGCGGCAGCCAGGCGGGAGGAGGAGGAGGTGCGGGTGGTGGCGGTGGTGATGGTGGTCTGGGTGGACATGGGCACCGCCTCCGCCTCCTCCTGCTCCTGCTGCTGCTGCTGCTGGTGCTGGTACCCCAGGGCGCGGCGCAGGACGCGGTTGCGGCGCTCAGCTCGTGGGTCGGCTGCCGCCACTGCCCGCCCCCCCTGCTGCCCCTCCGTTGCTGCCCCCGCCCCCGCCGCGTGGAAGCAGTACTGCAGCGTGTCGTACACATTAAGTGCCTGCAGGTTGGGGGTCAGCTGCCGCCACAGCCGGTCGCAGGAGCTGCCTGGGGGGGGGGTCGAAGACCATGAGGCGGGGGGCGGTAGCAATGAAGAGTGTCATGGAGGCGCTCCCCGGCACCCAAGCGCGCTCCCCCTCCCCCTCCCCCTCCCTCACCCGCGCTCCTGTTCCAGTACTCGCCCCCGCACTCCGCCTCCAGCCTCCTGAAGTCCGCCCAGGGCAGCAGGCTCTTCCCCGCCGCGAAGGGCGGGTGCGCGTTGCCGTCGTAGCGCTCGTCCGTGCAGCCGTTGCCCACAAGGTAGCCCTGGGGCGGGGGGGGAGGAGGTGAGTGGGCATGATGGGAGGCGAGGGGAAGGGCGGGTGCGGCTTGAGGAATTACAGCTGAGCAATGGAGCTGCAGGGAGTGCCCTCCGCCACCCATATGGGGGCAACTCCGCTACGCCCCCCTCCCCCCTAGGGCTACCGGGTTGGTGACGGCTGCTGGATTGGCACTCCGTTGCTGCACTTATCTTCACTTCTGCCCTCCCCCCCTTCCTCCCTCCCTCACCCCCCCCTACCACAATGTTGACGTGCGGGCGCTCCCCCGCCTCGTTCCCCAGCAGCACCTGCCGCACCAGGTTGGGCACGTAGATACCCGCGTAGCTCTCACCTGCGGGGTGGGGGGGGGAGGACAGGTGGGGGGCGGGGGGGGAGGGGCCCAGGGGAGTAAGGAGGAAAGCCTACCGGTAACCCCGTGACAAAAGCTCGTCAATAAGTTGTTCCATGGTGTTGTCATGGTTGCATGCGGTCAATGTAGCGGTGCCGGTGGTGGAGGGACGGAGCGGGCTCCGGAGCCGCACTCCCGCCCCCCTCCCATCCTCCCGACCCTTATCGCTTCCCGCCCCCGCCCTCGCACCGCTGACATAAAAGTCGTTATCGCCGAATTGCGGGAAGCGCGCGAACCAGCCGCGCAAGAAGGCGTCCGCATCCGCCGCCGTACGGTCGTCATCCACCTCGTAGTCCCCCGCGTGCCCGCTGTACGACATACCCACCCCCGCGGGGGAGTCCAGGAACAGCATGTTGGCCACCTGGGGGGGGAGGGTGAGGGAGGTGGGAACAGCAAGAGGAAGCTGACGAGCTGTATGGCGAGGCTTCACCAGGGGGGAGGGGAAGGGGGCGAGGGCCGAGGGGTGAGGGGTGAGAAGGCTGGGGAGGTACGATGACACTCATTAGGATTCAAGTTGACCCAGTCGTTTAACCCAACCGTTTCACCCCCGGCCCCCCAACCACCTTGTTCCAGGCGAAGGGGTTGCTCCTCAGCTGCACACTCAGCCCCCGGCCGCCCTCGCCCCCGGGCCCCGCCGGCCCATGGGTCAGTTGGTACGTGAAGGGGCCGTGCTCGTACACGAAGCCGTCGAAGGAACTGCAGCCGGGGCCGCCGTTGAGCCACAACACCTTTGAGGGCGGGGAGCGGGGAGGGGGAGCGGGCGCGGGGGCGACGGAGATTTGTGCTGGGAGGAATGTCATTGAGCTTGGAATGGGACATGGGGGGCAGTGCTAATGATGCGGGGTAAGGAAGGCGGTAGGAAGGAAGGTAACAGGACATGAAAGCCGCAAGACAGGACAGAGGCACACACGCCGGAACGCTCTCTAAAACGTACGGAGATCAGCGACCCACGGGTCTGAGCAACCCCCACCGCTGTCCCCATCACGCTTCTTCCCTGCTATTCGCAGCCATACAAGGAAGCTGCCCCTGTACTCCCTTTGCCGCCCCTTCTCCCCACTAACTAACTAACTAACTAACTCACCACTGGGTCGTTCGCGGGGTCCCGCTCGCTCTCCACGAAGTAGTAGTACAGCCGCCGACCTCGCGCGGGGTCCACTGTCACATAGCCACCTGGGCGGGGGTGGGGGACGGGGGAAGGGGGGGGGCGCCGCAGTGGGAAAAGATAACATAAGCGAGGATCGGGAGTGGTTGAGGAGGTGCTGCGGGTGATGTTTATGCGGGGCACCGCCCGCTGGCCGGCAGGCCAAGATGGCAAGAGTAGGATTTAGGAGCTGTGTTAGGACTGGCCAGGAATGCTAAGCGCGATAATTGATGTCGCAAAGACGAAGTAATGGCTGGAATGGGCTTTTCAGAAATTGGGAGTCCTTGTTCGTGGCGTTGCCTGCTTTCCTTGGTTGGCATGCGCGGGGAATGCTTACCGAAATGGCTCGACGGGAGGGCGTTCTGGAAGCCGGGCAACGAGTTGATCTTGTCAGCAGCTGCCTCAGGTGTCAGCTGGCCATATGTGACCTTCCTAGTGGATGCGATGAAGCCCTCCTCGCTTGAGGCGAGCCTTGCTGCACAAGCCCCAGATGCGAGCAGAAGCACCGCCAGCAAGGATATGGGCCTCATCCTTAAGCGCTTAATCACTAGCCTTAGTGAACTGGAGCTGCATAGCACGGGCATTCCAGGGCTTTGTAAGATGCGGTTCGCGCGCTGCCGTGCATTGGTAGTTAAACGTAATCCATTCGTCCTCCGAATCCTCGCGAAATGCCAGGGCGAGACGTTTGCGTCACTGCAAATTATAAAAGACGCTCCTGTCTTTACTTATGAGTGAGCACCTTGCAATGTTGCCAGCCCCTAAAAGCCCCAAACGACTGAGCGCCTTTAAGCCTTGTTTCAAACACAACGGAAATAAAATCAATTGCCAACACGTACTAGTAGAGTATTGCTAAGAGACAGTGCGGAGTCTCAATGCAGCACCCAAACGCTCCAGGCAGCAATGGCTGCCGTAAGGGACGCCATCGAAAGGCAGCAAGTGATACCTTTGCTTGGGCAGCAAGCGCTTTGCTTGAGGACTTTCCACCTCAGCTTGCCCAGCAACATGTTTCCCAGGCGAACCCTTTCCTGGCAGCCGGCGACCGAAATTCTTTGCTTGCCGCTTCGGGCCCTTTCAATGGGCAAAACTTGGAGCTTGGAGCGGGGTTGGGCAGCGTCTTGCCGGACGATTTGCTGGACCTTCTGCAAGGCACCGAGCAAGACGAGCTGGACTTGGACACTGAGCTGGACGCAGACGTTGACATCGACTTGGAGCTAGGCCCGGACATCGGCAGCAGCAACCGAGCCGCTTCCACGCAGGGCAAGGTCAGCACCTCTCATCCCACATTAGCGACTCCATCGGCAGCTAGCACCGGTGCCGCCGGCGTCTTTAGCGGACTGGCGGCCCCCGCGGCTGCCGGGCCGCATGCCGCTGCTGCTGCAGCAATAAAAGCAGAGGCGGAGGCGGCAGTAGGTTCTGACCACGTGCTCAGCGGCAGGGCCACAGGACACCGGCGCCAGGGGTCAGCCTCCTCGTCGGCTGCTACTGCTGCCGGCAGTTGTACGGCAACGGCTGCTTCGCTGTCATCACTAGCAGACGCGGCGGCGGCAGCAGCTCCGCCTGCGGGCCCCCGCCACGTGCGCAACCCCAGTGACCCGCTGCTGGTGAGGAGAGGTTCGGCAGCACCCCGGGGGTTGCGGCCGTTACCTCATGCCGTACATGTGTGTGTTTCGGTGCCGTACCATGCAACACCGCACGACTCTCGAGGCTCCCTGGAGCGGGGGTCCGGGGTGTTGGATGGTACGGCTCCGCACGCACATCCCGCTGCATGCAGAGAAGCGCGGTCGTGCCACACCTCTCTGTACCCTTACCGCCCAACGTCCCAGCCTGTAACCCTCTCTTCCTCTCCCCCTCATCCCACACAACCCTGCCTTCTTTCCTCCTGCCCCTCCTGCCCTTCCTGCCCCTCATAAGGGCCTGCCCCCGCTAGCCCCCCTGCTAGACAAGCCCTTCAGCGACTTCGCGGGTCAGACCCGCTCCAACGCCCTCGACCCAGCGCGACTCGACCCCAAGCGCGCTCGCCGCATCATCGCCAACCGCCAGTCCGCGCACCGCTCCCGCATGAAGAAGCTGCAGCTCATTCACCAGCTGGAGCAGGAGGTGGCGGCGGCGCAGGCGGCGACGGAAGCGGTACGGCAGCAGGTGGCGGCGGCGGCGGAGCACCGGCGGAGGCTGCTGACGGAGGCGGCAGAGGCGGCGCAGCGGCTAGCGGTGCTGAGAAGGGAGGTGGCGGAGGCGGAGGCGAGTCAGGCGGCGGTGGTGGAGGAGCTGAGGGCGAGTGCGAGGGCGGGAGCGGCGGCGGGCGTTTCCCTGGTAGCAGCAGGAGCGGTGGTGGCGGCGGCGGGGGCAGTAGCAGGGAACGGTGGAGGCGGTTGCGCACTAGCCACACACGCAATGGCAGTACAGCAGCCACAGCAGCAGCAGCTGCGCCTTCCTCCGTGTCTCATACCCCAGCCTCAGTGCTCCCAGCAAGTCCGCTGCAGCAGCGGCTGCAGCAGCAGCTTGGGGGCCAGCTGGAGCCGCCCCGCCCCCGACCACTCCCTCCTCGCGCCCGGCCCCCCGCCTCCGCCTCCCGCTCCTCAAGCTGCCGCACTGGCTCCACCTCCTGCTGCTGCTGCTGCTGCCCCCCACATGCTGCCGGGCCCCGGCCTGCCAGTCCCGCCCCTTCCGCCTCCGCCGCTGCGACCCGGCGCAGCCGCCTCCGCTGCTGCCGCTGGTGTGGTTTCCGAGCGCCCCTTCCAGCTGCCGCCGCCACCGCTCATCCAGGTAGCGCCGGCAGCTGTTGCGGTGGCAGCGGACCCTATGGCCCGGGCGCCTGCCCCCTGCGACGGGGTTGCCAGTGCGGTCCCGGGGGTGCAGGGGCCCCCCACCGCCGCCGTCCCGCCCGTCACCGTCATCACCACTACGGGGCCTGCACCGCTGCCGCTGCACCCATTGGTGGGGGGAAGCGGAGGGTCGAGCTGTGGTGTACCTGCGGGCGGCGGCGGGGGGCAGGGCTGGCTGGGAGGAGCTGGCATGTCCTCCTGTTGCGGCCCGGCTGGGGGTGGCGGAAGTGCGGCGGCGGCGGCGGCGGGGGAGGGTGGCAGCCAACACGGTGTCCTGGTTTTAGAGCCTCCTGATGAGGCGAATGCTGCTGGGGCGGCGGAGTGTGAGGGTGGTGTTGATGACAGGGTCGGGTGCGGTGGGGGGCTGGGGTTGGAGCTTCTGGGGCTGGTGACAGGCGCGGGGGTGGTTGATGGGGACATGGACGCGGAGGAGGGCGGGGAGGGCGTGGGTGCGGTGGCATCACCCATGGCTCTGGACCGGCTGTACAGTGTGTCGCTGACGCTGGCGGATGACATGGCGGCGGGTGGGGAGATGATGGGCGGAGGGCTGGGGGAGCTGCTGCTGGTGGAGGAGGAGGAGGAGGGGGGGCTGGTGGTGCTGGAGCGACCCGTGGGTCGTCAGGCGGCGGGCGGGGTGATGGTGTCGTCGGAGCTGATGTGAGGCCTGGGCTGAGCGGCGGAGTGGGGGTGGGGTAGGCTAGTGGGTAGGCAGGCAGGCAGGCAGGCCATGTGTGTGTTGCGTTGTTAGGTTCGCTGGGCTGAGCCTCCGGGTGCGGGAAGACGGTCAGGAAGTGGCGGTGTACAGGTTATATATAGTGGGGAGGGACCTAGTCAGGGCGGTTCATGTGTATTGTGTTGCGATACGGGTGCATTGCATTGTGATATGCGGCTGTACTGATGCCCTCGACCGAGAGAGTGTGTAGTTGAGCAGAAACAAGAGCATGCAGTGTGTGTGCATTGTATATAATTTTAAGCCCATGGGTGGCTATGCCTAGCTGATACTTACTTGACACTGCCGTTGCTGTTGGGCTAGGAGCCTTAGGCGCGTTGTATGCGTCACCTTGCCTTGCTAGCTTTATGTTATGATGACGGCAGCGCAAGCGGCGCATGTATATCGGTAGGATAGCCAACTTTTCGTGGTTCGCGGGTACACTAACAAGGTACGCTATGCCGCTATTCCGACGCCGATCCTGCCTGCTGACCTGACCTGACCTGCTGAGACGTCACACTAGTACCGTACGCGGAACCTTGATGCTGCGGCCGCCATCCCCGATAGCGTGAGGCGCGTGTGCTGCGCCGCGCCCTCGGGCTGCGGTTGTGTTGCGGACCTGGAGGCAGCTGCGGTGTCGGGTGCAGCAGACGGGGCGCTATGCGGCATGTTGCCATGGAGGGCCTGCGTCTCCGGCGTAAGGGAGGAGTGTTCCGGAGGCAGCCGGTAACATGCCGCACTGCGACTCTGCCTGTACTCAAACCTGGCCGTCATTTCACGTTTCCTGTTGCGCGTCGGGCGCGCCGGATGCCGCTGGCACCATCAGAGCTTTAGGGCGCCTGTTTCGAAGCGGGCAGAGCGCAGTGATGGTGGTAGTACTGGTGCAGCAGCAGCAGCAGGACGGTGCGTATGTCCTGGATATTTCGGGGTCATATACCCACATGGGCTCTGGCCTCTGGGGGTGGGGACACCCGGGGGTTGGGGGGCAGACCTGCAGTCCTGCCCTGCGCGACTTTACGTGGCCTACCGGTGCCATGGGCCCCATGTCACCATTCCTTCCTTCCGCTTCGCTCCCTACCGCCTGCTGCCAAGCCCCGCCTGCCCTGTTCTACTGCGCCATAGCGACCTCACCTCGGCCTGTCTCACCTCGCTTCACCCTCCCCTCCTTGCTCTCCCAACCTCTGCACTACCGGTACCCACTAGCGACAGCCGCACGGCTATCAGACGGCCGCACACCGCTACAACATGGTGAAAACGTGTTAGCACCAGCACCGGCAGCACCACCTTTCGTCACCACCACCATAAATCAAAACCCCTAAAGCACCCTGGATAGAAGAGCAAAAGCAGGAGAAGCGCTCATGAATGAAGCGCCGGTAATATTGTATACGGCACTTGCTACGCGATTGTCGTACACCTCTCGCAATTCGAACAAAGGACCTACCACATGGAAAGACTGAACACTACTCCCTGCCCGCGCATGCATGCAATCCCGCGTAGTCTGATGGCATCTCAACAGTCACCCCAGCCTAGCTATCTGCCCGCGTGCCTGGCTATCTACTTGCTACGCAACTAAGCCTTGGTTTCTCCACCCCAACTAGCTGCTTGCAAGCATGCAGTCGACGGATTCGTCGAAATGTAGCGGCTGTGATATACCAATGCCAAGAACGAGCCATGGCGCGAACCAGCACATGATGAAGATGCCTGCCCTGCCAACCCGTGCACGCGTCCTTCACTGCCACCAATAGAGGCGCAGCAGCGTTTCGTGTCCACTTTCAAGAAAGGTGATGTGATTGTTCACCCCGATGTGAAGTCCATACCCTCTGCCTGCTCCGTCCCCTCCGCAGCTTCCCTCCTCCGCCTTGCCACCGCCCCACCCGCCCCATTCCCCCTTCGCCGCGCCACTCCTCCCCTCCTTCCCACCGCCCCGCCCCGCCCGCCCTCCTCCTCCTCCCCGCCTGGAGGCATGGCGGTTTCACCACCTCCACCACCTCCTGCAAACCCACCTCCTCCTCCTAAGGCCACATGGAGGTGAAGGCCCCCGCCGCCCCCACCTCCAGTACCCTCCTCCTCCTCCTCCGCATCAGAGGAGGCGGGGGATGACGCCAGGGAGGAGGGAGGTGAGGGAGGCCGCGGGAGGAAGGGGATGGCGCTACGCAAGGGCGGTCGCCTGGGGGGGAGGGGTGTTGAGGGAGGACAGGCAAGGGACGTGGGCATGGGGCCGTCACAGGGGTAAGAGCGTCAGTGGAGACACTGCAAATGCTTGGAAGGCATCAAGCGGGCAAGAAAGGAACAAGAAGGACTAAGGAAAGCCGCATGTGCAGCATCATGACATCGTAGCACCCACACCTGTCGTACTGTACGAGTCGTATACGTCCCTCCTTGGTGCCGTACGCCAATCCCTCCGCCGGGAAGGTGTTGAAGAGCGCCACATTCACCTCGTCGTCCGCACTCAGCAGCACCCGCCGCAGCTCCATGTCCGGGACACTGCGGCGCCGGACGGGGCAGCAGGGGGACGGAGGAGGTTGCGAAGCAGATGGCGGCGAGATGGGGCGACAGAGGGAGAGAGGACAAACGGGAAGCCAAGGGGACGGCAAGGAAGGCCTTTTTGGGACCAGGAAGGCGGGGGATGAGAGGTTGCTAGGCATTCGGCGTATACGAGGAAGGCACTGCGTACAGAGGCTGGCTCCCAAACTGCCGTACTACACCGCATTGGCAACCCACAACGCCCAGCGCCCATCAAACACGGCCCAACCGACCCATGGGTCACCTCCCCTCCCACCTGTACACCTCCACCACGGAATGCACCCCCGCCAGCTGCCCCCCGCCGCACGCCACCAGGCTGCACAGGCTGATGTGCCGCCTGCCGTACGCCAGCAGCACGTGGTCCCCCGTGGGGCTCATCTGGATGCTTGTCATGCAGTGGGCCGCCAGCACGGGGCGAGCATGCAGCAGGGAGCCGAAGAAGGGCCCGATGGAGGGGGTGCCCGCGGTGGTGGCGGCAGTGGCGGCGGTGGCGGCGACGGAGGAGGAGGCGGTGGGCGCGGTGTCGGAAGCCTGGGCCTCGGCGTCTGCGGCAGCGCCGTTTGTGGCGGTGGCAGTGGCGGTGGCGGGGATGGGAGGTGTGCCTGTGTAGAAGACACAGAGCTCGTAGCAGGGCCTGTTGGCGGCTGCCGGCGGCACGGCTTGCAACGCCGCCGCGACGCTGTCGTTGGCAGCGCCGGCAGCGGCCGGACGGGGCGCGGCCGTCGCGCCCCCGTCAGCTTCGTTGCCGTCGGCGGCTTGACGGCTGGCGCCGCCGCCGCCGCCGTTGCCACCTAGCGCCGCTGCCCCAGCCCCCGCCATTCGGCTCGCCTGCTCCACCTCCCCAACTCGGGACTGCCCCCTGCCGCCGCCGCCGCCGCCGCCGCCGGCCGGAGCCTCCGCCGGCGTCGCCCTCACAGCCGCCGTCGCCGCATCAGCTTCCCGCTGCACGGCCAGGTGCGCCTTGATGCTGGCAAACGTCGACGGGGTCTCCCACACGGCGGCAGGCGGCGCAGCGGCGGCGGCACCGCCGTCGTCGCCGCCATTTACCGCAACCGCCGCCGCTGCTGTTGCTGCCCGGGACGTCGCCGCGGCCGGCCTCGAAGCCGGTTGGGCTGCTGGTCTGGCTGACTCGCCGTTCGCACCTGCAACCACCACACCAGGCGGTAACCTTCCAAGCAATTGAAGACGTGAGCAAAACACTGTACGGCACCCGGATGCCAAAGGAGATGCCCTGCCCTTACTGCTCTCCTCACGCACGTCGCCAAGCGCACATGCCAGCAAACAGAAGCACATGCCGCAGCCCCTCCGTCCTTCTCCCAACCCGCCAGCTACCCACCTCCACGCTGATTCGCCCGGCCAGCCGCCGGAGCCTGCTGCCGGGGTATCCCCCGCGCCCTCGCGCGCGTCATGGGAGCTTGAGGCTGCTCCAGCTGCCGCTGTTGCTGCTGCTCTTGCTGCTGGTTACTAACGCGCCCGCCCGCCCTACTATGCTGCTGCTGCTGCTGCTGTTGCTGCTGTTGCTGCTCCTGGGGGCAGTGGTGAGCCGCCGAGAGAGGATCCGCCAGTGCTGCTCCTGCCGCTGCTGCCGCTGCGGCAGGTCCCGGTCCGGCGGCAGCACTGGTGGTGGCGTCGGCGCCGCCCCCGTCGTCAGCCAACACACCGGAAACCGCGGACACGGCGGCAGCCATGCGGCGGTGTACGGCAGCCGAGTCGTACTCGGGCTCCCCCTCGGGCGAGGTGGCGTCGGGCCTTTGTTCAGGATGCGGGTTGCGGATGGAAGGCGGGTGCCGATGAGGGAATGTGGGGGAGGGAGGAGAGGTCGCGATGTGGAGGCATGTGAAGAGACAGGCGGGGAAAGGTTGCGTATCCAAGCTTCAAACGCCTGCGTTCCGCATTCTGCATCCCCTCGCCGACCCTAACCTCGCCTCGCCTCGCGCCCTGGGCCCGTCATCCACCACCGTCGAGAGCAGCCCCCATGAAACCCACCCATGGCAGCAAGACCCCTGGCAGCAACCCACTTGGAGCCCCACACCCCCTCAACACCCCAAGAGCCACCCTATGCGTCCGCCATGCAAGCACAACAGCCCCGGCATTCTCCCCCTGCTTCACCCCGGCCCAAGGGGTGACCCTGCTCTCGACCCCACCTGGACACCGCCGTCCGGGCCGCCAGCTCCACGGTGTTCTGCGGCCGCATGTCGCTACCCCACTCCACACTGTCAGCCATGTCGCCCTCAGCGCCCCCATCGCCCTCCTCCTCCTCACCACCACCACCATCGCCGGCAGCAGCAGCAGCAGCACCGCCGCTGCCCCGGTAACCCGCATAACTGCCCTGACCGCCACCGCCGCCACCGCGGCGGCGGCGGCCGCCGCCTCCGGCACCCCCCGCTGCCCCCGCTGCTGCTGCTGCGGCCTTGCCCGCTGTGGCTGTGGTGGCGGCGCCAGGGCAGCAGGCCTGGGTCACCGTATCGTCGTCGTCACACATCTCACCCAAGTCCCCGTCTCCGTTGTCCCCGGCGCGGCGGCCGGGCCATGCGACAGTCGCCTCCCCTCCGCCTCCGCCGGCCCCCCCGGCTCCCCGCGGCACACCCTCCCGCGGCGCCGCTTCTGCGTTCGGTTGGAAGGAAGTACGGAATGATTATGCCCCGATTCCCTAAACAAAAGGGATGTAAGGTTTACAGCTCGGAAGTGCCATGTAACACTGCACCGCATGCACCTCCCAGATCCGCCCTCGTACCTGCATCCCCCGCCTCCCCCATCTCCACACTCCGACAAGACGACGGCGACGCCAGCCCAGCCGCCTGACCCAGCCGCATGAAAACACCGCCGCCGCCGCCATCGCTCCCTCCGCCCTCCAAGCCCTCCTCCCCCTCCTGGTCGGCCAAGGCGCCATCATCCATCTCACCACCGCCGCCTCCCTCATCTCCCGCACCTTCTCCTCCGTCACCTCCCTCGCAGCCGCAGCCGCCCGAGTGTGTGGCACGAGGTCGGGCGTGTGTCCGGGTGGCAGCAGCGGCCTCCGCTGCAGCAGCCTGCGCAGCAGCCATCTGGGTCGCCTGCGAGCGGGCGGGCGGGGCCAAAGGAACGCAAAGAAATGGAGATTGCTGCTGCACGAAAGAAGACACAAGATGCTGCTCGCGGTACCATGCAAGCCCCACATGCCGCCACCAAGGCCCCACCTGCTGTCCCCCCCCCCCCTCTCCCCCTCCGCCCCACCTGCCACCGCAAGCACGCCTCGCTGGGTGTGTCCCGCGCCGCGCAGCACACCAGGAAGCGGCCGCAGGAGCTGAAGTGGATGCCCATCTCACTGGCGGGAGGGTGAGGGGGCGGAGGGGCCAGAGAGCGGGGCGCGGCGGGGTGGGACGGAGGAGTTAGCAGGGGGAGCCATGGAAGGGGGTGGGATGGAGAGACGCAGCAGTGAGCGAGGAAGGGAAGAGGACCCGCGGATGAGGGCATCCCGGGGCGCTAATCCTCAATCCCAAGCACCACTCCCAGACCTCCCAGCGTCCCACTTTATCCCTAATACCCCTTCCTTTCTCCCTCCCTCATCCAACACATTGGGTATTCCTCTTCCCCCCCCCCGGCCCCACCTGCACAGCGCCACCCTCGGCAGCACCAGCAGCTCCCGCCGCAGCTCCCGACCCGGGTCGCTGAACTCCCACAGTCGCACCGTCACGATGCAGGCGGTGTCGCTGGGCGCGGCGGAGGAGGCTAGCGAGCCGGGCTGCAGCGCCCGCAACGCGCTCTGCCGTACCCGCTCCACGTCTCTTTCTGACAAGCGCGGCGAATGGTCCCAGCCCCACACAACATCATAGGGGTCGAAGACGGACCCGCTGGCCCCAGCACCAGCAGCATCTAGGGTACGGCCGCCAGCAGCGGCGCCGCCGTCGAGCATGCCGGCGGCCGACGGCGCCCCGCCGCGAGCAGCTCGGTGCGCCACTCGGTGTGCCGCCACCGCCGGCATCACCAGCGGCGGTGATGGCGGCGGCTGCGCTGCCGCCGGCGTCACCAGCGGTATCGCATGCCTGACCCCGCCGCCAAGGCTCTGATGCCGTACGACATCTGCCGGCGCGATGACGTTGATGTGGCCGCCGGCTGCCCTCATTGCGAGCATGACGTCATTCCCCGGAAGCGACTGCGAGGTGCCCCAGCCGCCCGGGTTGACAGACGGTGCGCCGCCGTCGCTGTCGGCGAATGCGCCGCCGCCGCCAGCGGCGGCGGCAGCAGGGACGCCAGCAGCGGTGGCGGCGGCGGGTCTGGGGCCGCCGGCGGCAGCATGGCCGGGGCCGCTGCCTTCACTCCAGCGAAGACCGAGGGCCGCCGTCGCGGCGGCGGGGGCGGCGGCCGAGTGGTGAGCGCCCGTGGCGGCGGCGGCGGCGCCTCCGCCGGCAGCAGCGGCTGAGAAGACTCCCGTCACGCCAGTCAGCAGGTTCCTCAGGAGACCCAAGGGCCATGCGGGCTGCGATGGGGTCCGACGGCGCAAAGAGGGCCATCAAGGGTGCTTTGACAGGAGGGCTATCGCATCTGAGGAGGACTATCGCACCTTCCCGCATCACACCCTCCTTACCTGGCCTGCTGCCGACGGCGGCCCCACTCTGCTGTCCCCTTGTCGCTGTTGCAGCGGTGGCGGCGCATGAGGAGGGAGGCCCCCCGGCGGCAGGGGCGGCAGGGGCGGTGGCTGCTGCTGCAACTGCAGCTGCTGCAATTGGAGCTGGGGAGCCCCATTGTTATGCGCAGTGAGGAACGCCGCTAGGTCGGCTACGGCTTCCTGGGCGTGATAGCAAGAACGCAAAGGGCAAAGGGCAAAAGGAAGGAAAGTGAAGTAATGGTGGCCACTGACCCATGGGTCTCGACAACGTCTGGAGCAACCACAGCCCCAAAGTGCCAGAGCTGCCAGAACGAGGCACCAGCATACCTGTGTTTCAAGCTCCGGGTCCCATACAGGCCCCCCTTCTGCAGCTGCTCCTCCGGCTAGCCCCGCACCGCCCCCGAACTGCTGCTGCTGTTGCTGATGGTGGTGCAGATGAGCGTTATGTGGGTCGCGCGCTCCTGCGGGTCCTCCGCCTGCATGCAACGACCCATGCTGCTGCCCCCACTGCTGCTGCTGTAGCGCCTGCTGCTGCTGTTGTTGTTGCTGGGCTGGGTTTGCAGCGGCGCCCTCCCCCCCCGCCGCCCGCCGCTCTAGTACCTCTGCCGTGAGCAGGATGTGCGGCGCGGTGGGGTGGAAGTGCAGTGCGCGCAGGGAGCGGCGCGTCTTCAGGATCTTGACGGGGGCAGCCATGCGTGCAAACTGCCAGCTGAACACCTGAGGAGCAAGGCGAAGGGAAGTTGGGGAGTGGCGTAGGGGTGAAGAGGAAGTGCCATGATTCCCATGAATGACTTACGGGGGGCACTGGGGTAGGGGCATGTTGTTTAGGAGAGTGGATGCAGTGACACGCGAGGCCGACTGGACCAGGTGAGAGGCGAAGTTAAGCCGAGGCGATGTTTCCATGCAATGTATGACATGATGGAAACCTGGATCCATGTTCGTACCTTGTGACCAGCGGACACCACCAGCACAGTGCCGGAAGGGTCGAAGGCAAGGGAGGCGATGGGCTTGCCTGCACGACATGAAAGGGAGCAAGGGGGCAGCGGAGCGAGGACAGTCCATACCGTGCGGATGCGCACGCAGCCATGCAGAGGAACGAGTTGCAAGCAATGAACTAAACAGTGAACTACATGTGCAAAACGTTAACGCTAATATTGTTCCTCGCCACAGGGACGGCTTGCCAAGAGAGGTCAACCCCAGCGTCGCCCCGTACCCCCTGGCCAGCGGTTTACTGACACCCTACCCGAGCCTCTGTGGCGTCGTTGTCCTCTCGGCATCGCCTTCCCTTTTTCCCACCACCGGAAAAGTCGCTACTACAGCGTTGCTTCGCTAGGACCTGGCAGGACCATCCTAACCCATCCATGGTGCTTACCGAAGTCGCATTTGTAGAGCATTCGTCCAGTGCTGATTTGCCAGACAATAGCCGTGAAGTCCAGGGAGCCACTGGCCATGATATCGGAATCCGCAGGGTTGAAACGAACCTGCATTGCCAGCGCATTATATCAATCCAAGTTCTTTTTCAGCATGGCCAACAAAACGTGCTAAGGAACACTGCTTGATCACTATAGCGTATTCCTTCATGGTCCTCATATGCTGGAAACTCACCACCCATGGCGTTCGTCGGTGGCCCGCAAGTGAGATAATAACTTTGCCGGTCGCAACTTCAGTAACTTTTACTGTATGATCTCCGCTGTTATTTGTCAAAATCGTCGGCGTGTTAGACGCGTGCTTAGCGCAAAGCCAACCCATACTGCACAGTCCTTACAAAACCTACTGTGTCGACGCCAGGTATCTTCCATCTGGGCTAAACGCCGCAGCAATTGAGGAACGAGGGGAAGGCTGAAAGTCCACATACTCGGAAGAAGCGTGTCGCAAGAAGTCGGCTTCAGCCCAACGGCTGAACGCGCGGTGACCCCCCCGGTGGAACGGCTTTCCTGCAGGGGACTGACCTAACTCTCTTGACTTCAGTAAGGAAGTAATGCTTTCCTTCGGCATCGCCTCAGAGCCACCGTTATGAGCTATTGACTTGTCCTTGCATTGCTGTGTGCTGTTTAAAGTTTAGGTTAAGCTCGTTCCAACATCAATGTGGCCGATATAGAAAATAAAAAAGCCATGAATGCACCATATCATGATTGCAACAATGGTACGTCCAACCACTCATGGGTCTTGCCGTACTTGCCCCACAGATAGAGTCACGGCAGCGTCCATCCACGATACACGAACAGAATAAATTTGCCAGCTGCCATGTACCCAGATTCCAAGCGCTTTATACTTGGGGAATGTGGGTATAAACTCCCATTCGAGCGTTCATCGAGTACGGCACCATACACTGCTGTACGGTCGTAACTCCTACGCAGTAACACGATATCAACGTCTTATTCCTGGCCTGAATCCCACACTACAACCCTATACTGGCCCTCCAACGTCGCTGCGAGCTAAGACTGCATCCTTACTCCGCCTAAGTACAGCTGAATCGCAGCCCGACAACCAGGGCTCCATGCATTCCACGTCAACGCCTACCTGTTTAACCCATGCGCAAACAGCCCGCATACCGCTTCTGTTGACGGGCCTAGCGCCCAGTCCAAAACACCCACAACCTCCAGATGTTAAGAGGTACCGGTATACCGAGCTGTACGTCCACCCTGACAGGGAGAAACCCCAACCGATGAAACATGGAGTTGTCGAGGTTTTGCGAGAAAGCGCCTAGTATGCTATACCGGTGATGCTATAACTGCAACGGCCGAGCTACCAACGGCCAACCGAAGGATTGGCCGACATAACCGAGTAGCGTCACTCAGCGCGTCATAACCGGCCCTGGTACTAACTTGGCAAGCGTACATGTTTGCCGGGCCGGCAGCCACGGCCTTCCAGGCCTTGATTAAGTACATCTGCCCTCAGCATATAATGTTTTATAAACAACTACGCGCGAAAAACACGCTACATTCCTTCCAGGCAACCGAGCAGTCAACAGGACCGCACAAACCCTTCACTCTGTGCAGCTCCCTTCGCCCCACCCTCGTCGCATACACCGGTAAGCCATCGGCGAGTCCACAAATCCGGTGCTTTGCAACTGTTACCAGGTTGCAAGGCCTCATTTGTCCAACGGGTACCGTACCAGCTCCAATGCCTGCCATCCCATTACCGTCCTGCCTAACGCACAGCCCCAATCCGCTGTCCTACCAATACACCTTACGCGCTGCGTGCCCACAAAAGCAAGACGCGGTCAATGCTTCCCTGCTGCGCACCTCACTCACTCACTCACTCACTCATTCATCATCCCCCGTCAAGTCCACCACATCCGGCGGGGGCTGCACCCGCGGTCCCTGCGGCCCCGCCCGCTGTCCGCCGCCTTGCGGCTGCGTATGGGTCACTGCGGGCTGGTGCTGCTGCTGGTGCTGCTGCGGGGGCCGTGCAGGCGGCTTCACGCCTGGGCCGTGTCCGGGGCCAGGAGGCGGCTGCTGTGGCGGCGGCGGTGGTGGTGGTGGAAGCGGCGGCTGTACGGCAGGCGCTAGGTGACCCGGCGGGTCGGTGCCCTGCTGTCGTGGTTGCAACCGCGTTGCGTCATGCTGGTGTCCCGCGCTCCCCGCTGCTGCCGCTGCTGCTGTGGCTGCGGCTGCTCCAAGAGCCCCCGCGGCTCTGAAACCCCGTTCCACCTCCACACAACCCTCGTCATCTTCCTCATCCTCATCCGGCCCCCAGTCTTCGTCGCCCCGGACCTCGCCTGCACCGTCCTCCCCAGCCGCCTCTCCTAAGGGGCCCGCCAAGCACCCACCAGCCCCGCTCCGCCTCTCATCCCCTCCCACCTGCTCCTCCACCCCCGCTACCACCCTCTGCTCCCCCTGCTCTGTCTCCAGCACTGGCGGAGCAGCACCTGTTACTGTCGCACCCCCAGCGCCCCCAGCAGCACCCTCCGGTGGAGAGCTCTGCCACCCCACCGCATCGCCACCACCATCATCACCACCACCACTAACACCCTCCTCCGCGCCATCCGCATGCCACGCTCCCGCTCTCCAACCCGCCCAAGGCCTCACCCCGCCCACGCCACCACGAGTGCCAGCACCCTTCCCTCCTTGCTGCTGCTCCTCCTCTTGCTCCTCCTCTTGCTGCTCCTCCTCCTGCTGCTGCTGCTCCTCCTGCTGCTGCCGGGCATGTCGCTGCCTTGCCGTCTTTGCCCTGCGTAACCTGCCGTCCCCACCACCACCACCGCCACCACCCTGCTGCTGCTGTTTCTGCTGCTTCCTCGTCTGCTCCCTCTCCACCGCCTCCAGCGCCGCCCGCAGCTGCTCCTGCACCGTGTCCATGTCCACCTGCAGCAGGTGGTACTCCGAACGCGACTTGCGCAGCTGCTGCTCCGCCTCCTGAGGGGGGAAGGGGGGAAGGGGGGGGGAGAAACAGCCCGGGGGTTGGCGGGGGCGGGGCTTGCCGTGCGCCGGCTGCGGGAGAGCACTGGCGGCAGCAACAACACTAATCACACAGCCACTCGCGCAGGCGCGTAACAGCAGCAGCAGCAGCAGCAGCAGCAGCAGCACAGCAGCAGCCAGCAAGGTCCGCTGCCACCCTGTTAGGCCCCCCTCCCACCTTGCGCCACAGCTGCTCCTCGGCCAGCCTCCCCTGCACCGACCCCAGGTCCTTCTTCAGGAGCACCAGATCCGCTCTAGCAGCCTTGCCCACCTGTACGACAGGTACGTCGTAACGGTCAACGGTAACCCTAACGGTAACCCTGCCGACGACACTCTTAGCGCTATGCATGGAGTGCTGTGATGGAGTATATCGGGAGCTCGTAGCAGACGTGTGCGACGGCGCATGCGGCCCTAGGCAGGGGTGCAAACAGGAGTACGGTAACTGCAGGGAGGTCAGGAACACCCAAGAGCGTTACCGGATGTGATATCGGCACACAGCAACCCTCTACACACATGGACACACCACCTCTGGCGGGTTATGCCAAGCGAGCAATCACCCGCCCCATCACCCCACCACACCACACCACCCCCCGCTCACGTCGGCTGCCGCCTGCAGCTCCGCCACCCGCTGCCGCAGCTCCCCCACCTCCCGCAGCAGCTCGCGGAGCTCAGGCTGCGGCAGGCCCTGCTGCCAACTGGAGAGGCCCGCCTGGGGGCACATGGTGGTGGGTGGGGAGGGCACGAGGGAGGGGGGTAAGATAGCGGTAGTGTCTGGGGTGCATGTGTGTTAAGATAACTGGCCGCGAGGCGAAACGTACTGTGATTGTGTATACCCTATTCGATCTACTGGGTCGAGGGAGGGGACTCCACCCCCCCACCTTCAAGCAAGCAATGCTCGCGTCCCTTTCCTTGAGCTGCTGCTCCAGGATGCGCCGCAGATCCTCGCCTCTGGACCGCTCCTCGGCCAGCTCCGAAACCACTCGCTCGTACTGCAGCTGCCGGTCCTTGAAGAACGCGAACTGGCGTGGAAGGAGGAGGTAAGCAAGGGGGTAAGCAGCATGTTGGATGGGTATTCCACGTAGAAGCGGTTGAAGTCACACTTTCCGTTGTCCCCTAACCAGCTTAACCAACTACTTACCGTCTTGGAGCGCTCCTCCATCACTTTGAAGTAAGACCCTGCGAGCAAAACACATGGGTAAGGGAGGGCACATGACCATGGGGGATTCCACGACCCGTGGGTCAGCCGCCAACCCTTTCAGACTTTTTTAACGCAGCAGGACGTTACTGCCCACAACAAACTGCGTTCCCCCGTACGTATCTGTGTTTTCCCATCTGTGTCTCCTAGCACGACTCAAGGCGGTTATCCCGCCCCCTCCCGCCCCTCACCGGTCACGTCCCAGTGCAGGAGCACCTCCTCCGCCCTCCGCACGGGTCGCAGCGTGTGGTAGAGCATGAGCGGCATGTACTGCACGGTGCCGCTCGAGTCAAACCACTTGACTATGCCCTGCGGCGTGTCGTCGGCGCGGAACGCATGCCAGTTTTCTTAACACATCGAATTACTCTACATCGCTCTGCAATGTTATAACAGGACGTTGGCTTGCATATGATGAAGCACGGGCAGCATCACGTTACCTGCTTGTTGGTTGCATTCTCTTGGCGTCCTTCATACTTGTGGCAGTTGCAACTCCCCGTCTCACCGCCGGCCCGCTGCTGGCCTCCACACCTCCGCCTGCAGCCACAAAACACACAATACCGTGGATACCGTGGTAGGGATCGCATGACTGACTCTGTGACTGACACACACATGCATGCATGGCCCACACACACTAGCTAGCTAGCTAGGCGTTGACCGGCGGACCGTTCAAGAACGGAGCTCGCTCCTCGCGTCCCCAGCTGCCCAAAGCTCAACACCAAGTACGCACCACAACGCTCACGTCACCTCACCGCGGAAACACAGGTCGCCCTCACACCGCATCCAGCAGCGCCCCGACCCACCGACCCATAAGGGGCGCCATGACCGCCACCACGCTCCCTATCCGCCGTAACATGCAGACCATACGAGGATGCTAGAGCCATGGGGGGCAAGCCATGCAGACAGACAGGGTGACTGCAGGCAAAAGCCGTGACAGCAGGCGGGCCGTGCAGACGGGCAGCCCGGCACCCACCCACCAGAACTTCTTCTCGTTGGCGTATGTCATGATGCAGCGGCGCGTGTCACCCGCCACCAGCAGCTTCCGAGCCTGGCTCTCAAAGTGCTGCAAAGGGGAGTGAGAGGGGTGGCTGTTGTTTGGCTGGATACTACTCGGGTTATAATGCCAGATGGTAGCCACCGCAGCACAGGTACCCAAGATGGGTCCAGGGAGGTGTCAAGGGCGGGGCGGGGCGGAAAGCGGGCTACGGAGCGCATCGTACCAAGGAATGCCAGGGCTGGCGGCTATACCGGTACATCAACGCCCTGCCAGCTGCCACCATGCCGTATATCTACCGGTATCCGCGACGGACAAGGATGAAGGCTGTCGTACCGCACGTGCTCACACCCCTGCCAGGGTCTCCCCCCCCAGTGCACCCCACCCCACCGCACCTCCGTGAACCAGAAGTCGTGGGAGTAGGCATCTTCCAGCTGCCGCTCGCAGGTCTCATCCGACACCAGCTCCGCGTGGTTCTCACCCTGGCGGGCAGGTGGGGTGAAGGAGGTCAGAGACCATACCCAACCATAGGGAACCACAGGTTAGGGCAAAGCAAAGGGAGTGGGGGGGTTTGAGCCGGCGGGAGTCAGGCGCGCCAGGAGCCAGCTAAAAGGAATGCAGGACATGGGGGCGTCAAGGGTGTCAAGGCATGCAGTCAAGGGTGTCAAGGCATGCAGTCAAGGGTGTCAAGGCATGCAGTCAAGGGTGTCAAGGCATGCAGTCAAGGAATGTGAGGGTGAGGAAGGCCCGCAGCAGCAGACCGGCATGCGCTCGCATCCTTGTTCTTGTTCTTCAGTGCGACAAGTGCCGCGTGCGGGACGGCAGCTGTTGCGCCGTGGTGCACTCACGCTCCCAGTCGCCCCAACCCGTCCATCCACCTTCGTTCCTGCGTAGTGCGCACCGTCATACCTGCCTCCCACCCACCTCCGTTTTGACAGTCCCAAAGTACGCGGACAGCAGGGTATTCTCCGGCAGGTCCTCTGAAGCGGGGAGGCAGCGGGCGGGGTGGGGGAGGGATGGAGGGAGGGGCGGAATGGCCGCGGCAGGGCGTATGTGTGACCCATCCTGACCTGGTGACACCTATGCTGACGGCGCCATTCAGTACTGGTAACTCGCCCACCCGCTTTCTCAGCAGCCCCCGCCCCACCATGCCCGCGTCTTCCTTCTTGTCTTCGTCCCTGTTGCTGCTGCACCATCAAGACCATCAGGCTTGTCACGACCCCTAACCCCACCCATCCGACCCCCCCCCCCCCGCCCCCCAGGTCGGCCCTTCCGCCCCAGATCCCACCCGTGAAGAGCAGCATGCGTTGTTTGGGCTCCATGCGCCCCTCCACCTGCATGCACACATTGGGTACCGGTATTCTCATTCAACACAGTCCACATACTTCTTTTCCACCTGCATGCAGACCTCAGCAGCCACCAACCCGTCAGCCAGCCAGCAAGCATGCCCCCCCAACACATTTGATGCCGCATCTGTCACCCCTCTTACGATGTGATTGTTGTACACGGGGTGGCAGGGGTCGGTCACGAAAGCCACCTCAACGCGCCTGGGAATGGAGCGGCTCTTTATCTCCTGCCAAGTGGGTAAGCAGCGAAACGGAGAGGAAGGGAAGAAGACAAACGAGGCACATTGCTTGTGGAATGCAGGGGGCGAAGGGCATGTAGCATTCACAAATCAACAGCCCCACCACCACCACCCCTCAACCCCTCAGCCACTGCCTTGAAGGATTAGCGCGCCTTGTCAGCCTAGCCACGCACCATCCAAACCCTCCCTCCCTTCATACAAGCGCACCCAAACCCCAACCCCTCACTAATGAGGGCCATGACCCATGGGTCATCAGACCTCCGGCTCCCTGCAATCCCCCCCCCTGCTCAGAATCACCGTAACCACCATAACCCCCTACCCGCGCCATGGCTGGGTGCGCCTTGGCGAAGTCCTTTATGGCCCAGCCGCCCTTCTGGTTGCGTTCCACCAGAAACACGCCGGTGTTCGGTTTGTCGGGCGCCAGCCGCTCGTCGCAGCATTGCCACTCCGCCACCAGGCTTCGAATCGCGCGCTGGGCGGCGAGGCTGGCTTCACCCCAGCCGGTGGCGGGCAGCGGCCTGCGCAGGAGGAGGAGGAGGAGAAGAGGCGGTGAGGGAGATGGGGAGGTGGTGGATTGGGATGAGGGTGACTGCGGGGTAACGGATTGGTATATCCACTTATAGTGTGCAGCGGGGCGCGTTACCCTCCTCCCTCCCGTACCTCCCCTCCCTCCCCCCCCGTCCTCCCGTCACCTGCCCAACCCACCCGCAGTCCTTCCAGGGCACCTCAGCAGCAGCAGAGGCGCCCTGATCCTGAGGCGGCGGCGTGTACACGTGGCACCCGTGCGTCCAGGGGTGAGTGGCAAGGGTAACACCGCCGGGCGCCCCGCCAGCAGCCCCGGCACCACCAGCATCACCAGCGCCGCAGCTGACCGTGCCCCTGCCGCCATCTCCGCCGCCTTCTCCCCTGGCCGTACCGCCATCGTCTCCCAGCAGCCGGCGGCGCTTGGCCACATGGCAGCCCGCCAGCCCTCCCGGCACCTCCCCTGCAGCAGCCCGGAGGACCGCAGCAGGGGCAGGAGGGACCGCAGCGCCGCCCGCCTCCACAGCGTGGTGCGGGGTAGCCCTTATGGGCGCAGCGGCAGCTGCAGCGGCGGCGGCGGCGACGGCGCTGTCCTCAGCAATCCCAATCCTCCTGTCGCAGGAGCTGGGACTGGTTTGGGCAGCCGGGCGGTGGGGCGGTGGCTGGGAGTCACCGGGGCTGGACTCCGTGTGGGGGCGGCCTGGGCTGCTGCCGGCGTGGGTGGGCGGTGGGAGCGGTGGTGCGGGGGCGGCGTTGCACTGCTTGCGTGCGGTTTGCTTCATGCGCCTGGGCGGGTGCCTGGAGCGCAGGTGGGGCAAATGGTAGAGGGCATGCAGGGAGATGCATGTCGTGCACGTCAGGTGATATGTCTGGTTCGAGAAACGGACTGTTCAGGGCTGCTGGGGATTGGGTGCAGCAAGAGTCAAGGCGCACACATACCTACCACTGCTGCAGTGCACATGCGATTCTGAAACCAGGCACAAGCTAATTGAAACGGGCAGCTGCCGTACGACCCAAATCACCCGCGCATTCTGACGAGGCGCTTACCTGTTAGCCCCTCCATTGAAACTGGCAGTAGCGTTCCCATCGTCAGCCACGCTGGCTGAGGGAGCTGAGGAGGCTGTGGGGACCGCAGCACCCGCACTACCAGGACCGGCAATCGCAGCGATTGCGTTCTCAACCCCTCTAGAATCCAAGCGCCGACCAGATGGCGGCTTTGTAGCAGCTGCATCAGCGGGGTGGCTGGTGTCAACGGGGCAGTCGTTCGCGCGGCTGCTATCGGGGATGGCAGCGGCAGAGGGGCCGTTTGCTACCGCGTACTCGCGCGTTGAAAGGTTTAGATCGGCATCTCCGTCAACCGAGGCCTGTGCCTCCAGATGCTGCTCCAGATGTGCATTCAGTCCAGTACTGCATCCCTGCGCCTGTGGCTCATGAGATTCGCACCACCGGTCCACTTCATCGCTGCCGCTGTCATCGTCGTCATCATTGCTTTCGTCCGGTAGGTCAACTCCGTCATCCTCAATTTCGCTTATTTCCCAGTCCTCGAGGTCTGTCATGGCTCCGAGTGAAGCGTACACTAGCAACAACCTAAGCCAAGAAAGAGGACGATCTTTTCTTTAAGATAACGAGCATGTTATATATAGCATCCCAGACTGTTGTGGCAACTTCTTTTTTTAGACGCGATTCAAAAGATGTTTCCCATGCAGGTTGCAGCGTTGTTCCTGTCAATCTAAAGAGTCCAGTTAAACAATGTGCATTTAGGTAGATATAGGTAGAAGTCCACAATTGTATTGACTTTGACCGCTCGCACTTCATTCAGCGCATGCACGGCATTGATTCCAGAAAACTACGTTATTGCTCTGGGCCACGAGACTAGAGGATTGTGCGGTATATGACGGGAACAGAAGAGACACAGGGGTTGCCTCCTCCCCTCCCCTGCTTGCGGAGGGTGAGGAGGGCGGGGACCAATTTACAAGAACCAAGAAGCATACATGGGCAGAGAGAAGTCTGTTATCTGGACCAATTAAAACCACGACCAACCTAGACATCTCTCCATTACACTGTCACGCTCGCGACAAAACCACGCAGACCGCGAAGGAACCAAGATGTGACCCTCGGGTCACGCATGAAACAATTCACCTCGCTGGGCACATCTGAATACATCTGAATAGCACTAGAGGATCTGAATAGCACACCCACGAGTCCTCCCTAATCCTGGCTACCCTTCTCCGGCCCCTTGTACGGCTCCCCGAGGCGCCAAAAATGAACTGGACACACTCATGTTGTCCTCAAGGGATTCGAACCCTCAAACTGCCCCAGGCTTTCCTGGACAGCCGCTGTTGGGACAATCCGTCGTTGGCACCACCAACCTCGCCCCACCATGGTACCCCAAAACGGCTTCCCACTTACTTGGCACCGGGGCTCCCATTGGCTCCGCAGCAACGTGATGCCGCAATCTGGTTGCTCTGGCGTCCTCGAGCATGCAGCATGTCCCAGGGTGCGCGAGGTCATGGGGAGGGAGCACAGGGAAAGGGGTGGGCGTTTTAGCAATTTGAGCCACGCGGGGATGATCACAACGGCAGCAAAACGCAATACATGCCGGATCCCCGAAACCCCCTGTTGCTGTTCATACTGTTGTTGCTGCTGCTGATGATGATATTGCTGTGCTGTTCACTGGGCTGCGGCTGGTTTGCTGGCTGGCTGGGCTGGCTGGCTGGCTGGCTGAAAGCTGGGGCTCTGAAGCCGTATTGCTGAAGGGCTGTTGCTGCAGCTGGGTCTGGGTCCGGGCATGTCGGTGATCCCCACACGCCTCCCCCCCTACATCCCCTTCCGCAGCCACATCAAGCCCCCCTACTTACGTGGATTGTATTTCCCTCCCGGCCGCAGTCGTCCCCGCGTCCCCGTGGATTGGCGCTCATCTCGCGTTCTCGAGCATTCCAGCGTCCGCAGGTACATGTCGCGGGAGGGCAGGAAGGAACAGGGGGAACACTCAGCAGCAAAAGGAGGGGTGCATTGGACATTGGGTAACACGAAACAAGCCGCCCACCATCCTAACCCCAAACCGCTGCTAATGCTGCTGTTGGCTGGTATGCTGTTGGCTGGTATGCCGTTGAAGGCGGCTGAGGGCTGCGACTGGGGCTGATCCCGCTCTGAAGCTGATAGGCTGATAGGCTGACTGCTGATGCTGCGGCTGGGGCCAGCCAGCGGCTCTCGGATGCGGCTACACATCCATGTGCATTCCCTGCCCTAACCCCATCACGTGGACCCCATGCTACTTACTTGCAACCAGGTCCCTCTCTCAGGGCCGTCATGAAGCCCGCACGCCGCTGGCTCCCCGTTCCTACGCCGGAAGCGGTCGCCGCGCCTTGCAGCAGCAAACAGCTGCGGGGAAGGGAACAGAAGTGCGGGACGGGGAGTACGGGTCAGCAGGAAGAGCCGGGCAGCTGGCGCGAATCCGTCTCAGGTATGCTCTTAAATAAGTGCTCGATGCCCGTGCATGATGCCTAGTATGATGCAGCTCTATGCCCCCACATGCATGCACGGGCTGCTGGGACCTACCTGACGTTGCCGTGCTGGTCTTGAGTGCTGGAAGTCCCCGGCACCTCCTTGAGCATCCAGCAGCCGTCCGTTCCGAGGTCCGAGTGTGCGACCATGCCAGGGGGCCAAAGGGGCAACAGCGGGGTGAGAAACATGAGACATGCGACACGGGCGGGACATCGGCAGGACAAGCAACGCAAACACGCACATGCCCGCATGCTCAAACCCTGCTTCGCTGCTGCTGATTGGCTGTTGCTGTTGCTGTGGAGGCTGATGGCTGGCTGGCTGTATTGCTGATGTGGCTGGCTGGCTGAGGTGAAAGCTGCGGCTGACGGCTCTGAAGCCCTGACGCTGGAAGATTGAAGCTGGGTTTGGGCATTGTAACCAAGGAATCCATAACGTCCCATAACGATGACGGCCCCAGACAGCCCCCTACTTACGTGAGCAACGCGTCTCTCCATGACCACCCGCACGCTTCATGGAAGCCATGCGGGGCGACCTTGTTGCGCCACGTGACGGACCGTCCTTCCTGCATGCAGGCGATGTTACAGTTAGCAAGAGTTACCGGAGGATTAGACACGTAGGCTTTCCATGGGTCAGGCGAACAAGACAGTGGCACACAGCAAAGAGACAAAGAGGCACTCAATTCGGCTGGTTAGGCCATGCGGGCCGACCCCTTCGAACAATCCCCTCGGGGGGCCCTTCGGCGTGTTAGGCCATGCGGGCCGACCCCTTCAAGTAATCCCCTCGGGGGGCCCTTCGGCGTGTTAGGCCATGCGGTAAAGTGTTTCCAGCCCTTATCCTTGGCTTGGGCGGCGATGATAGCGCGGGAAGTCGACGAAGGCAGCGCAATGCTGCGTTAATGACCCGTGGGTCACACGCAGGCGCCTGCCAGCTGCTGGGCCTCCAGCTCCACACGTAGACCGCAAGCACCAGTGCGGATAAACATGTCGGGGGTTGAAAGGGCAACAAAGGGGGGATAAGTCCTCAGTAGCATATTCGTACGGTCGCAATAGAATGCGCAAGCGTGAGCACATAAACAAGACACACGCGCTGCCCCAGACCCCGCTGCTGCTGCTGCTGCTGCTGCTGAGTCGACAACTGGCTGGCTGGCTGGCTGGTTTGCTGACGGCTGTCGCTGAAAGGTCTAAGGCTGCATAGCTGAGGCTGATCGGCTGTTGCTGTTCTGATTTCGGGGCCGGGGCGGCGACACAATCCCTCCAAGTCTTCTTCTAGCAAACTAACCCCACATCTATGCAGCCAATACCAACTTACCGGTACGCGGAATTCCAATGCCCTTGGAACATGCTCGCCGTCGCTCTTTTCGCGTCGATTTTGTTCTTCAGCGTCGCTCCTGCACAGAAAGCAAATGGTATAATAGATCAGCATCAATTAAGAAGAGAGGGGTAAATGCCGGTTACTCGGCAGCGACGACAAGGGCAACTCAGCAGCAAGCGTACCGTTCGATGTGACTCCGGTACTGCTGACGGCTCGCCGCAAGGTCAGAAACGAGTCGAGGCCGACGAGCCACCCGGACGAAGCGTCGGGAACCAGGATCGGAGGCCCATGCGGAGATCCAAACCGAGGTGGGGGGCAGTTGGGCACAAGGGAATGGGTTGGTGGGTATAGGAGAACGGATGAGACGCTAGAGCAACGCACGAGTGGAAAGCAGCGGCGAGCAAGCCGGAGACACTCTGAGTCGCTCCTGCCCCATGCAACGGGCCGCCAACAGAACAACATGCCTTGCCCACGCAGACGACCTAACGACATGCCGCATGCAGCGGTGGCTAGGCGCTGCTTGCGGCATGTCTATTAGGCCGGCTGCGCGGGCAAGGCTTAACCGACATCTATTGGGGACCCAACTTGCCTAGCTGTTGGATGCGAGCGCCCTCGCCGCGTAGGAGTCTTATGATCTTGGTCGCGTAGTCTCAAGCCTTGGACTTTGGTTGAGCACGCGCTTCACAAAAGGCAGCTGAGTAGCCAGGGAGCACTGCCTTGTAAGCTGTGCCTGATTTGACCTGCAAGCAAGACAGGTAACAAGGAAACTACCGTTAGGGAAGCGTATGGGGGAACGGTAGGGAAGTGGCTGAACATGGTAAGCGCCATGAGCATGAGCATCGTGCCATGGACCCAGGGTGTTAGACGCTCGCAAATGTTTTTGCCCACAGAGTCAATTGTAAGAATAGCTATAGTATTATAGCCTCTTAGTTGCTCTAGTGCTGAAAGAGCCTTGACGCCGCTCGGACCAAGAGGCAACCTCGTCGGTTGCGAACCCTCACCTTTCCGGCCTTGGCAACATGAAGTATTATATACACCCCTGTTATGGCAGTGCAGGTTTTTCGTGAAAAGCCACCTGCGGCGCGTTTAACAAGGGCTTTATTAACTCCGTAAAGCAATTGGCCGAGGCGGGGCCCTGTTGTTATGCCAACACCTCAACTTTGTAGGTGCATAGACGCCTTACCTTATACTTCTCGACGGCTGGCAGCCAGCAACTTTACTTCTAGTACTACGGTGAAGAAAGCTTTCCGCACTAGTGTAAACCTCGGAGTGCAGGCAATGTACACAGAAAAACAAGTTGGTATACAAGTATACATGTATATACCAAATGGCGGCAGCAGCTTAAAAGCGAATGCCCAAAGGTGCCGTACAGTACGTAAGGGAAGTAGCATACTTCGCGCAAGGGAGGGCACCGGACGAAAACCTCAGTTGTACACTTTAACGCCAATCCCAATCATTTGCAAGGGCGTTTGGGCGTTTCAGTGGCTGCACCACAGCGGAAATGGCTAACAGATAAACCCTTCCGAGAACGCTCGCTCGCACGTGGCGCAGCTGGAATTTTTTTACCGATACACTGATTTACGGTTTCCCTGAGCCATGTATAGGGCTTTAATATAGTTGCTAGGTATCAGGTAGGGCATCTCGCTGTCACGGTGATGTCGCTGATGTCCATTGGTGAGGTGGTCAAGCTCGAAGAGGCAGCCTGGCTAGGTCTGAACGTGCTATTTTGGCAAGTAGAAGTGGTGCGGAGAAGGGCTCAGCTTTTATCAGCTTTCCAGGACATCAGCCCCGCATAGCTGACTCGGTAGCCCCCCCAGCCCCAACACGCCCCCCCCCCTCATGCCTAGTTTTCCTTATTTTTACCCCCTCATGCCTACGTCGGAAAACCCTCATCAGAAATCATGCCAGGAAGAAGGCACGGCTAGCCATATCCTCTCTTCGCACGCGTCATTGCACGGAAGCTTCCAAAACCCCAAACAAAGCCTGCCCCCGGCCCCATACCTCAAATCTGCCCTGTCCAAAAGTCTGGAACAGCCCACCAGCCCATACGCCTGACAACTCAACTCCGCTTCCTAGCTGACTAGCCTACTCGGTCCCAACCCGCGCTGCTCCCCAACCGCTATCGCCAACCCTACTAAAGCCACCGCTCCAGCCACCCCCATACGACCACTCCTCCACCTCCTCTCCACAGCTCCGCCGCATCATGCAGGCGTCGCAAGCGGGCAGCACCTGCCATCACCCGATGAGGGGAAGGCGTGGGGGGGAAGGCGGGGGCGATATGCGGTTGGAAGCTGCAAGACACAGTCCGCAGTTGCCGCGACTCGTAGCGGCACACGGCTTGGTTTGAACGGTGCGTACCCGGTACATGCAAGGATACCCTTCCTGTTTGGACACACGAGTCCCGCTCCTCCCTCTCTCTCCTCCCCCTAACCTGGCGGGCATGTGCTGCTGCAGGCCGCTGAGCGCATCCGTGAAGAAGACGCACGGGTCGATGGGCGCGTCAGTGCAGCTCCTAGTCGCCCGACTCCTCCCCCTCGCTGTCGCCATCGCCCAGCAGGTCCCGAGCGCCTCGCCAATCAGCCCGGATCACCCCGTCAGCGTCCTCCCCCTCGTCTTCTTCCTTCTTGGCTAGCTCCTCAGCAACGTTTCCCGGGGCACCGCCAGCAGCGACACCCGCCCCAGCACACTCTCCCAATTTCTCCCAATTGCTTGCTCTTGTTCTACTCAATTACCGGTACACACATCTTCTTGTCATGTCTTCTTGTCATGCTGCCGCCGGATGTGCTTGGGCTTGCCGCTCTTCTTGTTGACGGTGGTGGCGGCGAACCAGGCGGACAAGAAGGAGCCCACGCAGCATATCCGCGCCAGCAAAGCAGCGCGAGGGGCGCGTTGCGGTACAGGCCGTACAGCGCGTTCGCCACCACCAGCACCAGCGTGTCCTAAACGGAGGGGGGAGAGAGGGAGGCGCGGAAGGCAGCGAGGGAGGTAAAGGGCTCATCGGGCAGAAACATACGACACATGCGGCCAGTGCTACCCTCTCCCCCGCCCTGTACCTCCCAAACCTCCTGCACCCCTCAACCTTCTCGATCACCTTGAGTGTGCGGTTTGTGGCGCTCTGCAGCTTCCCCACCGCCAGCTGCAGGAAGGGCCCCACCCAGGCGTCCACCCGCCCCCGGCAGTTCTGCAGCACCACCTCCAGCAGCTTGGCGGCGGGAACCACGTCACGCTCGCCGTACCCCTCGCCTGTCAGCACGCCGCAGACCATGCTGATGAGCGAGGTGCGGTGGTCGGGGGCGGCGCAGCGTAGGGGGTCACGGGCGTCATGGGCAGCTTACCGCGTCGCCCTCCTGCCTGCTTGCAGTGTCCAGCACCCTGTTAATGCACTTTCGGACAGCTGCAGTACACCCCGCCATGCAGCTCGGGATGCTGCTATGGTTGCCTGGGTCAGGATGCCATTGTACTCCCTGTAGGGATGGATGCAACCGCTATCATGTCATACCTACGCTTCTCTGTATCGTATGTTTTGCCGTACTCCCACGGGGAACGGCACAGAATGAATGAGCACGAACGCCCTGAATGTGCACGAATGACCTGTCATTTAGCCAGGTGCAAGGGAATTTAAGTAGAACGCAATAAGGAAGCAGCCGTGTGTACAGAAACCCGATACGGGTATGCGAGGCATGCATTGCCAGTTCAGGCATGGTTGTAGTACATGGGGGTTTCTTTGCACGGAAGACAAATCTGACAGATAATGTGCGCTTAAGAGTGTCTGTGTGTGCCTCTGTATATTGGAGATGCAGCGAAGTTTGCGTGTCGCGGAATAGGGTCCGGGTGCGTTGAGGTCTGCTTGAGTTCCGGCACGAACGGTCCTGCATGGACATCTCCAAGGGGCGAGGTATTTCGTGCAGGACGGCTAGTGTAGGCCGTCACTCCCAGCATACATTATCATGTTGATACCACGTGCCTTGGTTCCCTCAGTCCGTCATGGTGGGAACCTAGCGGATAAGTGCCCTAATCCGCTGGAGTCCTCGTCATCGGAAACGCGAAGAGCAGAAACTCGCCAAAACATTAGATGCAAACTTCTCTGTACTTCCAGTCATTTTCTGTACACCTGTTTTCAAGCACATGGCTGCCCCAGTATTGAAGAGGTTCCCGGCTTCCTTGCTCAACGTGACGCAGAACGTGAATAAGATGTACACAAATGCTACAGATCGTACTTCCGTAACGATGTGACGTGTTGGTGCCAGCTGAAGCGCATTCCCCTCGACGGAGGCTCTTCTGATGTGGCTTTCGGAGCCTAATACGGAAGTACGGCCGGACAACACGAAGGTTTTGCGATAAAGGCTCTAAGCATGTCTTCTAAGAGCCGTGAGGAAAAGAGCATATCACCGGTGGTCGCCAATCACTAGTGCTGAGGACAGACAGTTGCGTAGCTGTTACTTTTGCTTTGGCGACAATGCCGCCCAGCTACAACCACACAACCAATGGCGTCAACTTGGCGGTGCGTCTAGGGAAAATATGGTTCCCGTCTCACACATTGTGCTGTGCCTAGCGAGGTCCAAGAGCCGCCTCTTCCCCTCCTCAATGCTATCTTCTTTCCCGCGCAGAACTATCGCCAATTGACGCAAAGTGCGCGGAACCATATCAAGAATGGTAGCTACCGTGCTCCCTACGAATGGACTCTGGAGGTAGGGAGCCTAAGGAACTTATTTGCATGTGCTTAGTTCCCTACCTGCCAGTCGGATGGCCTTGACGTGCCATGAACGAGAAGTTACTTGACATATACATGTTCTGTGATGTTCTGCCCTTAGAACGCTATACTATGTCCGTCGTGGGACAAAAGCTTAGGTTGATGGGCCTGCCCGCTCTGACGAAGCCTTACGGTTGCATGTCATGCCTGTCTACGACGATGTTGCATTGGGAAAAGCATTCTTTGCATTATATAAAATGCATCGTTGTTAGGTTCATGGTCCGGTCCTGTTAATAGGTTTGTGTCGCTTCCTTCTGGCACGCAGAGCATTGAGCAAATGGGCGCAGGAGCAGCAGAGAACCGCATGTCGTCTACGCTTCGTGATGCCAGCACACAGCTGCAGGTAGGGAGGTTGCCCTTTTGTTGAGAATCCTACCTAGCGCCCACCACCCTGTTAAACTCCGCTCTGTAATAACCAAAGCCGCCCGTTACATGTCTGCATGTGCTTCATGCGATGCTAGTCTTACGGGTGTTATCTGCTGTTTATCACTTCGCTCTCTTGCCTGTATCTGTCCGGTGCCGAGAATCGGCAGGGCTCGCCTTTCTTACAACGGAAACTCGTGAGGCCAATGTTTACCCGTTTCCTGCCCCAACATTGTGTGTGTTATAGGCAACGACGAACGCGACGGTAGCCAATGACATCACATCAGTCAATAAGGCGCTTCAAACGAAGCTCAGCCAAACGGAGCAACTGAAGGTGGGCAACTCCATCGATTCAGCGTTGCTAGGTGCTCTGAAACAATGTATATAACGGCCTACATGCGGTCCTTGTGTGGCACACCCGTACTGGTATACTGGTACCAACCCTGTACCGGCTTTAAGAACACGACCCCACACTCCTGAGCTTCTGCGTCCTTTACTCCACATCTCCAATTTCGTCCCTCAGAACATGCTTGAGGTCTGCTTGTCGGAGGTGGTTTCGGAGATTGCGGAGCTCCTGTCCACCAGAAAGCGCCTGGAGGAGCGGGGCGGCAAAGTAGCCACTAAGATTAGCGTGAACGCCAGCAGACTGCAGGTACGAAGGGGTAGCCACCCTTCTCCCATGTTTCCTCACGCGCAAGAGCCACATGCTTTCAACACCCCTGGCGCTCATCCTCCCTCATACGTCGTCCCCACCCACATGTCCCTCCCTACCCTCTTCCCCACCCTCTTCCCCCTTGGCTCCCTCCCCTAGGTCCGCTCTGCGCGGCCCACGCGCGAGATGACCATGGACGACGTGGAGAAGTCGCTGTTGAAGCAGCAGGGGCTGTTGGGGTCGTTTGCGGAGCGGGTGAACCGGGCGCTGTCGCAGGTGGACAAGGAGGTGGCGGCGCTGGAGGCGGTGAGGGCCAAGCTGGAGGCGGACCTCAGGGACAAGGTGGGCTGGGGACGGCTGAAGGAGGGGACTAGGAAGGGCGGGGTGGGGGGTCGTGGAAGGTGGTAAGCTGGTAACGGTGCGGTGCGGGCGAGGGTGTAAAGGGCGGTGACCCCGCCTTGAGGGTGCGGGACAGTGGACGAATGGGTGTGGAACCTGGGTTTTGGTAGGGGTCGGGCTGGGCTGGGGTGGGGTGGAGTGAGGGAACGTGGGTCTGGAAGTGACGACGTTGGTCACAGGACTGTGGCAGCGGATCAGGGCAGGCTTAGGAATAGGGGGGATGGTCCTGAATGCACACGAAGAAAGAGAAACGGCTGGGTAATGGGCACGGGCTTGGGCGGCGGTGTTCATTGGGGTCCGGGTAAGGCGTTGAGGGAAGGGGGATGCCGCAGGGCATCGTGCCGCCGCCGGGAGGCAACCCTGTGGTTCAGCAGCTCGGGTAAGGGCTGGGGGGGGGAAGTGTGAGGCCTGGGACGACCTGCGAGTGAGGCTGTTGGGGCTGATGGGGCTACCCTGTGGTTGCATGGAGCCTGGTTGCTGATGAGGCTACCCGCGGCCTTGCTAGCCCCACTACCCGGCTGCACCCTCCAGCTTGGGTCTATTGTCACGGTTGGTTGGCTGGATGTGTTGGCGGTAGTCCAGTGTCCTCACCCGTTGCTGGGTCTATTGCTTGCCCCGCACTCCACCTCAACAACGCCCTCCCCCGCCCCTTCCGCTCTTCAGATGGAGGCTCTGCGAGTGGACGAGGCCGTGCTGTCCATCCCCACGGACCCCGCGGTGGAGGGCGGCGTGTCGCCCACCTTCCGCCGCAGCCACGTGGACCACATGCCCAAGACGCCGCACTCGTGGGTGCGCGCCACGGAGGACAACCTGCGCAACGCACACCACTGGCTTGCGGATGCGGCAAGGTAGGGCAGCAGGAGAGGGGGAGGAGGGGGGGAGAGCAGCAGGGGTGGGGCGGGAGGAGGGGAATAGAAGGGGGGGGGGGGGGGGGTGAGGGGCCTGAAAGGAAGAGGGTGTGGCAGTAGGGTGACAGCGAAGGGAAGGGCTGCTTGCCGCAATGCCCACAATGCGCGTACCCACACACCTCACCGCTTCTCCCTTTCTCACCCCTCCCGCCCCTCCCCCCTCCTCCAGGCTGCGCAAGGCCATCCTGCACGCCATCGCCAACAGCCGCGCCAACGAGCACGACATGTCCTCCCGCCTCAACGAGAACATGATGGCCAAGGTGGCGGCCACCCGCAACCTGCGGGAGGACCTGCAGAGCCAGCTGGAGCGGGTGCGGGAGGAGCAGGCCAGGGCCAAGCAGCAGCGCGCATCGCTGGCGGCGGCGCTGGAGGCGAAGCGGGGGCCGCTGGCGCAGGCGCGCGAGCGACTGGCGGTGAGGGTGGCGGGCGGCGGAGGAGAGGGGAGAGGGAGGGGAAGAGCAGGAGCTCGAAAAATTATATTGCACCCGACCCCATTTGCGGCACCTGTTGCACTTACATGCATGCGATTTTTACCATACCCACTGGTCTTTCTCGTCACCTCGCAACTCGCCACCTCTCCCCTCCCAGGTCCGCAAGGCTCGTCCCTGCCGTGAGACGGTGAATGACGAGGTGGAGGCGGCGCTGGCTCGGGAGGTGGCGCACCTGGCCTCCATCACACAGCAGCTCAGCGAGAAGGTGTGGGAGAGTGGGGGGGAGGGAGGAGGGAGGGATAAGGAGAGGAAGAGAGGAAGGGAAGGGGCAGAGGGTGGGAAGCGGCGAGTTGGGATAAGGTGGGTGATAGGGGTGAAATGCTAGGGGAGTGAAGGGGGCGGTCTGCCTGGTGCAAAGCAGCAGCTGGGCGAGGAGAGGGGAGGAAAAGAGGGCCAAGGAGGTTAGGCGACGGAGATAGGGAAAGGGTATAAACGGGGGTTGGCAGACGGAGAGGAAGGGAACAGCGAGCAGAGGGTAGGGGCACGAGGAGCGCGGAGCTCCATGCGGGGCCATGCGACTCACGAATGGGGTTGTGTCGTGAGCGGTTGACTCCCTGTCAAGAGAGGAAAGCCGAGCCGACTGGAGGCGCCTTGGGAGCGGCAGTACCAATGCTTTCTCTGACTCCCGGTAATCTCCCCCCAACTCGCAACCTTGCTCGCCGCCCTCCTCGCCCACCTGCCGCACCCTCAGGTGAACGCGGTTGACAGGGAGATTGCGGCGCTGGACGCCTCGGCCGCGCAGCTGGCGGACAACATCAAGGACAAGGACGACGCGCTGCGCATCGATGAGCGCATGGTGATGCTGGACGGCAGGATCAATCTGGTGCAGCGGCCGCCCAGCAGCGTGGCAAGCGTGAGTGGGGAGGCAGGGAGGGAGGGAGGGAGGGTAACTCGCAACCGGTATTGCTGCACTGCGGGCTGAGAGTGGCATGTGATGCACCTGTTGACGAGCATGGTAGCGCGTCTGGTGGTAGCGTCTCGCAGCGTTGTTCCTCTCCTCCCCTCCTCCCGACTCCTGTGCGGAATGCATGGCTCCCCACACGCGCGCTACGTACACGAATCCCCTGGGGTAAGCTCCCTTTGGCACCACTTACGTCTTTCCTCTGTCCTGCACGCCCGTCCCGCTGTTGCACCCCTCCCTCGCGCCTATGTTGCAGTTTGCGGTGTCGGAGATGTCGATGCCGCGCACCCAGACCCTCGCACGCATCCGTGAGCTGGAGGCCTCTCTGAGCGCCGCTCGGCGGGAGCGCGAGGGCATGGAGTCCTCCATACGGCAGCTGAAGGAGTCGATGGGAGGCAGCCGCTACTACTAGCCGGGAGGGGGCCGCTAGGGGGGTTGAGCGGCGGCTGCTGCGGCGGCGGGCTGTAGCGGCGGCTGCTGGTGCCTCTAGAAGGGAAGCGGTGGTCTGCTGCTGCTGCTGCGGGTGTTGCGAAGGGCAGACGTGCCTGCTAGAAGCATGGGGGCCTAGCGGCTCCCTTTTTAAGGGACCTAGGGCCCTCTTCGTACGAGCCTCTTCGTAGTAGAAGACACGGAAAGGCAGGCATAAGGGCAGGAGGCATAGGTCTTTGACCGACACCCTGTCCTAGCTGGAGTCAGGGTGTTGTCATGTATGCGTTGTTGAGCCGCAGAATTGATGTTGACCCTGTTGTTCGCGGCGTTGGTGTGTTTGGTTGCGTTCGTGTGACGATGCTTTGAATGCATGTACATTAGGGGTGAAGCCGTGACCAGGTGAAGGGGAACGCGCGTTAGGGGCTTGTGGGCCTGTAGGTGTGTAGGGTGTTGTTGCTTGCCTATTGATGATGCATACGAGAGTGTGATGTTGCAAACCCTCATCTTGAGAAACGACCACGACGACGACGTGACTGGACGCATGGCAGGGTTGTGTCTCGGGGCTTTGTCTCGACGCTCTGCCAGAGAACTGATGCTTACACACGCCAGCAGCGCCGTGCACCTTTCGGTTGGTGATATGGTGGTTTCGAAGCTCCTTTGTGGTTTCTGCGGGCGACCTTTAGCTCCGCAAGCAGAGGGGCTGTTCGTTGCAGCAGCACACGTGTGGAGCAAGCTTTCTTTTCATACGCACGCCTTCCTTTTGTTTGCGTCTAGGCATCGGGTGTCTAGGCGTGGCGGCCCGCCCACCTGTTGTTAGCGGCAGAGATTGTGGGGTGCGGTTTAGGGGTAGGAGCGTTTTCCATTTTTAGGACGTTAGGATGCAGGAGGGGCGTGTGCGTTTGACTCATTGACTCGGCGATTCTTGGGCATGACGATGATGATGATGATGAATTCTTGCGATCCTGTGTTGTGTGCGTAGCAGCAACAGCAGCTGGTGGGGACCGCAGAACACGCGGTTGCCGTGATTGATGCTGGGCTGTGAGTAGGTGTGTGTTTTCCACGGGTGGTGCGGCGGGGTCCCCAGAAGCCAACCACCCCTCATGTAGCTGTCAGGCAGGTCTAGCGCGCATGAAAGGCATTTATCGCGACCCCATTTCCGCTTATGGCATTTCGGTAGATTTTTCTTGGATGGCAACTGGCTGACGTACGAGGGTGTGATAAGCCGCATTGCTACTTTCGGTTTAATCCATGGTCACCATTGAATGGGGGTTGAATGGAAGTCAGGGGCTGTGCCCTTTGGCAGGCGCTCTGGTTGGAGGGAGGATGCGAGCTTGCTTTGTCTTTGTGACTAGAGCGGGTAAGGGCTATAAGGGAGAGCGACAGTGTCGCTGTGTGGCTTCCCGGGCCCTGCACGCGTTGCTAACGACCGGCCCGGGCTATTTGCCCCTCTTGTAACACGTGAATCGATACATGATCGATTAGTGCGTGTGACTCAATGTGACTGTGCATGCGCTCTCCCGGTTAAACAACTGAGTTTCTGTGTGCACGCCTTCTTCGTGCAAGGCGCTTTGTGCGTGGTGCAATGTGCTAGTAGTGATCTGGGTTTGGCAAGAAAAAGGGAATGTGTAGTTATTACGGTAGAGCGCATCGCTGGGAGCTTAGTACATGTTTTATGGGACAGGACATATGTGTCCTTCAATGCTCGGACCACAGGGCATGTCGGGGCTTTTATGGCCCAACACTGGTGGCGGGAACGTGTGGGGGCCGTAATGGTTGCAACCCGGGCTCGTATAGTATGTCTACGGGTTTGTGGTAGATTGCATTGGGTGTTGCGTAGGGTGTTTGTTTGCATGTCACTGGTATTTCCAACAGGCTACTCTTTGGAGAAAGGGGCGCCCTTTCGCAGTCTTTGTGGTTGGGATGTATGTCCTCCCTCGTCTGCGGGCGCCTGCACGCCTGTGCGGCTACCAATACTGATGAAGGCTAGCCTCGTACGACGGCTGCCGCGCCCTTACTGTTGCATGCGTTAATTCGCACTGTTGACAGCTCTTTTCCGTTAAGCGTTGAGGTGCTGTTGTAGGGGGCTGTGGGGCTACGACAGGCTCTTTGTTTCTGGCGCCGTGGGTCAACTTGCCAAACGTTACGAGTTGTGGCCTGTTGAAGCACTTGGTTATGTTCGGAGGAGACATAGTTATATGAGATACATGCCTGTGACGTGTACCTCCTAGCCATTGCTGTGATTCTTGCATACCTGTAATATAAGGAACTGTGGTTTGAAGAGTGTTGGGTATTCGGTGCTGCTTGGCAGTCGGAAGCCACATCGCTGCTAAGCCCGATCTGCCAGTGCTTATCCCTGCGGTTCGGTAGGAACCCCTGCGCCATCGGCTCCCAACAGCCCACCACCTTAGCCTGGAACTGCGACAGACAGGACCGTCGTTAGGACAAAACAGGCCTCTACGATAACTCGGTAAGGGACAAGCCTAGGCAAGGTTCTACGGTGGGAGACGGCGCAAGGGACAGTTCGATGTTGTGAATGCGGTGTAAACGCTTGAAGGGAGCAAACAAAGAAGTTGTTGCGGTCTGTGAGGTAAAATCGCAGGGTCCCTACGTGCGGCCCGTCCGGATTTCCGGGGTGCCTGCTCGGAGGGATAGGGAAAGGGGCGCATGGCTGGGGTATAAGGAAGCGAGTCGAGGCAGGGCTAGGACGAGGACACCTGGCAAAGCGCAATCGGGTCTCAAGCACGGGCTAGAGAGAGCTTCGACCAGCTAGGTCCCGGTCATGCTCCCTAATCGTACTTAGTGTCCTGAAACTGACATTTAGGGCCTAACGGGCCCTGTCATTCGGCATGCTAATCCTGGAAAGCATATTGGCTTCGTGGCAGGACCGTGTAAGGCCCTTGCGAGAGGCGTCTGTACTTGATGATGCCTATGTTTCTTTGCAACCCCTGGCCGCCGTGCAGCCTTCCGAGAAGGCTGAGGCCGCGCCCCACCCTTGGCTCGAATCCTCGCGGCGCGGAGTCGGTAAGATTAGGACATGGCGTGCAGGAGAAGCGTGGTGTATCCTGGGGATGTTGCAAGGGCGTGACACCGAACTGGCGGACAGGTGTTGAGGACCCAACCTGAAGTGGCAGTTCCATTCGCGTCTCCAGGGGAAGCTGTATGCCGCGGACAATGCCGTTCGCGACAGCTGTTATCGGCAATTTGCATGTAGGTGCTAAAAAGGCCGCAGCACAGACCGTTGCAACTTTGATATGCTACCTATGTTAAAGAGGGACCTGCTTCAATCCTTAAAGGTGGAACCCAAGCAAAATGCCTTTCATGACCACCAACAGTTAGCAGTTGGCATCACGAGTACACCGAATGTTGTGGTGAGAAATGGGGCCTTTACGAAGTACGCTGACGTTCTCGCCTAGGCCGTGGGAAAACGGGCGCTTTTTGGGTTGGATAACGTCGTGCGTAGTACGGTGGTTAACGTGGCAAGAACCAATGTAACCCTATCACCGTCACCTTTACCGTATGCGTCTGAAAAGTGAGACTGCTATAGCAATTCCTGAAGTATTACAGTCTCACTGCTTTCGCTTCGTAATCCTCTCGGCATTTGCGACAATGCCATCCGCTAGCAGCATGCGCCGCGCTGGATCACTTCTAGCCAGGCTGGCGCTTCGGGAGGCCGAGCCGGTGGCGGCTTCTGGAGTGTCGTCGACTTTCGCGGGCGTCCGGGCGATCGGCAATGCCGCCGCGAGTGGTGGCATTTCTTCTCTTGCCAAGCTGACAGCTCGGAATGTCGTTACCCGTGGCTTGTCCAGCAGCAGCGCTTGCCGCTTGGACAGCGACGTGTACTCCATGGACACCATCATGTATCCAATGCCACAGGTGAACGCGTCATCCAGCTTTGCGTGCGCCCCACAACTACATTAGGCACGCAAACTAATAACGGCATGTTACATAATCTCAGTTTACGAGTTGGCTTGTAACCGTCGTTTCTTCTGAATCTTGTCCGTCGCTTGCCCTTCCCCAAACGCTACCCACACCACCGCATATCCGTGGCAGGTGCGCGTGGGCGCAACTGCTCCCGACTTCTCCGCTCCAGGTGAGCCTCATTTATTAAGCCTTGAGATTTCGCACTCGTCAAGCTTTCCGATACGTTCATATAGGGATTCGCCCTCGGCTTTCTTCCCTCGCTCTGTCCTCTTCACAATGTGCCCTGTGTCGATTCTCCCACTCTATGCACGCGATACCCAAGCAGCCATGTCCCATGTAACATTCCGCACCAGCTCTGTCCCTTCATCACGCCGCCCTGATGCCCTGCTGTCGATTCCCCAACCGCTCCAACTGTTGTCCGCCACGGCGCTGCTACCGCATCTGCTGCCTGACACCACCCGCTCCGCTGATGCTTTCTACTCTTAACCGCTGTCGTACAAAAACCCATACTACCAATACCGTTATTCCTGTCGTCCAACTGCTGATGTTGTACGGCTATGTAGCTGTTGTGGACGGTGAGATCTCCAAGATCAGCCTGTCGGACTACAAGGGCAAGTACGTGTGCCTCTTCTTCTATCCAAAGGTGGGGTAAAAATAAAGATGGGTGGGACTTGATGGTGGGGAAACTTTTTGTAAGTGAAACAACGAGTCCCAATCCCATATCCCGACTCATGCAGTGGTGGGGGGGGCTTGGTGAGCCGGCTTGGCGGTGCTGGCACCCTCGCCCTACTGCGGCTGCATGCACTCAATGCACCCGTTCCTAACCCTTCCCTTTGGAATCGCTCCCGGACATTTCCCCCTACCCTTTTACTGCAACATAGCCCTCATCCTGTCGTATCCCACCCCGCATCGAATCCCCTCCTCCCAACCCGCATCCCCCTGGCTCCTGCAGGACTTCACGTTTGTGTGCCCAACTGAGATCATCGCCTTCTCGGATCGCGCCAAGGTGGGGACAGACTGGGTACACACTGTCAGCTGGGGCCCTGCACAGCCCGGTGCTCAGGACGGAAGAGGACGGAGGAAGTCGCAAGAGGACGAGAGGCTGTTGTGTGCTGGACGCCACTGGGGGATTAGATAAACTGAGCCGCGGAAACACTGACCCTGACCGTAGATTACCGGAAATTGCTTGATGGTGTTCCGCCACTGGGGGAAGTAGAAGGGGCTGTCAATAAGAAAGTATAATTAAAGGAAAAGGGGGCCAGAGGGTATGCCGCATGCCAGCTCCCCTCACCTCCTTACCTCGTGCCCCTCAACGCGAAAGCCGCCACCTGTCTTAACCGTCAAGCGATCAGAACTCCCACAACAGCTACCGGTACGTAACCAACAATACATAGTCCAGAATTGACCACCACAACCGCATAACGGTATAACGCCTACCGGTAAACGCCTGAGCAGGAGTTTGCGGATCTCAACTGCCAACTGATCGCCGCCTCAACCGACACCGAGGAGTGCCACCTGGCCTGGATCCGCACGCCCCGAAACCGGGGAGGCCTGGGCTTCATGCAGATCCCCATCCTGGCTGACACCACCAAGGAGATCTCGGCGCGGTACGACAGAAGATCGCTGACCACTGTACGGAATGCATGGGTGTGAAGTTGCAATTGGACGAAGGACGCAGCAGGCGTACCGCAGCTGTTCACAATTCCATGCTGCCTGCGTATGTACACGTTTTGCACACGTTTGCGTTTTGTAACCTCCCGATCTTAGTCATCTGCACACAGTCGGTTTGTCGTACTGCCCCACATGCATGCAACCGTGTGCCTTCCACTACACCCATGTGCAATGTCAGCTGTGCAGTGTAGTTGCTTTTACCACATGCATGCAGCCCCGCACCTCCATGCATGCATGCGCCGTACCGCTGCCTGCCGTACAGATACGGTGTGCTTATTGAGAAGCTGGGTATCGCGCTGCGAGGCTTGTTCATCATCAATCCCGAGGGGGTGGTGCAGCACATCACGGTTAACGACCTACCCAGTTGAGTTCCGTACAGTTGGTTGCCAGTTGGTTTAGGTTGGAGTCGGTTAGGGCTGCCGTACGTTGCCGTGCACTTGTCACGCGCGCTCTCATGGAGTTGCATGTACATGTGCATGTGTGTGCATCTGCCTCTCGTCTGCAGCAAAGAATGTCGTTAGGCATGTGTAGGAAGGGAGGAGCGTGTCATGTTTTGTTCTGAATGGGTGAGGTTTGCGCCCTCGCTCCTCGCCCGGGCTTGGTTAACAATATGTCCTGTCCGCCTTCCCGTCCCCTCAGTCGGCCGTTCCGTGGACGAGGCACTTCGCACGCTGCAAGCCATCCAGTTCCACGCCAAGCATGGGGAGGTGAGGGACAGGGGGAGGGTAAACGAAAAGTGAAGCAACGTAGTCCCAATTCCATATCCCGACTCATGCAGGGAGTCCCAATCCCATATCCCGCCCCCTTCCTGTTCCTTCCTGCCCCCTCCCGCCCCCCTCCCGCCCCCCTCCCGCCCCCTCCCGCCGGCCCCCAGGTGTGCCCCGCCAACTGGCACCCCGGCTCCAAGACCATGGTGGCTGACAGCGAGAAGTCGCTCGAGTACTTCAAAGAGGTCAAGGAGGTGGGAGCTGGGGGAGGGAGGAGGGGAGAGGAAAGGCAAGGGGGAGTCGAAGACCCATACCGAACCATAGGAAGCCACAGGGGGAGGGGAGGGGGTGCGTGGGGGACAGCTGTGTTTGACGTACACATTCCACATGGCGCGTGCCGTACATTTCTAGCTGCAGAGCGCACCCGAGATACCTTGCTCCCCAAGGTGCACTCCAAACTAGCAAGGCGAGGAATGTGGGAACGAAAGGAGCTACCGGTATTCGCCACTGCCTGGAAGAATATCCAAACATGCCACGTGGCCCGCTTGCACGTCCTAGCTTACCGTCCTTGCTCTTCACGTCCGACCGCTTGCATCGATTACCCCTGCTTGCGTACCCTGCTTGCTTACCCCCCCCCCCCTGCATGAGTCGGGATTCGGGATTGGGACTCCGTTGATGCATTTATCTATATTCCCCCCCCCCGCATGTGCGGCCACTGCTGCAGGATGAGTCGCCGTTCGGCAGCAAGCTCAAGGTGATCGGCAGCAAGGCCGAGTACGACAACCTGGTGGCCGCGGGGGGCCCCCTGGTGGTGGACTTTTACGCACCGTGAGTTGTCGTCGTCGTCCTTGTCTTCAGCAGCAGCAGCAGCAGCAGCAACTGGTCTCACGCATTAACTGGCCATGAGTCTCATGCGGCATCAGCGGCTCGTCATAAGTGCCGGGTGCATGTGGGCTTGGGCATGGCTACCGGTATTGTGCTGTGCCCTGCCATCAACGTGCAAAGGAACGGAAGCGTGCATGTATGGGAGCTTGGGGCTGCATTCGTCGGCATCGACGTCCGTTACGTAATGTGTGTTTTGTTTCATGTAGCACTAGGCAGACGTCGCGCACGATACGACGCGAGGGAGGAAAGGAAAAGGAGGAACCGCCAAGGGACGCATTCGTTCTGCCCCTCGCTTCTGCATGCGGCCCCGGGTCACCCCCGCAGGTTGCCCTCCCCCCTCCCCTCCCCGGCCTCTCATTCTTCCCTCCTCCCCTTCCTCACCTCCCCTTCCTCGCCTCCCCTTCCCCTGCTCCTCCTCTGCTCCTCCCCTCCCAGCTGGTGCGGCAAGTGCCGGCAGATCGGCCCCTTCCTGGACTCCCTAGTAGACAAGTACCCCGGCGTGGTGAGGGGGCGGGGGGAGGGCGTGTGGGTTTGGGCGTAGCACAGCACATGCCGTTAACGAGCGGGGTTGAGGAGCGGGGGTGACCCGGCGAGGAGCGAGGTTGGGGAGCGGGGGGTGAGGAGCGGAGCGGCGTCAGGGGGAGTCAGGCCGAGGCGACATGCTGCATGCCACCTCCCACCTTCGTAAACCCTGTCGCAAATTCCTATCCATATTGGCTCTGGCTCCGGTAGACTTACCAGCCAGAGCCAATATGGATAGGAATTTGCGAGGTTTACGAATTTGCTCCGGTAAGTCTACAATTTATGGTAAGCCCATTACACGTACTGGCTTGGCTAATTCGGGCTGGGCGGGTCGGGCTGGCTCACATGTTGACGCCTTATCCCTCAGTTAGTTGTTTCCCTTCCCCCCCCCCCCCCCACACACACCCTCAGACATTCGCCAAGTTCGACACCACTGCCCCGGCGCTGGAGGCGCTGTCCGGGCAGCTGGGGGTGCAAGCGCTGCCCGCATTCCGCTTCTTCAAGGTAAGGGCCTTAAAGACCTCCCCCGAAGAGATGCGGCGTTTGTGCAAAGTGCCCAGCACCGTTTGCATATCTCGCAAACCAGCCAGACCTAACCGTCCCTCTTTCCCTTCCGCTCCCGTCCTCCCGGCACCCCCAGGGCGGCAAGGAGGCGCGCGAGGCCGTCACCGGATACAAGAAGAAGCTGCTGGAGGAGGCGGTGGCTGAACTGCTGTAGGGGGGCGGCAGTGGGGGGGCTGTGGGGTAGAGGTGGATGAAGTGGAGGAGGAGGAGGAGGATGAAGGGTGACGGTTGCGGCGCTGTGAGGAGGGAAGAGGAGGAGCAGGAAGTGCGGTGGAACGTGTAGGGAGCGCGGAAGAGGAGGAGGAGCTTAACCCGGGTTTGTGTGTCAAGCCAATTGTTGCCGGTTGTTGCCATTAGTAAGTGGTTGGTAAGCGTAGCAGCTGCCGTTGACTGTTGGCCGTCGCGCGTTTGTCCAGGGGAGTGCTGGAACGAACGCTTGCGTGTACACATGCGTGAATCAGGCGCCCCAGCGCAGCGCCACTTTTGCCTGCCGCCTCTCCGCCTGCTGCGGGAATAATGTTGGCGGCAATGTAATGCGTTGGTACAGGAAGGGCTTCTGGCACAGGCCGTTGTCTCCACCTGCATGTGGGCCACCCGTGCATGTGTTAAGAAGACTGCGGGGGGACGCGAATGGGCTTGTGGGCGGCACGCAGGTGCGGGTGCGGGGCCTGTGTGCACCGGTAGTATGACTCTGAATCCGCTACTGCCTCTCAAACAGCCGTTGCCTCTTCTTCTTGTGTTGACTCGGCTGCCATGCCCGCGTAAGCGGACAAGGAACACGGAGACAACGCCACATTGCGTCGTCATCAAGCTGCGGCCTCAATTTGGCCTTGGCAGCGGTGCCTAAATAAATGTCCGGCCGGCAGCGTATCAGGAGCCCCTCCTAGCATGAAAATAATATATAGCAGCAGCAGCACCGGTACTGGTAGCAACGGCGGTGGGGGACCGGATGATGACGGATCGCGAGGAGCACAGTCTTACACAGTCGTCCGATGATTTGCCTGGAACGTGTAAGAAATGGAGGATCCGCAAAGCAACATTTGCATAGTACCTCACAAGCTGTTGCGTTGCGTGTTGCCTTGCTGCTTTGGGTCAATCAGCTGTGTGGCGATCACGTGTGGTGATTGGCATGAGCCGCAATTAGCTGGTACGAGGCCGCCGACATGGATATTCGAAAGCAGCCTGCGGCAGTCGTCGCAAAAGCCGCATAACCGTTTTGTCGGTCTACTCTTTCGATACGCTTTCATCTGCCACAGTCAATCGCTAGCTTTAACCATATGAACCACGGGCCACTTCGTCCTTGACATTTTGGTCAACAGCCATCAAAAGAGCACGAAATCATCTGTTAGCAACAGGTAGCAACCTAGTCTAATTATCACAATATTAAGCAGCTTAATTAGGCCGAGGATTGTCGGAACCATCGGTACTCGCCGGCATTTGACCGAAGCGCTATCTCAGCTTGAGCAAATGTGCGTAGGCATCGTTCAGTGTCTGCAAAGTTGCCTGCAAAGCTGCCACCCACCGTTGATAACTGCAGCAGCAGCTGCCACTGTTCGTCTGCCACGATAGCGCCACAACTCTTTTGCCCACGTAAAATAGCATCTGCTTCAGCACCTCGAACGCAATCCGAGCTCCTGATCACCTGACCACATTACCCTCTGTCCCTGTCCCTAATCCCCGCATATGCCTCCCACATCCTCCTCCAGTCAAACCCCATATGGATCCCACTAAGCCGACAACCCTCCCTGGAGCCACCGCCTCCGCCTCCGCCACCAACCGTGCCAGCAACCATCATCCTTCTCTTCCGCCTGTCCCGCGCGAAACGTCGCCGCAGCAGCAACAGCAGCAGCAACGAGCCCCGCCGCCGCCATCTTCCTTTGCCGTACCCAGCCTTCTAGACGTGCTGGGCCGGATTCGCCCGGAGGCGCAGCAAGCCTTCCTGAGGTGCCTGGGTGCGCGGGCGGCACTGCAGCTGCGGGCCGGCTGCCGGGGCGGCAGGCGGCTGGTGGACGAGGCGATCACAGCGGAGGTAGCGGATGGCGGTGCTGCTGCTAGGGGGGAGGAGAAGGATAAGGACACGGAGGAGGAAGGGACGTTGCGACTGAGGCTGAGCAGCGTGAGGTGGGTTGTTGGGCTGTTGATTGGGTTGTCGGGCTGCTGCTGGGTTGTCCTTGGGTTGCTTCTCGAATAGTGTTCCTTGAGCGCACAGCGTGAGTTTGTAGTAAAGCAACCGTAAGCGGCAACATATCGGAAGTACGTTCCTACTCGCGGCCTGTTTTCTTAACACGCCAGGTCTCCTTTATTTCCTGGGCTTTTACCTGCGCCTCCCTGTCCTCACAGCGGAACTGCCTGTATTCCGTCCTCCCTTTCTTCCCATCGTGTACTTCTTACCTCGCTACCCGTCTTCCCTTCCCTTCCCTACTTCCTGACCCCCCCTTTCCCAACCAGTAATCCGGCGGCCGCAGCACGCAAGGTAACATCCTTCCTGGCCGCTGTACGACACTGGCCACTCTGTACCTCCCTCGAGATCTCTGCAGATCTGCCGTGCACAGCCGCAACGGCAACCGCAACCCCGACTGCAACCACAACCGCCCCAACCGTCTTAACGGCTGATGGTGCAACATCGGCGGCAACTGCCACCGGAGCTGCAAGCGAGGCTACGCAGGGTGGCACTGCGACCAACAATCCAGCGGTCGAGCTGCTCGAGAAACCGTTTCAGTTGGCGCTTTCGGCGTCGCCGCCGTACCGTCTGTCGCATGTACGGCGATTTGTTGTACGAATGGATTTTGCGACCCAAGGGTCAGACGGTGCCAAAGGGGAGGGTGGTGGCGGAAGTAAGGAGGTTAGCGGGGAAGGTGGCTGCAGTGACAGTGACGGCGATAGTGACGACGAAGGTGACGGTGGCGACGCTGCGGATGGAGGTGTGGGCGGCGAGGATGGAGCTAGACGTGGGGAGGCGTCGTCATTCGAGCATGCGGTAAGAATGGGGCTGTTGCTTAATTTAGGGGCGGTGCTGGCTACCGTACTACTTCAAGGTGACCTCTGTGCTGCTGAACAGCTGGAAATACGGTACGCCATTGCATTTGGGTGAGATGCAAATATCGCAGTTGCCCTAACGTCCATGCGGCAGCGGCATGTGCAGAAACATCACAGAAACCCTCGTCCCAACCGTGTTACTCCTCTTAATGCCTCTTCTCTTCCCCTCCCTCCCTCGCGCCACAGCGCCTTCACCCGCTCCTCACCGCGCCTCTCCTCTCCTCCATCGCCCGGCTCTTCCCCTCCTTGGAACATCTCGCCTTCCGCGGCGCTGACAGCAGCCCCAGCAGCGGCAGCAGCAGCAGCCCCAGCAGCAGCCGTAGCAGCAGCAGCGTCTGGCGACACGACCCCGCCGCCCCCATCTCCCTGCTGTACGACAATCTCAGTCCGCAACGCCTGCAGTACTTAACCTCCCTGGAGCTCCCCGCATGCGCCTACGCCGATCCCTTCATACCCCTGCTGACGTCACTGCAGCACTTGACGTTGTACGGCACCGCAGGCGGCCGTCACGGAATGCAGCTGCTGCCGCCGGGACTAGCGGGTATGGAAAATCTCCGTACATTGGAACTGTTGGCGGGAACCGTGGTCGCCGACGCCACGTTCTTCACCGTCGCCACGCCCGCGGATGTCGTACTCCCGCCGTCACTGACACGGCTGCGTCTGACGAACGCGGCGTTTCGTCTTCCGGGCCGCTTCGGAACCTACGAGCGAGTGGTGTTTCGTAGCCTGGTGTTGGATCGCGACGCGGGAAGCCTGACGGTAGCTGCCACTGCTGGCGGCAGTAGCAGCTGCGGCCTGGATGTCGTACTTCTCGCCTCCGTCGCCCAATTGCTCGAGGCCTCTGCAGGGCCCGCGGGGCTAAGGGAACTGCGGGGGGAGAGCCGAGTGGAGGTGCTGCCGGTAGGCCTGCCGCCGTCGCCGCTGCCAGTGGCGGCGGCATTTGGTGGCAATGGCGGCGGCGCCGCCACAAACGCAACGACGTCTGTGATGGCGGACGCGGGCTTCAGCTTCCTCGCACAGCAATCGGCAGCGCCCGGACGGCGGCTTATACTGAAGGAGTTGTACTGCAGCTCGTCCAATTCGTACGGCGCGCTGCTACAACTACTGCAGATGACAACGGAACCTGTACGGCAAGTGGTGGTGCGCAACGGCAGTACGGCAGTTTACGGGGAGGTGTTGCCACTGCTACAGACTCTCGCGAGTACGACACCGCTAGAGCGGCTGCCTGGGCATGTACGTCTCGGCTGGATGGCGGCCGCCGTGGCTCCTCAACTTCTGCAGGCTTTACAGCCCTGGCCCCATTTGAGGGAACGCATTGCATTTGAGCCACTAAAGACGGGACCGGCGGCGGCGGAGCCGCGGCCAACGGCATCGTCAGGCGCTGGAGTCGCCGCCGCAGGCAGCTGCGTCGACACTGGCACCACTGGCATCGCCTCAGTAGCTGGCGGCGCCGGCGGCAATGGCGCCGGCGGCGAGTTGGCGGCGCTGCCAGCCCAAGCAGCGCTCCTTCACGCGGTCATGCGAGTGATGCAAGGGGTGCAAGGAGTGCAGGCGCATGCACGACGGGTGGCACTCGCAAGCGCGGGAGGTGCAGCTGGCACCGGCGCAGCCAGCAGCAGCAGCGCACCAAATGACGTGACTGGCGGGAGCGGTGATGTACGGCACGTGAACAAGGTTTCTGAGTCGGTAACGGCACAAACAGCTCACCGAGAGCCGCAGCTGCAGCAGCAGCAGCATGGGGAGCCTGAGCATCACTTGCAGCTGTTGCCGCCACAGCAGCAGCAGCTACAGCAACCGTCGCCGCGGCTGCAGCCGCAGCAGCAGCAGCAGCAGCAGCAAGGGCAGGGTGTGCATCAGCCGACACCACAGCAGCATCTGCAGCAGTTACAACAACTGTTACAGTTGCAGCAGATCCAGCAGTATCTCCAACAGGTGGGAGGCGCTGCTGGCGCGACTGTTGCGCTTCCGGCCGCGCTGCTGATGCAACCTTTCCGACCGTCTGCACCTGCCAGCCTCACACCTGCTAGCAGCGGTGGTGGAGGCGGCGACGGCAATCCTCCGGATCAGGGTGGTCCGGAGCAACGCAAGGGAGGACGGCAAGCTAAACAACAGTAAAGGATGTGGGCCCGTGGTAAAAGCAGCAGGGCAGGCAGCGGAGGAGCGGGACGCTCGGGCATAATGTGTACAGCTCTGAAGGCGCAAACATACTGAGGATAGTCAGCAGCATGTTAACCGGGCGAAGATCACCAACAGCAGCTGCTCCTGGTATGTTAAGCGTTTGGATCCGTGCATTGCAGGCTGCTGAGGGTCGTTGTATGGGTTGCTCGGCATGGGAGGCTGAACCGTGCGTGGTAGTATTCCCGTACTGCCACTGCAGCCTAGCTTGGTCGTGTTGTAAGATGTGTTGTATCTCTGTTGCATCCATGGGGTTTGAACGAGGACATGGTTTGTAGCACGGTACGCTACGAAACCCATGTATAGCGACACCCGCAAGCCGCAACGTATCATTTTGAGTGTCAACTAAAAATGGGGTTTTGGAGCGCATGTACGACAGGGAGCAGAGCAGTCGCCACCAGGCTTGCGAGTGGACGGTGCTAGACGTTTTGACCTTGGTTAAACAGTTTGCCCTCAGCTGGCCTTTCAGGTCTTTGCCGCTGAGTTTCCGTGCGCAGTTAGGAAGGCGCTGACTTTTGCGTAGTTGCAGACAGTTCTTAAGTATGGCTGCAGCTGTAGGTAGGCGAGCCTTGACCTGTGCCTCATGCAGTTTTGTGGATGCCTGACTCGGCGGCGGAAACGCCGTCGGCCGGCCGCTGGTTCGGCCCAGGGGGCGTGAAGCTTAATACGGCCGCGTGGCAGCGTCACGGCATCGACACGCCTGCGTCCCGTAACGAAGCCAGCTGGACCTTCCACACCACGCCGCCAACCTCGCACCACTTGCGCAACTACCCATCCGTGCGCGAACACAGCGAATGGTACGCCAGCCACATTGACGAGTTACTGCGCCAGGGCCTGGTGGAGGCGTACGACAGCAAGCAGCATGGCCCCCTGCGCAACTTTGCAGCCACTATCAACCCACTGCATGTTGTCAGCAAGGCGGATGGCAACCTGCGCCCGATCATCGACCCTACCGCTTCGGGGGTGAACGACTGCATGACCAAGCTCCCCTGCCCGCTGCCCGACCTCGCCTCAATTCTGGAGCATTTGCCGTTCCAAGGGGCGCTAGGCAAACGGGACCTCGCATCTGGTTTCCACCACATCAAGTGCAGCCCGGAAGCACGCCGGTACATGGCCTTTAGGCATCCCACCACGGAGGCAGTCCTGCGTTGGGTGGTGCTGCCCTTCGGCGCCAGCCAATCGCCCCCAATCTTTGTGGAGTTAACCAACGCCGCGTGTGCCATCTTCCAAGCGGAGTGCGACCGGCGGGGGCTACGGGTCAAGCTCTTCTGCTTCGTCGACGACTACATCATCCTAGGGGTGACCCATGCAGACGTCGTTGGCGCCTTCGCGGTCATGGACGAAATAGGTGGCGAGCTGGGGCTGGAGTGGAAGACCAGCAAGGACCGCGGACGAAACGAGCACCTGCGGCAGCTCGACTTCCTGGGTATGCTGTTCGACACCGAGAAGATGGAGATGCGCATCTCGCCGGACAAGCGGCAGCGCTACGCGGCGGACGTGCGCGCCCTCCTGGACGCGGCAGCTACCGGACCAGTGCAGCGGCACCTCCTGGAGTCCACCGTCGGCCGCTTAACGTTCATAGCCCGGGCATGCCGCTGGGGTTTCACGTTCATGCAGGGCCTCTACGACAGCCTCTTCTGCCCCACCCGCCCGCCGGCCACTGTCGGCCTGGCGGCGGACGCAGTAGAAGACCTGGCTTTCTGGTGGCAGGTGCTACGGGCGGATTCCTCTGTCTGGGACGGGGTAAAGCGCTCAGCGGGCATCGGTTTGGACCTAGTGAGGGGGGAGTTTATCGGCCAGGATGGGGCCGTCCTCTTCACGGACGCTAGTGGGCGTGGGTTTGGCGCAGTCTGGGGGGAGGCGGAGGTGCAAGGGGCATGGTCAGAGGAGGAGCGTCAGCTGCACATCTCGTGGCTGGAGCTCAAGGCGGTCCTCAGAGCGCTGCAGTCATGGGCCGCCAGCCTTGCCGGGCGCCGGGTGCTGGTGCGTTGTGACAACACCCAAGCCGTAGCAGCCATCAACCACGGCTCCACCCGCATCCCAGAGGGCCGCAGCCTTAGCCGCCAAATTGCAGAGCTTGCGATTAGCTCAGGGTTCGAGGTCCGGGCTGAGCACATTCCCGGCGTGGACAACGGCCAGGCCGACCGCCTCAGCCGCCGCCTTGACAGCGCCCAGGATCAGAACCTGCGGCTGAAGGCCAGCATCTTCAGGGAGCTATGCCGCAAGTTCTCTCTCCGGCCCACCGTCGACTGCTGCTGCGACGCCCATGGCTCCAACCGGCAGCCCGGCTGTGAGGTGTTCTACAGCGCGGGGCGGTCGGTGCTTGGCCAGGAGGCCGAGCTGGCGGGCAAGGCGCTGTGGGCCTTCCCACCCCAGGCCCTGGTGGGGGAGGTGCTAGCGACCCTCGTGGCAGCGGCACGGCGTGACTCGCGGACGCGGGCGGTTGTGGTGGTGCCTTTCTGGCCGGAGCGGGGGTGGTTCCGGGCCTTCGTCCGTAGCCGATCCGCACCATTCCGGGTCGCCCAGGTGCTGCCCAGGGGCGGCCGCCTCTGCGTTTGGCCCTGGGGCGACGAGGCGGGTCCTTCTCCTTACGATATGCTGGTCTTACGCCTGCCCTGACCGAATTCCGATCCGCGTTTGCGCCCCCATGGCGATTGTAGAGGGTGGCGGGAGCTGCGAGGCCTGCGTGCGGCGCACCTCCGTGGGGGACTTGCGCTGTGAGACATGCGACATACGGGCACATCGCCGCTGCCTGGGACTGCCGCCGGGCTCGTACCCCGGCGGCTGGTTCCGCTGCATCCACTGCATCCTGGCGGCGGCGGGTTTTCCGGCAGGGGCTGCGGGCGGTCGGCAGGAGGCACTCGCGGCGAGGCTGGTGGCGCTAGCGGGAAGCGCCGTGTCGGCGGGTTCAGCAGGGACGTACGAATCCCATCGCCGCCGCTACGCGGCCTTCTGCGCTGCTCTGGGCTTACCCATGAGGGCGGCTTTCCCACCTGCGCGGGGCGCGGACCTCAGCCCCGAGCTGGTGAGCCTGTTCATCGCCCATGAGGCCGACCGTGTGGCCCCCTCAACGTTGTCAGGCACCATTAGCGCCCTTGCGGACTGGCAGCGCGCGAAGGGTTTTCCGGCGGAGGCCTCCATCCGCCGGAACCCATTGGTGCAACGCACGCTGAGGCAGGCGTGGCGTGCCCGGGCGCCGGCGGCAGCCGCCACAGCTGGCGGCGATGCAGGGGCCGAGCCGCTGCCGCAACGTACGAAGGAGGCGTTCCCGGTGCCGCTTCTGCGGCTCCTATTGGGCTGGCTGGCAGCGACGGCGGACGGGGCGCCAGCGCGCCGAGCGGAGCTCGAGCAGGATGCGTGTTGGCTGGTGGTGGGTTTCTTTGGGATGCTGCGGAGAAGCGAGCTGGCGGGGCTGCGGCTAGGTGACGTGCATTCGCTGACTGGTGGGGTTCACGTGGTGCGGATAACGAGGAGCAAGACCGATCAGGTTGGGGCAGGGGTGGATGTGCACCTGGGGGCATCGTCTGGCAGCGGAGTACGCATCGGGCGCATTATAGGGCGCCACCTAGAGCGGGCCCGCTCAGGGGGGGCGGAGCCCAGCGCGCCGCTCTTCACGCGGGGCCCCCAGTGGGGACCGGGGTCGGAGGCTTGGCGGAAGGAGGGGTTTACGCGTAGGCTTAGGGCGCTCTTAGGAGAGATGCAGCGCGCCCTGCCACAAATAGCCGGGCGGGTACCAGATTACGCGTCCCACAGCCTGAGAAGGGGGGGAGCCACGGCTGCAGCGGAAGGGGGGGCCTCTGGAGAGCAGATCAAGGCGCACGGGAGGTGGCGGTCGGAGGCGGTGAGCGCGTATATCCTCCCCTCCGCGGCGGCTAAGGCCCGCATTGTGGGGTGCATGTGAGGTGACGAGGCGTGCGGTGGGTGACAGGGTAAGGGGGGTCCTCTCTAGGCGTGCATGCATGCGGAAGCGCGCCTAGAGCCTAATACGCCGGGGCGGGTTTTGGGGGCTAGAGCCCATCCGCGCCCGGCTGTTGGTTTTCCCCCTCTCCTGTTGTTCCCCGGAGAGGGTAGGGTGAGGTATCGGCTAGGTAGCAAACTTGGTTAGTTACAGAGTTGGGTCTCTTAGACGCTGTTCGGAGTCTGGGCCCGCAGGCCAGGTCCCAGGCGGTGTAAGTTGATGAGGGGTGCGACTCCTCTGGCACTGGAGTGTGTGCGACAAAAGTATCATTTTGAGTGTCAACTAAAAATGGGGTTTTGGAGCGCATGTACGACAGGGAGCAGAGCAGTCGCCACCAGGCTTGCGAGTGGACGGTGCTAGACGTTTTGACCTTGGTTAAACAGTTTGCCCTCAGCTGGCCTTTCAGGTCTTTGCCGCTGAGTTTCCGTGCGCAGTTAGGAAGGCGCTGACTTTTGCGTAGTTGCAGACAGTTCTTAAGTATGGCTGCAGCTGTAGGTAGGCGAGCCTTTTGTTTCCCACCCTCCCACCCCTACTCTCTCCGGGGTCCTCTCTAGGCGTGCATGCATGCGGAAGCGCGCCTAGAGCCTAATACGCCGGGGCGGGTTTTGGGGGCTAGAGCCCATCCGCGCCCGGCTGTTGGTTTTCCCCCTCTCCTGTTGTTCCCCGGAGAGGGTAGGGTGAGGTATCGGCTAGGTAGCAAACTTGGTTAGTTACAGAGTTGGGTCTCTTAGACGCTGTTCGGAGTCTGGGCCCGCAGGCCAGGTCCCAGGCGGTGTAAGTTGATGAGGGGTGCGACTCCTCTGGCACTGGAGTGTGTGCGACAAAACGCCGGTTCTCCTTGCGCAGCTGCTGTATTTCCCCCCCACCCCGAGGTATTATCAGGATTTGGAATCCAGTATTCGGCTGCTAAATTCTCGCCAGTGAGGGAAAGAAAACCACCCTTTGCCTATGTGGTGTATCCGGAATTCGTTGGAGCGGTGGAGTAGCTATCCCACGCTCCAGCGGCTTCAAACGCAATTGCTGCTCTTTGGACGGTTCGCCTCGGTTGCAAAAATGGACACTGCCCGCCCCCCCCCCCGCCCTTACACTGGACATAAGCATATTGAGCGGCGTCGGCTGTGCGACGTCTGCTTGCACTTTGGCGAATGGGTCCCGACCATGGTCGCCAACACTGCAGCCCCCAAGCCAACAGTTTCTTCAAGAGAGTACGTCTTTAGGCAAGGATATGAGAGCTGCTGTACTGCAGGTAATCCTGTGACCCATGAATACACTCCTTGTCAGAAGTCCGCGGAAATAAGGGGGAGTGGTAGTTGCCATACGATCTCCCCCGCCCGACCACCATTGCCAGCCCCGCCGGCGCCAATCCTTCCCTAGGTTGGTAGGCATTACTTTTTAATGTTCCTTGCATACCTGTTCGCTCATAGCTGCTCGCCCCAGCAATCCGCGTGAAACACAAAAAATGGCCCGATTTGCAGCGTGCACGCCACGAACGCCCTTACCGAGTTTGCACCACCACGTCCACTCCACCTGTTGCCCACTCAGAATCTTAACATATACTACCAAATGCGCCTGTGGTAGCTGTCGGAGTAAAAACGTATGATACTGCAGCCAGTGTGTGTATGGCTGGCATGCGGCCAAGCATGCCCTACTCGAGGCCCGTGGATGTCGTACACCAATAAAGGGGCGCACAGCTCCCTACACCCGGGAAACATTGTTGACAACACTCGTATAGACATGTTATGCTAGCTACCGGAAGCTTGGAGGCAACTCCAAAGGGGAACATGACTAAAAGTGAACACCCTTGACTTACAGCAAAGCTGTGTACAGCAGACCGAAAACAAGTGCTACATTATGAGGGCTTCCTTTTATTGTCTGCGCCCTTCAAAAAAACGAGTGAAAACGAGCCTTTTCCGTGAGAAGGGTATGGAGGGAGCGGAAAAAGGCCCTAATTATTTCCACGAATATCTGTCTGGGAGTGATACCATCGTCACGAGTTTCAGTGCATAGTAAACTCCACTTGTATGCTGCAATGCGTCTAGATCACAACATATTCAACACAGATTTAACAGTCGGCATACGTGTGGGCAAGGAAATCATCCACCCCCCGAGTAGTTTATGCTCATGACTCCATGCACCATGCCCAACGGTGTGACACTGCGGTCACCCGTTTGGTGTTGGCCTGCTGTGGGGATCCTTTGCCGGACAGCACAGGCCGCACTCCTCCTCCTCCTCCTCCCTTGTGCCTTTCCCTTTGTTCATGGCCATGCCCAGTTGACACATCCATGCTCTTTGTCTTGCTTTGTCTTGCCTGGTCCCTGCTGCCCCGTGCCGTGCTACCCCTGCCGTACATCCACCTGCCCCATGTCGTACCCATTGTTTGTCATCGCCCATTCTATATTCGTCCCTTTTGTTTTGTTTCCCTTACCTGCATTATTTAGTGTACACCCCTCTTTGCATACTATCCTACCCTACCCTTAGTCACCAAGGCCCCTTCGCATATTTCACACATTCATTTCGCATTTCTTGCTTTCCTCACAACTCTCAGTTTTTCTATACACCTATCCTAACCATTCGTGTTGCCTGTCCCTATCCCCTCCCGTGGCCCTTCCGTCGCGACCTTGCTGGCGGCTTCTGTGGCGCTCGCTTCCGTATATAGGTAAATCCGCCTCGTGATCCGTTTGTTGTTGTTGTTGTTGTTTGCTTACCACGTCACACACGTTTCACCCTACTTGTTTTGCCATGTCCGAGCGACATCCCCTGGGGCCTTGGTGACGACGCTCAACACTCAGCGACGAATAGACTACTCCATTTTTGGCTATTTACAGCACACCGGATGCAGCAAAATCGCTTCCTCTGGAGCATCGGTATCGGTAAGGACTGCTAACCCTCCCATGTTTTGTGGCTCCCTGCCAACAATACCCATTGTTTTGCCCTAACTTTGTGGTTTGGTTTATTCTACCCCCCGAGGGTGTTATCATTTTTCGGAATCCAAGTATTCGACTATTCAACTTGCGCCAGTGAGGGAAAGAAAACCACCGGTTGCCTTTATACCGTGTCCTGTATACTTTGACGCGCTGGTGTAGTTATGCCGGGCCCCAGCGGCTCCAAACGCGTTCGCCCCTCAATGGGCGGTTCGCCTCAGGTGCAAAAACGTAAATGGTCCGCCCCTCCACACTGAGCATAAGCCTAATGAGTGGCGTTCGCTTTGCGATGCCTGCTTGCATTTCGGCTACTGGGTCCCTAACATTGTCGCCAAGATTGCAGTCCCCAAGCCAACAGTTCCTTCAAAAGAGTACTTCTATAGGCAAATCCTTGAGAGTTATTGTACTGCACGTGATTTTGTGACCCAGGATGGCCAGGAATATTGTCGTCACCCAGGATGGCCAGGAATATTGTCGTCACGAGTTACAGCGCAATGTGAACTGCACTTGCATGCTGCGATGCGCCTACCTAAGGACAAATGCAACACAGCTGTGGATTCTGCATCCTTGGGGTTTGGTAAGCACTTCTCCGCTCTTCAGACACAGCAATGTCCAGAATTATTGTACGACCGTATGGCATGGTAACGGTATGACGTCAAATGTTGACAGCCCCTTGCAGCAGCGCGGCTGGAAAGAAAGGCCTTCGCCAGTATATAACATTTGGAGTTTCTCTGACCGTTTGACGTACATTGCGTTTCGCCTGTAGGAACTGCAGGAACGCTTAACTAGGCAGCTTGTCGCGTAAAGTGCGTGCGCGCCGTTAAGTTGCGCACCATATGTCAAGGTTTTGCCCATAGCCCTCCATTACGTATGCCTGTTTTTTTACAAGCTAAAGGCCCGTAAGGCCCAGGCGAGTCATATGGCTTACGGCTTTTGGATAGCGGCCTTCCACTGAACTGCTCGGGCGTACTGCATGTACTCTCCGAAACGGCCGACAGAAGCACATAAATGCAATGAATGTTAAATTATATTGGTGTCTGGTTGTTTGCCGCATTGATGGGCGCAATGCCTATCAAGATGGGGCCACTGCGGGTCCTTTGCTGGTTGCTCGCTGTCGCGGTATCCCTCTGCCAAACATCGACGATTACCGCAAGCGCCCCCAAAGTGGCTCTCTATTTCAGCGAGGCGCATAATGTGCTTGATCTACAGTGGGACAACGGTCCGCAGAACCTTGATCGCCAACTGCGCCAACTGGGTCTGTCGCTAGCCGCTGCAACTGACGGCCAGCCCCGACTGACCGGCCTAGATGCGCCTAACGCGTATATCATCCCAGCTCAGAACGGTCGCAATTTGTATTCTTCTACCCATGATATGCTTGAGGTATCATCTTATGTCTCTGCTGGGGGACTCGTGATCATCCTGGATGCCGCAAGCGGCGAGGGCCAAGCAACTCGGGAATTTGTTGCTTCCGCCCTTGGCTATACCGGTAAGTTTGCGTCTTGCTCAGTCTGGGCCTTTGTTATGCATCGGGCCATTTACCTCTTGCAGCATTTTGCCGCGGCCGGTGCTGATCCTGCAGTCGACCGTGCGTGTTTACGGCCCCAAAATCTCGTCTTTGCAGGCAATTGGAAGCTTTGCGAGCGCACGGGAACTTCCGATAGGGCTCGTCGCCTGAGTCGCCGTCGGTCTGGGACCCCCGTCGTCTTAAGCGAGCATGCGTACTCATTCCTCGAGGACGATTATATCGACGACAACGCCGACAATGCTTGGCCGCTTACGCTTGAAGACGCGCAAGTACTGACAACCCTGACCTGGTGCCAACACGAGGACCCGCGAGCGTTCGCCATCCCACTCTACACGCTAAAGAAAATTAACAAGGTTGCTGTGCAAGTAAGTAGCAAACAAAAAAATTACTTATTAAATCAAGCGTCTTTACTGTTTCTGGCCTACCCTTGATTCCTGTGAAATCGTTTCTCCAAAACGGCAAAACCCGCCTGTGAAAGTGTTTCTCCGAAACCAACCTCCTAAAGTCGGCTAAAGTTAATGATGTTTTCAGACAGTACCTTCCTTTATATTAGCGGTATTGCTTCGAGAAGTGCAATACTGTTTCGGTCTTCGAACAACTTCGGACGAAGCGTAACACATAAAAGGCTTTAAAGTAAACGCAGCAATAGCATTAAGTGTAGTAAGACTAATGCCCCAAAGTTTGTTGCTGAACAATAATGAGGCAAAGGGGATACCGGTACCGTATTATCCATATAACGGCCCGGTTCTTCGCTCCACCTTCATCCTTCCCACCTGCAGGCGTTCATGCGCGCCGGCAACCCCGGTGCCGTTGTGTGGCTGGGCTACAGCTGGCGGGACGGGCCGCAGGAGCGCTGGGGCCGCCTGCTGCACAAGCTAGTCACTGACTTTACGATGCGGGGTGAGGCAATCAAGGGCTGACATGGTTAGGGGGTAATGGGGTCTGGGTGCATTCTTGACTGCTGTTGGTCCCTTACTTGACGGAAGACAGTAGCCTCGAACCTTGAGCCCAAATTTTGGACACCTGGACCTTAGACGGAGGGTATTCCCAAACCTGTGACAACGAAGCCTTCCCTCCTCCCTCCCTCCCTGCCTAAAGCTCGCTTTGCCTTAACCACCATTTCGGCTCGACTCATCTTCCACCAGGGATTGTCAGTAACTTGTATCATTATCACACCACACTTTGGAATTTCTTTTTCCCTCCCTGCCTCCATCTGCTGCACCTATGTACCTTTTCACGCAGGCAACCAGATACCCCCTGCTGGCAGTGCTGCTGAGGCGCCCCTTGCCCTCGGCTCCCTGGACGACCTCATCTCCTCCTTCAACGATGACTTGGGTGACAGCAGTGCCGTGGAGGTCATTCGGAGGCTGATCATGGATACCGCCTACCCGGCTGCGTACCCTGCAGCGTACCCGCCAGCGTACCCGGCAGCGTACCCGGCGCCCCCCTCACCTGAACCCCCCATGCTGCCCCCCAGCCCACCCCCCAGCCCGCCCCCTCCTCCTCCCCCACGCCCCCCTCCGCCCTCGCCGCCCCCTCCTCCTCCCCCACGCCCCCCTCCGCCCTCGCCGCCCCCTCCTCCTCCCCCACGCCCCCCTCCGCCCTCGCCGCCCCCTCCCAGCCCGCCCCCTCCTCCTCCCCCACGCCCCCCTCCGCCCTCGCCGCCCCCTCCCAGCCCGCCCCCTCCTCCTCTCCGACGGCGCCCTCCGCCCTCGCCGCCCCCTCCCAGCCCGCCCCCTCCTCCTCCCCCACGCCCCCCTCCGCCCTCGCCGCCCCCTCCCAGCCCGCCCCCTCCTCCTCTCCGACGGCGCCCTCCGCCCTCGCCGCCCCCTCCCAGTCCGCCCCCTCCTCCTCCCCCACGCCCCCCTCCGCCCTCGCCGCCCCCTCCTCCTCCCCCACGCCCCCCTCCGCCCTCGCCACCCCCTCCCAGCCCGCCCCCTCCTCCTCCCCCACGCCCCCCTCCGCCCTCGCCGCCCCCTCCCAGCCCGCCCCCTCCTCCTCCCCGACGGCGCCCTCCGCCCTCGCCGCCCCCTCCCAGCCCGCCCCCTCCTCCTCCCCCACGCCCCCCTCCGCCCTCGCCGCCCCCTCCCAGCCCGCCCCCTCCTCCTCCCCCACGGCCCCCTCCGCCCTCGCCGCCCCCTCCCAGCCCGCCCCCTAAGCCGAATTCTGCTAAGCCACCTCCTAAAGCAAATTCCTCACCACCGCCGTTTCCGCCGCCGCCCCCCACTGCCAAGTCCCCACCCCCGCCCCCCCCACCACCTCCCCCACGCCCTCCGCCACCTCCCCCTCCATCCTCTCCTCCGCCCCCGCCGCCCAAGAAGAAACGGGACTAACGGGATTAACGATAACATGGCAATAGCGGCAATGGCAATGCCAACAGAAACAGCGGATGTTAGGCCTTCACTCATAGTAGCTCACAATTTAGCCTTCAAGTACCAATTACGAGGGTAACTTACGTGGGGCCGCACGGAGTGGAGTGGAAGGGCGTCGCATGCATACCCCATCCTACAGTCGTCGCTGCCTGAAGAAAGCGGCTTGAGGAAAGGAGTGTTGCAGGATGTGGTAGAGCGAAAAATCATTCCCGTGCGTGATTCAACATGTGTGTTTGTTGCTGGATTCATTAGCTTTGCAGGGTATGTCGGAAGAATGGTACGGCGTCGATGGCGTTTTAAGTGCAGTGCATACGCTGCTGACAAGGATAACACGTGTACCGATGTTGATGCATACGCTTAGCTAGTTATAATATGTTGGGCAGGATCAAACTCGTACATGCATACATGTACGACTCCATTAGCACGACCACACACAGCGCATGTTTGTGTCGCGCTCATTCTTTGGAATTAGGAACGCCGTACGTGCCCGGTCTGAGGCATTTTAGGATGAGTTTTGTCGGTAACCCGAATTGAGCGTTGTATCCTGGGCTAGGATCAAGCCGCTTGACGCCCTGCTTGTGATGTGACTTCCCACTGGAAGAGTTGCGTTTCCTTGCGATGAATACTTTCTGTTATCGTCTGCTGCTTAGGCTACGAAGTACCCTGCTGACCACAGGGAGGGTTGGTTACCCGTCTGAAAGGTGCTGTACCGGATTGCCGGCCCGGCAAGGGTGCTAAGACCCTTGGACGAGTTACTTTTGCCAACGCAGACAGAGCAAATAAAGTTGAATGCTCACCTGTATGCCGGTTGGCTGCCTGTCGTCGCGGCACCGGCAGCCAGGCGTTGTTGTGCTTGTAGTGGACAGTACTGCAGTACCAGTTGGGTTCATCACCCGTGTTCCGTTTTAGGGATCCATTGTAACGGTCATTCAACCAGTACCGGTACTCGGCATCCCAAAGATGCATGGCAGTTTCCCCAACCCCGCTCCCGCCTTCCGTTTACCGCCCCCCAACTTCGCATTATAGGTCGAAGGGTAATTGTTGATCTTCAATGAGCTAGTGGTAGCGTACGGCATGTAGCTCTGAAATGCCACCACAGCAGCAGCAGCAACGAGCCACGCCGCCGCCATCTTCCTGCCGTACACAGCCTTCTAGACGTGCTGTGTCGGATTCGCCCGGAGGCGCAGCAAGCCTTCCTGAGGTGCCTGGGTGCGCGGGCGGCACTGCAGCTGCGGGCCGGCTGCCGGGGCGGCAGGCGGCTGGTGGACGAGGTGTTCACGGCGAAGGTGGCGGATGGCGGCGCTGCTGCTAGGGAGAAGGAGAAGGAGGGATAATGTGCGGCACGTGAACAGGATTCCTGAGCCGGTAGCGGCGCAACTAGCTGACCGGGAGCTGCAGCAGCAGAATAGCGAGCCCGAGTATCACTTGCAGCTGTTGCCGCTGCCGCCGCCACAGCAGCGGCAGCTACAGCAACCTTTGCCGCGTGCGCAGCAACAGCAACAACAGCAGGGCGTGCATCAGCCGACACCTCAGCAGCTGCAGCAGTTGCAACAGCTGTTACAGCTGCAGCAGATCCAGCTGTATCTCCAAGAGGTGGGAGGCGCTGCTGAAGCACTCCGAAGATGAGGCGAGTGTCCGATGAATGGAGCAATCCGGGCGCTTCATACCTCCGACGTGCTTAACTAACAAACGGTTACGCTTCTAGATGCAGATGTCAACAAAACGCTGCATCTTGCAAAGCCGTACATATCGGTATGTCATAAGCGTAGCGCACCCCTGTTAACATTGAAGCAACACATTATTCCTCAGCTTGGCACATGTGGGGAGCCATTCTCTTCGCACGAAATGCCGTATGGTAGTTGTCAGCTCATTATGTGAACTCATGACGGTGTACGGCATGTACGGAGCATACGGGAAGAACGGAACTCTTAATAACGCAGTCCATTTGTGTATGTCACTTCCGTTATTGGTGTCTGGGTGCTTTCTGTATCATTGGAAACATTGCCTCTGAAAATGCGAGGACTGCTCTGGTTGTTAGCTGTCGAATTCCTGTGCCATATTTCGACAACTACCGCAAGCGCTCCTAAGGTTGCCCTCCACTTCAGCGAGGCCCAAAACGTGCGTAAGCTTCAACGTAATAATGGTATGCAAAACCTTGATCGCCAACTGCGGCAGCTGGGTATATCACTAGCCGCTTCAACCGAGGGCCAGCCTCGTCTGACCGGCCTAGACGCGCCAAACGCGTACATCATCCCAGCTCAGAGCGGGCCTTATCCTTCTACTCATGGTATGCTTGAGGTATCATCCTATGTCGCTGCTGGTGGACTCGTAATCATTGTGGGTGCCGCAAGCGGCGAGGGCCAAGAAACTCGAACTTTTGTCGCTTCCGCTCTTAACTATAACGGTACGCAAGCGCTCTTGTTGGCCTGCACTTTTACGTTTTGTCTCTTATGTCATTGTCGTAGTGCGCGCCATTATGCCGGTGCTTACCATGCATCAGCAGCAGTAACGATCCCGAAGATTCATCTTCGCAGGCAACTGGAAACCTTGCGAGCGCAACGGAACGTCTGAAAAGGCTCGTCGCCGGTCTGGAACCCCTGTCGTAAGCGAGCATGCGTACTCCTTTCTTATGGGCGACGACTACGACGACAATGCCTGGCCGCTTACGCTTGAAGACGTGCATGTACTGACAACTCTGACCCGGTGTGAACACGAGGACCCGCGAGCGGTCGCCATCCCTCTCTACACGCTCATGGGAGATGACAACAAGGTCGCGGTGCAAGTAAGTCATCAAGGGTTCAGAAGGGTTGGGCAATAATAGGCCCTTAAGAAGTCAAAGATATTACCAGTCCTCGTTCACTCACACCGTGCTTTCCCTTCTTTCCCCTTCTCATTATTCTCTTTCATCCTTCCCACCTGCAGGCGTTCATGCGCGCCGGCAACCCCGGTGCCGTGGTGTGGCTGGGCTACAGCTGGCGGGACGGGCCGCAGGAGCGCTGGGGCTTTTTGCTGCACAAGCTAATCACCGACTTTGCGCTACGAGGTAAGGGCTAAGCCGTATAGGCTTGCATGACCGGTATGTAGTTAGATGGAGCGGAGTGGGTCTGGAAGTGCATGCCTGGCGTCTGTGGTTCCCTTGACTGCCGCAAAGCAGTGCTCCAGGGCCTTAGTACTAGGACCGAACCTTTGACTCGGCCAGTACGGCCGGAATCACGCGACTCAAAAACTGCGCCAACGAAGGCTTCCTCCCTGTGTACCTCCCTGATTGCTTCCCTTTTTTTCCCTCTACTGCACCCATATCACTCCTTCCCCACCCCCCTTCCCTTTCACGCAGATGGTCGCAGCGCTGCCGAGGCGCCCCCTGCCACCCCCTCCCTGGGCGACCTCCTCACCCCCCTCGCCGCCTCCACCCCTGACCCCAGTCGTGGCCCCAGTGCGGTGTGAGGTCATCCGGGCGCTCGTTCTGGGTGTTGCTACTCCTGCAGCACCTGGCACCTCCGTCACCTGAACCGGACTGTCCCCCATCCAGACCGCCCCCGGATCAGCCAGCAGGTGCCACACCCAACACCACCGTCGGCCCCCAGCCCGCCGTCTTTTCCTTCTCCTAATCCATCCCCTTCACCGCCCTGGCTTCCCGAGCCCCGGCCCTCCTCCCAGTCCGCCTTCCTCCTGCTGCCAAAACCTCCGCCACCGCCTTCTCCTTCTCCGGTCCCCACTGCCAAGCCCCCACCCCCGGCCCCCTCTGCCAAGTCCCCGTCCCCGGCCCCCCATTCTCCGCCGCCTCTGCCTTCATCTTCGCAAGGAAAAAGACAGCAACAACGGGAATACTAGTAAGCTCAGGAGTAAGCTCAGGAACAGCATTCACTATCGGAATGATGGTAACGGAAACAGCGGGCGTTAGGCCTTCGCTTGGTAGCTAGCAGTTTAGCCATTCGTGCCAGTCAATTAGGCTTCTATCTCTTGTGTACACTGCCTATGTGAGGGATTAGAACCCTAAAAAAGCTATGTGGGGGGCGGGCGCAATCACTGGGATATTGCAGGTTGGGCCAAGGGCGATGTCGTGCCAATGGTGTTGTGCCTGCCGTACGTACACACACAGCGCACTGACATGTGCTCATGGGCGTCGAGATTGTAGTACATGCGCATTTGCTAGACGTGCTTTGTCAACGGAATTTGATTGCTGCAGTCGTACATACGTATTATGTGAAGTGATGAGTACTGTACGCGTCTGTCCTGCCGTTGTGGCTTACTGCCTATACCTCCTGCAGTAAGCACGCATCTGGGGGACGCGTAGTAGGGTATATTGTGCGACATTTGGAAGACACATTTCCCGTTATGGTGGTTTCTGGGCGTATGCTGCAAAGTACCCTTGCTACAGGGATGGTTAGGTGTTAGGGTCAGATGTGCCGTCATCGGCATGTTGGCTAGGGTGACGAGGGCTGTGAAATGGATTGCCCTTGCCGGCGCAACTAGCAGAGCAGTTTAGACCTATCGCATGCCTTTTATCCGATATGAGAGGTAAGACGGGTAGACAAAAACCAGCGGGACGGAAAACCCCTGGCAACGGAAAACCACTGGCTGTCAAGCCACATGCATTGCACTGTGTAAGGGATACTTGTCCCGGTATTTCTACCCTCGTGCGGAAACCTGGAGCAGCTTGCAGGATCTCTTTCGCACTTCCTCCCCATCTTGGCTGGGTTGTTGATGAGTTGTTGAACGGGGCGGCCCCACCACCACCACATTATGTGATGACAGCGCACCGCTGTGCAGAATGCCTTGGGGAATGGCGAGGAGGTGACAGCGGCAACAGTGCGCAGTGCAAGGGGGGACAGCGGGGAAGCCGTAACCAATGAATATAGCGGATAATTAGCATAGTGGATGACTTGCCCACAACTACCAGCAGTAATAGTGGATGACGGGCCCACAACCACGGCCCGTCATCCACTATGCAGCAGCTGTTCGGACTTTGTGCTTTGCAGGCTACCAAGGGACCTTGTATGAGTTGTTCACTGTGGCAGGCAACGGCCAAACCGTATGTTGTGGTACTAGAGGGCGTGTTGCAACCCTTGTATGATGTGTCATATCAGGGCTATGTCACACCCATGGAGTTTGGGGGAGGACATGACCATGTACCTCATGGCACGGAGACCTAGCTTCTCACCGCAATGTTCATTGGCGGACACTGCTCCTCCCATAGTAGATTTCTTCCACAATAAGTGGATAGTTGAACGCCGGCGCAAATGGCGTCCTTCGATCCGTTCGTGTAGGGTCTAGAGTTGTAGAGTTTAAGGGGAGTAGTTACATGTCGGTTACCGGCAAGCATACGCAAAAATGCTTCCTTCACGCTCTGAAAGCACCCGAAATAGCTTAACAATATGGCATCATGACGTCCACGGCTGTTTATAAAAGCTTGTAACAACAGGGATATGTACAACTCTTCTAAGCAACGAAGACCTTAAATAATTTCATCTATTCTAATGTTGCGGACAGCAGTCCCTCTTGCTACCACAAGTCACATCAAGATCCAAAACCGGACGAGCTCGTAGCAAGGCCGTTGGCACCTTGGCAACAGCGGTTTAAGCGTTACTGCTTGTTTAAATCCAGATATAGCTACATGTTAATTAGATAAGAAAGTGTTGAGCGTCCGTCTGTTGCGTTGTTCGCCTGGGCAGTCCATGCGACTGCCCTTTATCGCATTTCGTTATAAAATAATTACTGTAGTAGGAAATAAGGAACTCTTTTGGTATTTGCTATTGAGCGAAAAACCATCGCTATATGGCGAAACTTTTGTACCATACGATTTCATCACATGCCGGTCGTTAGTAAAGGAACGATTCTCTGCGCGAGTTAGCGCAAAGGCTGCGCGCCATACTTCGAAAGCCCATGTGCGCTATACAGGAGGACTTACTGTTGGCATTCCGGTGTTTTGCCCGTGCGTGCTGCACGTACCGTACTAACCGACAGACCCTTACGATAAAAGCAGCGAACGTGATTTATATCATGCAGCAATGTTGTTCTACTGAAAACAGCATTTTGGGGTAATATGCCTGTAAATATGGGAGGATTGTGGGTCCTCTGGTTATTAGCTCTCGTTTGCCGAGCGTCCCCAAGCGCTCCCACGGTGGCACTTTATTTTTGCGAGGATCATAACGTGCTTGATTTACGAACGGATAACCGTCCCCAAAACCTTGATCGCCAACTGCGCCAACTGGGTCTGACGCTCGCCGCTGCAACTGAGGGCCAGCCCCGCCTGACCGGTCTAGATGCGCCAAGTGCGTACATCATCACAGATCAGGACGGGAAGAGCTTTTATCGTTCTGCTCATGATATGCTTGAGGTATCACGTTACATCTCTGCTGGGGGACTTGTAATCATTTTGGATGCCGCCAGCGGCGAGGGCCAAGCAACTCAAGAATTCGTCGCTTCCGCTCTGGGCTATACTGGTAACTATGCATCATGTTCAGTCTGCGCCATACTTGTTACTTTTCGTGCCACTTCCAGTTGCGGCCTTTTGCCCGTGGTCTGCAGTCGAACCTGTCTATGGTCCCCCTGCCATATACTCGCAGGCGACTGGAAGCTTTGCAAGCGTACGGGAACTTCCGAAAGGGCGCATCGCCTAAGTCGCCTGTCTCGAGCCCCGCTGTTAAGTGAGCATGCGTACTCCTTCCTTAAGGACGGCTACTACGACGACAATGCCTGGCCGCTTATGCTTGAAGATGCACACGTACTGACAACTCTGAACTGGTGTGAACACGAGGACCCGCGAGCGGTCGCCATCCCTCTCTACACGCTCATGGGAGATGACAACAAGGTCGTAGCACAAGTAAGTCGCAAAAGTCAAGGGTTGGCACTGAAACAGCCTATTGGAGCCAAGAATATTTTTAAATTATCCTTACTTACCCGGTACTCGGTGCTTTCCCTTCTTCCCCTTCTCATTAATAGTCCCGTCCCACCTGCAGGCGTTCACGCGATCTGGCAGCCCCGGTGCCGTGGTGTGGCTGGGCTACAGCTGGCGGGACGGGCCGCAGGAGCGCTGGGGCCGCCTGCTACACAAGCTAGTCACCGACTTTGCGATGTTACAGGGTGAGGCGCTCAGGGGCTGACATGGTTTGGGGGGTAATGGGGTCTGGGGGTGCATGCAGAGCCCACAGCGATCCTTCATGATGGCAAGGCCGCCTTCAATGTAGCCGTTCCCAAAACCAAGATGTTACTTTCTAAGCTAGCGGTAAGCAAAAGCCGTGACCCCTGGAACATGAGTTGGATTGTGTGTAAAGGCGCCCTGTCGTAAAACCTAACATAGTATATGACGTCTCATTCAAGAGCTTCATGAAGATTCGCCACCGGTAAAACGTTAGCCATCCATGACGGGTGAGGGAGGACCGGTGCAGTATTGCTGGTCTTCCGTGGCGGGCAGAACTCTCGGTTACCAGTAAACTACTGTCATTCCTTGTACAACCAACCATGTGCATAACCGACGGTGCACTACAGAGGGTGCGAGGGGCCGACCTACATCAGTAACAATGGCTTGTTGTTCTGAACCCGCTGCGGCATCCGTCGCCCTTCCCACCCCTTCCCTTTCACGCAGATGGTCGCAGCGCTGCCGCGCCCCCTGCCACCCCCTCCCTGGACGACCTCTTCGTAACCCTCGCCGCCGACACCGCCGCCACCCCGGACCCTAGTCCCGGCAGTGGAGTGGCTGACATAGTCCGGCGGCTCATCCTGGACACCGCAGGTCCCGCAGTCTACCCGCCGCCGCCCTCACCTGACCCGCCGTCCCCTCCGCCACCCCCTCCGCCACCACCACCACCACCCTCGCAACCCTCGCAGTCCCCGCCACCTCCCCCCAGAGTCCGCAAACCTCCAAAACCCCCCAAGGCTCCCAAAGCCCCTAAGCCTCCTCTCAAGCCCCCTAAATCTCCCAAAGCGCCCAAGGCGCCGCCCACACCTGACACGCCTGAACTGCCCCCCAGCCTGCCACCAAGCCCGCCCCAAGACCAGCCGACAAGTCCCTCACCTCTCCCTCCACCCCCTCCATCGCCCCCACCACCTAGCCCACCGTCTTCTCCTCCTCCTAACTCGCCTCTGCTCCCTCCCTCACCACCCCCTCCGTCGCCCCCACCACCTAGCCCACCGTCTTCTCCTCCTCCTAACTCGCCTCCGCTACCTCCCTCACCACCTCCTCCATCGCCGGCGCCTCCTCCCCCTAGCCCGCCTCCAACCCCTCCGTCGCCACCCCCTCCATCGCCTCCGCCCCCTAGCCCGCCGTCACCTCCTCCTCCTAGTCCACCTCCAAAATCCCCCAAGGCCCCCAAGGCTTCCAAAGAGCCCCCACCTTTCCCCCCACCCCCTCCAGCTCCCCCACCCCCTAGCCCGCCTCCACCCCCTCCGTCGCCACCCCCTCCATCGCCCCCGCCACCTAGCCCGCCGTCACCTCCTCCTCCTAGTCCACCTCCAAAATCCCCCAAGGCCCCCAAGGCTTCCAAAGAGCCCCCACCTTTCCCCCCACCCCCTCCAGCTCCCCCACCCCCTAGCCCGCCTCCAACCCCTCCGTCGCCACCCCCTCCATCGCCCCCGCCACCTAGCCCGCCGTCACCTCCTCCTCCTAGTCCACCTCCAAAATCCCCCAAGGCCCCCAAGGCTTCCAAAGAGCCCCCACCTTTCCCCCCACCCCCTCCAGCTCCCCCACCCCCTAGCCCGCCTCTGCCGCCTCCACCACCGCCTCCCAGTCCTCCCCCGTCGCCCCCACCACCTCTCCCGCCGTCACCTCCTCCTCCTCGCCCGCCTCCGCCACCGCCGCCTCCGCCTCCCCCATCGCCCCCGCCACCTAGCCCGCCCTTACCTCCGCCTCCTAGCCCGCCTCCTCCCCCTCCGCCACCGCGCCCCCCTCCTCCCCCGTCGCCCCTGCCACCTAGCCCGCCTCCGCCCCCTCCGCCACCGCCGCCGCCGCCTCCCCCATCGACCCCGCCACCTAGCCCGCCGTCACCTCCTCCTCCTAACCTGCCTCCGCCACCGCCGCCACCGCCGCCTCCACCTCCCCCGTCGCCCCCGCCACCTAGCCCGCCGTCACCTCCTCCTCCTAGCCCGCCTCCGCCACCTCCGCCACCGCCTCCCCCTCCTCCCCCGTCGCCCCCACCACCTCTGCCGCCGTCACCTCCTCCTCCTCGCCCCCCTCCGCCACCTCCGCCACCACCTTCCCCTCCTCCCCCGTCGCCCCCACCACCTCTCCCGCCGTCACCTCCTCCCCCTAGCCCGCCTCCGCCACCTCCGCCACCGCCTCCCCCTCCTCCCCCGTCGCCCCCACCACCTCTGCCGCCGTCACCTCCTCCTCCTCGCCCCCCTCCGCCACCTCCGCCACCACCTCCCCCTCCTCCCCCGTCGCCCCCACCACCTCTCCCGCCGTCACCTCCTCCTCCTCGCCCCCCTCCGCCACCTCCGCCACCGCCGCCTCCGCCTCCCCCATCGCCCCCGCCACCTAGCCCGCCGTCACCTCCTCCCCCTAGCCCGCCTCCGCCACCTCCGCCACCGCCTCCTCCACC